GGGACAACTCGGGAACCTGCTCGTCAGTGGAGACTGTTGACAGTTGCTTTGCTACTCCTATGGATCCCACAAGTCCTACTGACGCCCCCGCCAACGGTACAGCAACCGATCCTCCAGCTTCTGCTGCCGTCTCCGCACTTGTATCCGCCTCGGCCCTTTTGGCTAGTATTGTTGGGTTCCTTTTGGTACCATTCTACTAAGCTGTATAATTGGCTTATTGACATTATCTAACAGAATATAATTGACAACAGATCAATCAATAGTATGTTTGACAGTGCAAGTTGTACAATAGTAGGCTGGTGTACACACGCCAATGACGATGATAGCCGTACAAAGAGACGTGTCGAGAGCTCTTACTCTGGGAGTTCACTAGACTGCTTCCTACAGAGTTAGTTAGGATTCCTACCTTCACGTATGAACATCTTGTAGGAGCACAGATAATCATCCTCGTCCGTGTTTTGAACTTGGAATGATCGACATGCGCACGCATCCTCATGAGTTTGTTTACATGTGAAGGGAAAAGTGTGTAACACGTATAATATTTTCATATTTTTTAAAGTCATGCCAAATAATCAGAAGCAAAGTCCACCAAGCGGACATTTCTAAATCATTGCACCGCCTTCGTGATAGTGTAATTGCATAGGAAAAAATTTGCCATCCCCAGTAAAATTTTGAATATAGATAAAAACATTTTGCAATCCATCGTGGAAACGACCAGGTTGTCCCATGTGAGAGAAAACATTTTACTACTGGCAATGGCAGCAAACATCAGCCGCTGTTTCAAAAAGGAAACCAAGAACAAAATTGATACAAGTGAGCGAACTAAAGAAAGATTCATCCGAGGAAAACTTTTGGAAAATACTTACCATTGCAAGGTTTGGTACCAATCTTACACGAGCCGCCATAGGTTGTTGGGTGCTGACATGTTTGGTCGTATTGATTGTACCAATTGCAACCGTCTTGTGAATTGTCTTTGAATGTGGGATCGTCTACACAGCCAGGAGTTCCAAGGCATACGCAACAGGAGTCCCTCGCTGGATGAAACAGGAGTAAGAATCAATCAATCATGTTAGATATCAAAGAAAGGTCAAATTATGATCGGAACTGTGAGTAAGAAACGTACCAAAGCATTCACCAATGTCGTCACAAGTCCCCGGATACGAAGTTCCGAAGTTTGGGCACCCTGACAGTGTATTATTAGAGGGATGAGCTGTGAGCCACGAATTTTTGAACAAACGTCCGAATCCAGCGGGAAAATGGTACTTACCAGGAGCGTCGGCGTTTATGTACCAAGAGCAAGGGTCCCCACCACTGTCACTGAATGATGTATCCTCTAGAGTATACACAGAACATTACAAAAAGGAAGAAAAACATTGGAACGGTGAGTGAGTCGTCGATCGATCGATTGATATTGATTTGATATTTCTTGCTTATCAATTAATTGATACGTACCTGTGAAACCAGCTGGACAACTGCTGGGTGAAGGAGTGCCTGGACTAACAGTATATGGATTTTCGGCCCATGGATTGTAGGAATATGCATAGGTGGGTGACGGGTCAGAGCTGAAACTATTGGTCAGAAAGGGTGTTGGAAAGGGTGTTGGTTGCGGAATAAAAACTGGCTGTGGAGTAGGATCAGGATTTGGTTGGGGAGTAGGAAATGGCGTTGGTTCGCGTGTAGGTCCAGGCGTTGGACGGGGAGTAGGTTCTGGTGTTGCCTGTTCCGTTGGGCCAGGTGTGGGATTCGGCGTTGGTTGTTCCGTTGGGCCAGGTGTCGGTGGTACAGTTGGGCCAGGTGTCGGTGGTACAGTTGGGCCAGGTGAGGGCTTTTTGGTAGGCACACCTGTAGGAGCCAGGGAAGGCACCATGGTGGGCTTCGCACTAGGAGCTATAGAGGGAACTTGAGTGGGGCTGAGACTTGGCGATGTAGTGGGGTCCAAGCCTACAGTCTGCCTGAATTCAATATCGCCAAAGATCTCTGGATTTAACTTGAAAATATTGACAAACAACTTGCGGTGGTGTCGTTGTTCTTCAGTCTCGTTATCCAACGTCAATTGCCGGTTGCCAGCATTCCGATCTAGCTCTTCCAGCGATTGCAGTACTTGCGCAATCAATGTAATCACATCAAATCCTCTTTCCTCACCCTTCAAGAAGAGTTCCATGACAACTTTGACATTGTTGCATCCGTTCCTTTTGATTTCACAATCGGCCGAGACATCTCTGGCAGGATTAATTTGCGAGTTCGCATTGGCGATCACGTAACGAATCTGGGAATCAACTGTTTGCAGTGCTCGTAACGATGTTTCTGTTACTGTTTCTTGTTCCAATGTAGTAGTAGTGGACTGCTTCTTTCGCAATCCTGCAGTCTGAGCTACTAGTCCTCTTCGGGTGGTGCTGATAGGACAACCAGCCAAAGCTGGAATCAAGATTTGATCCACACCTCTCTTGAAGGCAGGAACCCAAGTTTCGGTCAACAAGATGGGATCTTTAATGGTGATATCAAATTCCATTCGAAAAGGCGAAGTATCCAAATCTTCTTGCCCTTGGACGGGGAGTCCACTTCCGATTCGGACACAATCCTCGATGCTCGGTGGATCGTAGGTATCAATAGTTGGAGAGCTGGATGGCCCCTCTGTAGCCACGACCATTGTGGGCGCTGGTGTTTGTATGGTGGAAGGTGCCGTTGGAGCCGTCGTGTTTTGTTCGCGGGGAATGCTTGCAGGTACCACAGCCGCAGCATCTTCGGATTGTGACAAGAAATATCCAGCGACGCCTCCAGCAGCAGCAATAAAGAGGAAGATCAGAATGCAAACGTTTCGTTGTTTCTTCTTCTTTCGCAAATTCTCCAACCGTTTTCGTTCATGCTCTTCTGCCTCCTTCTGTGCTGCGACTCTTCGTTCCTCCGCTTGGTTGTGGTTGTTTGCAACGGGTGCAATCATTTGTTCCATTCGGTCTGCCAATGCTCTGTTTTGTTCTTCCAATGTTCTCATGCGCTCGTTTTCTTCAGCTTCTTCATCGATTGCCACGGCTTCGACAGCCACTTCACCATCCTCTCCAATGGCTGCTTCCGGTGTATTATCTGCCTTCGGCTCGGCAGCAGGCTCAGCGGGAGCGTTGTTCTCATAATCCAGCTTGACATTTTGCAAGTTCTTCTTGTTATCTGCAGCTCTGGATGTCGATGCACCAGGGCGTCCTTGTATCTTTTGTTTTCTCTTGAGATCGTCATCGCCTCGGCTGTCTGCCATTTGAGCTCCAGGAGCAATGCGTCCTCCGGAACGCTCTTCTTTGGCCCGACGCTTTGCTTCTTGATCTCTGGATCCCCTTGAGGCCGCTGAATCAGCCACTGAACCAGGTCGGCTTCTGCCACTGGAACTTGTTCGTCCTTCCTTGGCACGACGTTTGGCTTCTTGCTCGTCCTGGGTACGACGAGACATGCGTTCTTCCTTTGTCAGGGGAGCCGCTGGCAAAGAAGATCCTCCACCAGAGGGACGCTTGGAGGCCGAGGAATCTGCCACGGATGAAGCTCCTGGTGCGGCGGGTGAAGCACCCTCTCGTCTTCCGCGGCGTTTGGCTTCGGCGTCTCGCTCACGGTCGCTAATCCGACGTTCGGTACGAGCCTGCTTGTCCTTGTCGTCTGCTTCTTTGCCTTCAACACCAGCAGTGCGACTTCTGCTGCGGTGATCCTTGTCACCCTTGTCACGGTCACTGCGATGCCTGTCGCTGCGGTGACGATCGCTGCGATGGCTCTTGTCATCGTCCTTAAGCTTACCGTCACTCCGGCTTCGACCGCCACTACGATGATGATGTCGATCACGATCACCACTGCGGTGTTCTCGATCACGGTCACGGTCTTTGCGATCACCACCACGTCGTTCTCTGTGGCTTCCAGAACGAGGCACATGGGGACGACTGCTTCTGCTGCCACTGCTTCTTGGTGACTTGTGTCTGTCACTCTTTGAGCGTTCACCAGCTTCTGGGGTTTTCGGAGTTTTGGGAGCATCGTCAACCTTTTTCTTTTCCTCGGTTTGAAGAGTTTCAGGAGTGTCTGCCATCTTGCTCTTGTAAGTTAATGCTTTACAGTACTTATAATACTTGATACGCTTCAACCTCTTCTTCTCCAACTGTAGGGATCGTGCAAAATTGGCAGATGTGAGGTCAAAACTGAACACAGATGTGAGGTCATTCAAAAATTTGGATCCAGACATTTAATCTCCCATTCTACGCGAGTTGTACGAACGATTTTGTACTGTATCGGACCTGGTACCGGTACCTGGTACCAATTTTGAAAGACGATGTGAAGAACACAAAGTTCGGTCCTGTACACGTACAAAGTCCTACAGTACTGTAGTTACAGATGGACAATATTTTTCGCAAGGACATAAGCATGAGCGGAAGTCGAATTTAGGAATTTTCCGTTGTGCCGACCATATATAATCATTCAGAACCGTTTCTTAAATAAGTTTCTTTGAGGCATCTCAGTATTTCATTCACGAACCACAGTCCAGTCCAATGATTGATTCGATTCACACAACTGCTGTAAGAATAGAAGACTGCACACTCTATATCATCACAGCTGATAGAAAGTAATAAGTACTCAAATCTACTGCATTGTAGGATCTACTACAAACTCCAACAACAATATTAGAACTGCACAATTTGGGTTTCTATACACTAGCTGTCAGGTCCAGATATAATTTTTTTAATTGTTGGCATATTCTTCTTGGTTGCAAAAGCAGCATGCATCATACGCTGTGAGTACACCAAGAGAGCAATAAGCAAAAATAAATCAGATGTGAGGACGACATGTGCATCGTTTCGGTTTCGGATCTTTCTAGCAAACCACAGCGAGGAAACTTACGATAACAAAATCCAATTGGTTTGGAGCATGGAGTAAACGAATCAAATCCATAGTTTGGGCAACCTTTTTCATCATTCGCTTGGTACCAATAACACCCTCGACCCTTGTCGTCTTTCCAGGTTTCGTCGTCTGTCAAGAAAATTGTTGGCAAATATTGAAAGAGAGGAATGAGTGGATGGGCGAGAATATAGATGATTCATTCAAGGCCGAGGTGAGCGTCCGGAAAAAGACAGCTAGCGGTGGTGACTCGCATGAATTGAAGGAATCAATCAATCAGTTTCTTCTTACCTGTACACGCCTTGGGCGTTGCCAAAGTCGCAAGCTTCCTCTCGCGGAATCCAGGACTGTAGGGATCCTCGTAGGATGGTCCACTATAAGGATCATAGGGTGGTCCTCCATAAGGATCATATGATGGTCCTCCATAAGGATCATATGATGGTCCTCCGTATGGATCATGAGATGGTCCTCCATAAGGATCGTAGGATGGTTCTCCATAAGGATCATACGAAGGTCCTCCGCCGTATGGATCATATGATGGTCCCCCATAAGGATCATAGGATGGTGCAGGTACTGGAGATAGACTTGGACGAGGCTCTGGAGCTAAACTTGGGCGAGGCTCTGGAGCGGATGTCGGGCCCGGTGTTGGTGAAGGTGTTGGGCCGAGAGTAGGGGCAGGAGTCGGACGGGGACTAGGACCAGATGTTGGCCGTTCGGTTGGACCAGGTGTGGGCTTGGTAGAGGGCGTCCCGCTGGGTCCTGACGTTGGGAATTGTGTTGGCTCATTGGATGGAGCGATAGATGGAACTCTAGAGGGCACAATACTAGGAACCCAAGAGGGCACAATACTAGGAACCATTGAAGGCACTTGACTGGGACTGATACTTGGCAATGTTGTTGGATCAACGTTTTCAATACCTCGATAGCCGACAGCTTCAAATATATCTGGGTCCAAGCCAAGGATGTTCGCCAACAATCTTCGATGGTGTTCCTGGCCATGGCCGCTTTCCAATTCTCTTCGGTTGTCATTGTTGTCTTGTGCTGCCAAGGACGCTAAAATTTGTGCAATCAAAGCGATAATGTCAAATCCTTTTTCTTCGCCCTTCAAGAAGAGTTGCATCAATACTTTTACATTGTTGCAGCCTGATTGTGTCACGGCACAATCGGCAGTAACATCTCTGCTGGGATCAATGGAAGTCTCCATATTGGCAATAACGTAGCGAATGGCTGAATCCACATCCACATCTACTAGATCGGGTTCCCATGTCTGTTCCACCAAAGTGGAGGACATTTTTCGAAGTCGTGGTTGTGCCTCCTCCAAGTCATCCTTTCCACCAAGTTGCAATCGTCTTCTTGAAATATCACATCCTACCATGGCTGGTACCAATATATTGTCCACGCCCTCCTTGAATTGAGGAACCCAAACATCGGTTGACATGCCTGGATCCTTGACAGTGATATCAAACGCAATTTGAAATGGTCGGTCCTCAAATTGCTCTTGGTGATCGATAGGGAGCCCACTTTTGATTCGGAAACAGTCCTCCTCACTGGGAGCTTTGTAAGCTTGAATGGTGGGCGCACTCGAAGGCTCCTCTTCAGGAACATTGCTGGTAACTGGAGGTTGGCTTTCGACCACTGATACCATTGGAGCTGCTGTAGTTTTGTCGTTATTTGTCGAATCTTCACTGCCAGTGGTTTCAACAGGAGTAGTAGCGCCGCTGGACTTTTGACTCAAGAGGTATCCAGCAACACCACTGACAATGGCAAGAACCAAAACGACCAAGATGCAAATGTTGCGTTTTTTAGTTTTGGCTTTTTTAGCTCTTAGTCTTTGTACTTCTTGCTCTTCGGCCTCCTTATCTTTATCTGCAACTTGGCCGGCTTCGCCGTTCCTTGCCACCAACTGTTCCACTCGTTGGGCAAGAGCCCTATTTTGCTCTTGCAGTGCCTTCATCCGTTCAATTTCTTCGGCTTCTTCATCGATGGCAGTTGCTTCGACGGCGACTTTGCCATCATCGCCCATGGCTGCAGTGGCAACTGGTTCCACAGTCTTGGAAGGCTCTGAATCCAAACTCTTTGCATGATGAGCTGAATGGGACCTAGATGCTCCATTGTGCCTTTGCTGCTTGTTTTTGCGCCGAACTTCAGTCGGGTCTCTGTTCGAGGAGGACATAACTCCAGGGGCAGCTGGTCCTCTCGAACGACCTTCCTGGGTCCGACGCTTGGCATCGCGATCTCTTGACTCTCTTGTCGCTGTGCATGCAGCATTTCGACTTCTGTCATGAACTGATCTTCCTTCCTTGGCGCGGCGCTTGGCATCTTGTTCTTCTCTTGCCCGACGGGACATGCGTTCTTCCTTGGTCAAAGCAGATAAGTCTCCCGAACAATTTCTGTCGTCTGCGTGACGTTTGTCATTTTCACGGCGATCTTTGACTGCGACCACTCCCATGGTAGTGGCACCAGGAGCAGCCGAAGGCTCCTTGCGACCTCCGCGTGTTCGGCGTTTGGCTTCTCGGTCACGGTGTTCAGGGCGAGTCGGAGATCGAGAGCCATCTGTGGAACGGTCCCTGCTAGCATGAGACTCTTTCGAACGATGAGAGTCTCTAGAATGATCTCGAGACCTGGAACGTGTACCGCGAGAGTCATTCGAACGATGCCGAGACTCTCTAGAATGGTCGCGGGAAGAGTCTCTGGAATGGAAATCGCCTCCTTGTCTGTGTTTGCGTTGTCGAGGACGACGAGTGCTTGGACTTTTGAGGTCCTCTTCAGTAGCCGCGACATCGGGCTTGGAAGGTTTCTTGTCCATGGTGGTGAGAGTGATTTCGAAGTTGGGTGTTGCTGTCGGAGGCACTTGCTGTGATTTGTGTGACAAGTTAGTTTTTCTTTTATATATCTCGTATCGTATGATCTTGTATCTGTTTCAAAAGCTTGGTTGGTGAACCTGTGACCCAGCACAAGGCGTCAACACTGCATGGGTGTTTTGAAACTTATGGGAAGGGTATCTTATGAGTCACATTTGTTAAGTGTCATTGACTTTTTTAATTTTAAAAAAGAGAGATCTCCTGGAGAAAGAGATCGAATGAATCAATCAATCAATCATTGCGGAAGCTAACATAACATCGTTAGTTTACAACAACACAAGACACTCACACTCACTGCATTGCTTGATCATACCTATTCTGATCAGTTTAGGGACATACCGGTATTGCAGGGTATCTTTTATGACTCAATAAGTGTGATGAAGAGGGTTTCTTCAGGTACCTACGGCACAGTCTACCAGTATTATTTTGTGGACTGAAGATTCACGCAATGACGGAAAGACAACCATCTGGACTTTGATCATCGGTACCGTACAGTACAGTAGGTACTGGTACGGGTAGATGTAAGTTGTCCGATCTTTTTATCGACCCTGTGTGGAGTGCCTGGTACCAGTACACCATATCTCGATCATTCAAAATTCGTGTAAAAATGTACTTCAAAGAATAGATTACAATATGCAACAAGAACTATGCGTAGCCTACCGCATCTTCTCGTTTTCGTGAAAGTTTTTCAGAAATGTCGCCACAAGTGCTTCACCTTCTCGGACCCACTCGTCACGGTTTGCTGTGGCATAGTTCAAATATTCGTGAGACGATACACCAAATACCCCGCAGTTGTCTAATTTCTTGGCCAATGGGATAATGTAGAAGTCAAAGAAGCCAATTTCGCCCTTGTACCAGTTGATACTTGGATCAACATCAGCTCGACCAGCCTTGAAGGCTCCATAACACTCCTTGAAAAACTTTTCATTCCAAGCCTTGTAAATGTGCCAATGTTGCATAGTATGAGATACATCAGACGCTTGAATCAAATGCTCAATTACAATCGTGGCTTTGCGATCCTCAGTATCTGCGTCATCGTCAACGCTCTCTGCTTGAGAGAAGGCAGTCTCCCATCGTGCTTTTCGAAGTGCTTGTAACTCTTTATCGACAATGTCTGTTGCCAAAACCGTATTGACAACCAACTGTCGGAAGCGTTTCAAATCTTCTTCAGTTTGATAGATACAGGCCCGCAGTTCCCGGTAATCTTCGTGCATTAGCATTTCCCAAGCTAGATCAACGCTATTCTGTTCTGCAACAGACTTTCTGTAGATTTGTGCCTTTCGCGTGTTCTCCTTGACGAGCTGGGCGTTTGGGACGCCAGGGTGGTCTACATCATGAATGATGGCAGAGAAAACGACCGCAAATTGCGTCAAAGGGTCTGATGTGATACCATACGAGTGACCAGTCAAGTCGACGAGGCCCAGGCTGCTTCCAGAATCATGCTTTCCAAGGCTATTTCCTTCGCCAACATTGACAATGCGGTTCAGCAGCTTCTTCACCGAGGACACAACGTGACTTGCGTGTTCAAAGTTGTGGAAGGGGTTGTCCTGATACATGGATGCTATATTGGATAGGTAAGTCCTGAGTTGAACCTTGGTCTGATCATTTATAACGACGGTGCTGGCACGGCGTCGAACCTGAACGTTTTCAGATTCCATTCTCTTGAGGTGGATGATAGGAGTGAATTCTTCCAAGACAGTCTTGTCTGATCCTGCCTTTTCAGCTTTTGCTAGAGTTGGATCTGGTGAAGCATCTTCGCGAGATGCCATGATTTGTTGGAGGAGCGAACAAAGTACTTCGGCGTTCCACTCCACCAGCCTGTCCGTCTTACTCATTTTCTTGACACCTTCCGTTTCAAGGTGAAGACCGTCTTCATCAGTATCAGATTGTGATGACTCAGTATCGTCATCAGATTCAGCAAGTGTCGTCATTTCTGACGCTCGGCTTGCATCCAATGACCGTTTGAAGGCACCGGATTTTTTGTCGGTTCGAATCCAATAGGTTTGCATGTCGCCCTTCCCCTTGACAAAGATCTTTTTTTCCCTTGCCACCAACGTTTTCCCCAACCCAGATTTCTTCAGCAAGTCAGCCGTGGCTTGAGAGATTTGAATACGGCCCTTCTCGCCACCACTCTCCATTCTTGATGCCTGGGAGAGGAGGAACGTAAAAAATTAGGGGATGATTCTGAAATCCAAGTGCCACAATTAGAGAAACCTACCGTGTTCACAGTGTCACCAAATAATTGAAAGCGGCTGCGATCTCCTCGCAATACACCGGCAGTGACTTGTCCACTAGAACAGAATAGAACCAAATCTGAGTGTAAGAGGATATGCTTTCTGTCATGTTTGGACTACCAAGATTTTTCGTACCTATGAATGCCAATACGCAACTCCAAATCAGCCGTATCTGGTCCCAATGTTACCTCTAACATCACAACAAGCTCCTTCATCTTCTTCAAGCAGTCTCTAGCGAACTTTGCTACACACACTGTTTCATTTGAAAAGCATCAATTTGTGAGTACAAAATAAATCCATTCATTAATTCGAGTTCAAAAAGTCAATGGATAAACGGGTTCGATCAAAACATCATAGCAACTTACACGCATGCTGCTTATTGGGTTCCGGAAGCCCCGCCACAGCAACAAAGCAATCACCGACAGTCTCAATTTTGAACACATTGTGTCGGTAGGCGATCTTATCGAAAGCCCCGTATATAGTTTCAAGCAGTTTGAATACTTGGTGCGGCTCACGTGCCGAGGACCAGGCAGTAAATCCGGCAATATCTGCAAACACGACTGTTGTGTTTGGGAAAAGATCGGCCAAAGGTGCACCCCCAACAACATTTGATTGGCCATCTTCATAGTCAAGAGGATCAAACAAGTCAGTTTGAGACTTATTCGCTTCATCATTGTTGGCATACAAACGATCGCGGATGGCAGTTGGGAAAACGTTCGTGACAATCTTATCTTGCTGCACAATGCGGTCCAAGAACTTTCTGTGAGCATGAGCGAGCGACGTGAGAGTGTTAGATGTTGTTTTGCAAATCGATCCATCACTTTGGTGTTTGATAGAAATTACCTCTGTTGTCTACCAACGAAGAAGTCGTAAAGAAGGAAGACGATGGTCGTGAAAACAAAGATCACAATGACAATCGCCATGAAAATGATCGGCCTTGATGTGTAGAAAGAATCTTCCATTGCTTGAGATGGATAAACGTGCATGGTAAGCTTCGGGACACACTGTCCCTCTGAAAGACTTGCCGAATCCACTTCGAGATCGACAAGTACACTTGAAACTGCAAGATACTCATACTTGGGATCATGCGTATCCGTTTCATTGAGAAGTTGAGCATTTGGACCGTTGATTTCATACGTCATGACCCCGACCTCCTCGAGAACAGTACGAGACAGTGCATCCACTTTGGGGCAACTGCTCTTCAAGACGACACTGATTCCATCAACACCTTCGATTAGAAGATTTTGGAAGTAGTCCTTCCATTCCATACGAACCCAAACCATGCCAACAAGCTCCCTGCCCTCGGCATCGGTGTCAACGCCACGAAAAACTGGTTGCATGATCTGGCTTTGCGCAGACATGGTGTCTCGCGCTGTAACAACTTGGGTGATTCCAATAGATGGGCCCAGAATATCACTGGTGATGCGGAACAGGTCAGAAATTCTTTGGCCTGTGAGGAGGTCATAATTTGTTGCCATCAATGGATTGATGGGATCTGTCTCGAACGGATACGTCTGCCAGACAGGCAAAACCGCGCCAGGTCTTGCGACTGGAGTTGGCATGAATCCATTGGCGGGATCATAGAAATGAATGAATGGTAGTGTCTTGGTCATCAAATCTGGTACGGTGTAGTTTCTTTCCTCGTTATCAATGGATTCTTGGTACCATGCAGGCGCCTCTTCCGAAACATAGGCACTCCACGCAGCCTTCTCGCTCTCCTCTACAATGGGCGAGAATAGAATGACAGAAGAGTTAGCTCCCATGACATTCTTCAACTTCTCAGCCTTTAAGGAATAGTGTGGTAGGGTGACGAATGGCCAGGTCTTGTTCGAGGCCAGTTGCTCAGAAATGGCTTGCGAGGCGATCGAGACGGAAAACGAATCGAGCGAACTGAACATTTGATCAGCTTTTTGCCGAGCCACCGTTACAATCTCAGAGGCATATGCTTCAAACTAGAATAATGGGAAATGTTTGCATTCGGTTAATGGTTAGTGACGTTGAAGTTGGGTCCTTAAGAGCGACTCGACAAAGAAAAAGACGAGCTCGTACCTGACTTTCAAAGTTATTTTTCTCTTCCTCAGTGACCAGCGCGTATGCGGTTGTCGCTAAGGCACACACTGCCAAGGTGAGTACGACAGCCACAAGTATTTTGGACAAAAAGACAAACTTCTGTTCCTTTTTGCCCACGACGGGGGCAGAATATGATGCTGCTCGACCAGTAGAATCAGAGCTACTGGACGAATCAAAGACAGATTTTCCAGCTATGGAGCAACCGCCACTGACACCGCAATCATCGGTGCTACCGGTAGATGTCATATCCTCGTGTTTGGACTTTGTCATCCTTCTGTTCGTGGTTGATTTTGATGTTGTGATGGTTTGAGCGGGGACAAATTTTTTTTTGGTTGGGGGTTTCCATCACTTTCACCAGAGAGCTTTCTATCTATCAATTGCATTTCGCAACATTCTCGTACCATAAGTCGAATTATCAAGAAAGACGAACCAGAGAAATTGAAGTAATTGGGCGGAAAGCGAAGTTGTTCGCTGACATTTCTTTGAATTACCGAAGACCCAGATTAGGACACATACTTGAGATAAAAGCTTCAAATTTTCCCAAAAAAAGGAGGCATATTGCATTGATAACGCACATTTTCATTATTTTTGTTTCGCTTCATAGCGGTATCCAGTGACCAAAAAGGTAACGAATCTTCCGATCGAGCTTCTTATCGAATCCATTCTGATCGAATTTTTATAGGTAGGACCTACACGTATCAAAAGATAAAAAATAAAGTTTGTGGATGCGTATGCTGCAGTACTGAGCTGACGATACTCGCTACTTTTATGTTCGCCTGCCGCTTTTTTATCTCTTTTGCCCACGACTCCGATAATTCCTTGTTGGTCCTTGTTACGGTTGTTACCGTCGTAAAGAAAGGTTGAAGTCGAACATTGCACAGCAGAGGGACTTGTGCTTCCACAACGAAGAAAGAACTTAAATCCTGCTTGCACCTTATGGCTCCCACTGGACATGTTCGCCACTCTGTTTCTGAATTTCTTTTTTAGCTCATTTTTTTCGTGACTGCAACTGTGCAACGATGCCATACCGTTACAGTAGGAAGCTAAGAAACAAGTTGAAACAGTGAATTTTAATCACTGTGCCGAAAAAAAGAGCGAGAGCAGAATGGTTCCTTCCGTTGCCCACGAGGTCCGCAATTCAGTTTCTTGCTTCAAACAGCAGAGCTGTGTCGACTGACTGACTCACACTGTCAATGGATGAAAAGGAACCATTGATACTACCACGTCCGCTTCCCCTTGCAGCAATCAATTGATCGACTGTAGTCCACTGAAATGTCCTCTGTTTTCTCAAAGTCTTGCATTAGCACCTTGCGATCCATCACACGAAGGAGTGCCATTCGAATCACCGCGGCTGGTCCACAGTTCCGATGGCAAGGAAGTGCGACAGAGGTTCCTGTAACATTGGCATTGGGTGTAGCTTTCTTGCCTCCTCCTTTGTAAGGCGCTTCCTGTTTCAACAATCGATCAAATTCTTGCCGAAACTTGCGAGCATTGGGGACTCCATTCAATATTCCGACCAATGGACGCAAGACACGGCTGAACACGTGCGAGGAAACTTTTGGCTTTGCGGTTCCACCACAGTCATAATCCATGGGTGCCACTGAAAGATCAGCATTTGGTGGACTGTCATTATCTCTGTCATCCTCGTCAGACATCCACATGGAGGCTGGGCCAAACTTGGCACACAACGGACACGCGTCATACTCTCGTTCTACTTGAAATGGCATGGGCAATGTCCTTGTATCCTGTGGATTGGAATCGCAGCATCTTGGAGGAACCACCTCTTCAATGTACTCCAAATACTTGGCAATGACCTCCCATCGATTCTGACATGGATTGGTGGGCTTTCCGTACAGGTATCGATCCACGTCCCAAAATAAACATGGGTTGTCCCGTGCTGCACGACCCAGCATGCAACCTTTCAAGTTTGTTGGGACAACCAAGGGTGCAGCCACACAAGAACCGTTGGGGAATTGGCAAACAGAACAGGGGACTTGATGCTGTGGCTGTTGGTGTTGTGATTGATTGATAGTCGACGCTTGTTGGTGTTGGTGTTGAAGATCTAGTGTCTTTGTCGTGTCTGCGATATCTGTGGTTGCGTCATCGTCGCTTTTCTTTTCATCCTCGCTAGTGATTTCTAGTTTCTCATCATATTCCGCATGCTGCTGTCCATGCTGACTTCCTTTTGGTTTTGTTGTCATCGTTTGCATTCCAAGACATAGGTGCTTGGCTGCCTTCAGATCGGGTATCCCTCCATTGATATGAAACTCACAATCTGGAAATTCGTCACATAAGGCATAGACCCACGGATAGTTCAAGGGCGGAATGGCCCTATTTTGCTTCGTCGTAAACTTTCCACCAAGGACTGCCTTACGGGCATGAATATAAAAGATTTGAATGTGTGGTGACAGCACTTGAATAAATTCTCTCAAGAGTTCAAAGGAATCCCAATCGTCGACTCCAATCCGGCACTTGACCGACAGTCGCATTCGTTTCGCAAAAAGACTAGATGTTGGTTTTTTGTCATGTTGATTACCTCCGTTCTCAACTTGACCGGTGATGCTATGACTAGGATCTTCAAACTGTTCGACTGCTTGTTGCATGGCTTCCACTGCTGCTTTGGCTACCTCTCGATGTTTCATCAAGACGGCACCAAACATGTTCTTGCCCGCGACAAGCTGACTCGGACACCCCATGTTGATATTGATTTCGTCATAGTCATAATGGGTCATGATTTTTTGCACCGCTTCAAAAATCCTTGAGGGAGAGTTGCCACCAATTTGGCAGACTATAGGATGACTACTAGTACTACTAGTACTATCAGCATAGCACTTATGGCCAGCGGCAAGTAATGAATCATCGTCCATTCCCAAATGATTGTCCAGATCTTTAGCATGTATGATTGTTCCATCTACGACCATTTCCGTCCACAAAGTCAATTCTTTGGACAAAATGCGCATCAAATGCCGAAACTCTCGTGTCGTCACATCCAACATGGGCGCAATGCCCAATACTTTGTCCTTGCCAAAGGTGGGTGCTTCTTGCTGTGATTGTTGTTGCTGTGGTTGTTGTTGATGTGATGATTGAGGCACCTCTGAAAGAGAATCAGGCTGATCCTCTGAAAGAGAAGCAGGCTGATCCTGCTGATGGTCTCCACTTTCCTCGTTCAATGGTACGCGTTTTCTTTTTGAATCTTCGTCATGATCATGATCATGATCATGATCATGATCATCATCATTCGTTTCAGTGTTGCCATCTTGAGCAACTGTAACATCGACTTGCTTGTCCTTGTTGGTTCCATGATTCATTATCAAAGAGTACCAGTACTTTATGGTTTAGTCTGGAGGGTTCGTGTGTGTGAAGGCTACAGTATCAAGTACTGTACCGGGTAGTTCAGTTTTGGTTGGAGGGTGCATGCGGTGAACAAATAATGCATTTCTCCGTTTCTCATTTTGCCGTTTGAGTACGCCTGCAGTGCGTACGTGTCCGTGTTATCGTCAAATTCTGACGCAGGACAAACTGGATCCATCGTTGACGTTCGACTTCTGGCTTTTCACCGACACCTACCGACACCGACACCGACAAATCTTGAAATCAATGAATGGATCATCCACCAACCAACAATTTGGTTCAGGTTTGGTCGAAAGTTCCACGCTGGCAAGAAATCCCCATCGCTAGTAGCAGACCATACAATCATCATCTACAGTCTTTGCGTCATTCCTTGATCAGTCAGTTGCATTGGCAATAGAGCAATCCATTCAGTCTATTTGTCCATTCATTCATTGACACAACAACACTTGTTGTTTCAGATTGGCAGTGGAAGTGGAAGTGACACTTTTACCCGTCAATCAATCTTGATATCTGTTGATCAATTCACAGCAAGGATGAAAGCAAGTAGTCGCAAGGTATCGAGCTTTTCATCATCATTGATGATAGTCACAGCGACCATCATTTGTCTAGGATTGAGTGGTAGTGGTAGTGGTAGAGGCAGTAGTAGTATTCCAACTGTTCATGCAGGACATCCATGGGTTTCCAGCACTACTGCTACGCGAAAATCCAAACCAACATCCACCACAACCGCTAAAAGACGGTTTTTGGCAACAGATGAAGATCCAATAGCTGTCATTCCTACGAGTTCCAAAACGAGAAAGCATACTCGTATCAAACAGGAAGACGAGGACGCGGCTGAAACCAAGCCTCCAAAACGTCGGTCCTTCTTTTTTCAATCGAGAAAAACGGACGATGAGACCAAAACGACGGAAGAGTTGGAACCAAAGGACAAACCCCAAAACAAGCGCAAGACAGCCCCTTGGAAGGAAACTCGAAAGCCAAATGTAGATGAACCTACCAAGAAGAGGCAACCTCTTTTTCGGTTCAGTAATAGACCTTCCAAGAACTCGAAGGAAGAAAAGAAAGAAGCTGACGGCAAGTCTACAGAAAACAATGACCCCAAAAAGGATAAAGATGAAGAAAAGGCAAGACGCAAGAGTCGATTCCAGCGTGCCAGAGAAGCTAGACAGGAACGACGACAACAACAACAACAGCAACAAGAAAAGGAGGCAACCCACAAGACAACCCCTTCCAACGCCACTGATACCACTGAGGAAAGTGCTACCACCAACAATTCAACATCAACGGACGAGGCAACCAATGACGAGAGTAAAACTACCAGTACTACCAGTGCCAGCAATAATTCCACCTCGGCATCCAATACCAATACCACTATAACTCTTTTTGATGGTGTTCCACCCAGGAATATGCCTCCTACCAGGTACCCTCCACCAAGTATGTATTATCATCGACCCTATCCATCTCGCCAGAGCGGAGGGATTACACTCGATGGGTCAGGTGGTCCATCTTCCATGCCATCCAATACGGCCATCTTGGCCACTGCCATTATCTCGATCGTGGGGGTTGCGTCACGGTTGTGGCTCGTCTTGTTTATTACCAACAAGTTGGCTTCAGATGCCGAAGATTTGTTGCCGCCAATTCAACATTTTGTCTGGGAATGCTTGAATGATAAATACTCCAAGGATGCTCGGATCTTTGACAAGGCCTTGAGGCAAGCACCGATGGGGTTTACGAAATGGCAATGGAAGGCATACCTAAAACAAGAGAAACAAAAACACAGGAGACTGAGGAAACAAGAAAAGCAAGCGGCATTGTTGCAACTCGAACAAGCAAGAGATGAGATGGATAGTAACAGTAACACCAGCACTACGCAAGAAGAAAGAAGCAATTCGAACGCAGCTGCCCTAGCAATGGGCTCCTTGGACGAAAATCCTATGATGTCGATTCTACGCCGACAATCCCCCGATTTTCCCACACAGACGACCATTGTGGTGGACTTGACGCCCAAGAATGAACCATTGAATCTGTCGTACCTTTCTGACATTGTTAATTTGTTGATTCAAGTCCATTCTTCCAAGAACCACAACAAGAATTTGGATCGTCGGATTGCTCCCATGCAAACAGAGGTTGTTTTGTTGCTGACATCACCAGGTGGTGCGGTCACGACATATGGATTGGCGGCAGCCCAAGTGGCCCGTCTAGAAAAGGCGGGGATTCGAACTACTGTTTGCGTGGATCACGTTGCTGCCTCGGGTGGATACATGATTGCCAGCCAGACATCTCAAATCCTTGCGGCGCCCTTTGCCATGGTAAGTGATTGCTGCTGACTGTTGACTGTTGACAACAATATCGAAAAGAAGTGCAAAGGCTTTGATGATACTTGAAGCACCACTCCTCACGCCTGTTTGTTGTCCATTTGGATATCTATTGTAGGTTGGAAGCATTGGAGTGATTCAAGAAGGATTCAACATCAATAAGCTGATGGAAAAGTACGGCGTAAAACCATTGGTATTAAAGGCAGGGGAGCACAAGAACCAACTTTCGACTTTTGGACCCGTATCCGATAAGGATATGAAGGATGAAACCAAACGAATTGAGGAAGTCCATGAATCGTTCATTGAATTATGTACATCCAATCGGCCTTCTTTAGATCCTGCCATTTGCGATGGGAGCGTCCTCTTGGCCAATCGGGCATTGGAATCGGGTCTCGTGGATCGCATCTTGACGTCCGACGAGTACCTCTGGGAACGGATTTGTGCCGGAGACCATGTCTTGAAACTCCACCGCTCTCGTACGGATCAACGACGTGTCTTTGCTCGGGCCTTGGATTTGTTGCCCCATTTGAAACAACGTATTCAAGGGATGCATCTTCAAAAGATGGTTACCTATTTGGTGCAGGGGTACGCATTCTTCAGTATGGCTCGGAATCAGCTTTTCCCAATTCTATTACAGCATCAGTGACGGTCCTAAAATCAAATCAATAAAAAAGAGTGGATCTTTGTGTTCGTGTCCGTGTCCGTTTGATTCCTCAAGTGTCCGTAACAAGGCGTATTGGGATCTTTGTAACGGTGGAGTACGAGACTTGGAAGAAAACGACACGTATCAATCGAAGACGTTCATCTCTCCTACAAAAAAATAGTTACACGTATCAGATTTCTGTTGATGGCCGAGTTCTGCTGTTGACTCTCAAAGATGAATCTTGAAAGCCAAAGTCATCCTTGTTGCACCGCGCTCATAGATTTATCGTTGGCAACTTCTATCGAACATATACCGCAACAATGGTTTCTGAAACACGTCCAATTATTATTGCTGGAGCAGGCCCATGTGGTTTGGTGACAGCCCTAGTGCTTCAGAATCATGGCATTCCATTTCTTATTTTGGAGAAGACTTCACGCTCCAAGCTCTGCTCCGATACAGGGGCAGGGTTTGATTTAGCTCCAACAGCCTTGAACATTCTGATCCACCGCCTCGGTCTGAGCAAGGAGAGAATAGATGAAACTTTATCACGATACGAGAGATGGTATATTGCTACTATACATGGAGACTTGGTCAAGGACGAAGGAACACCCCAGTCTGCTTTGGAAGACTGTGCCTGCACTCACCGTTCCGCGTTGCAACAGGCTTTGTTGGATCAACTGTTGCAAAACGCAACAACAGAGGAAACCGAGTTTCTCAAATGCAATTCATCTCTAGAGTACTATCAAGAAGAAGAGGACCAAGTTAAAGCGGTAATGAATGATGGGTCCATTCTTGTCGGAAAGGCTCTGCTTGGATGCGATGGAATCAACTCCAAAGTACGAAGCTGCATGAACGAACACAGAGAAGACCCATTGCAGTACCTTGGGACGATGTGCTACTGGGGCAAATGCCCGCGTGAAGAAGTCGAGAAATACAGTAGTGCGCACAAGTCTAATAGTAGCACATTTGTTTGGCTTTTGGGAACAAACAAGGTTCCGGGTTCCTTGTTCATCACACCATCCAATGGAACGTACCGATATCTCTGGTTCCTCAGTGTGCCATCAGGCAAACCATTGAGTGGCACATTGGATGACTTGACGCGTCGAGGCGGCGCCGTCCTTTCGGAGATGGCGAAGACAGAGCTTTTAAACACCTTGGACGAAAACGGAGCCTTGGACCCAGTGTTGAAAACTGTGATTTCAGGGACACCAGCCGGCGAAATCACTGAAGCCGGCTTATTTGATCGAGTGAACTTGGATTTACCCTTTTCAAGCCCTCGAAAGCTCGTTGCTCTATTGGGTGACAGTGCCCATCCCCAGTCTCCCTACTTGGGGCAAGGAACCAACTGTGCGATTACAGATGCCTACTTCTTGGCTACAAAGCTTGCAGGGGTGTCCGCACAAGAGGCAATCACTTACTATGATTCAGACCAGCGACGCGAGGAAATGAAGAATCTCATTGAAAAAGCTCGCCAACAGGGAAACTTTTTGAATTCAAAGAATCGCTTTGAATGCTGGATACTTCGGACCATTCTACGATATGCTCCGATTGATGTGGACGAGCTGAAGAGGTACGATTTCTCTAACAAAAACATGCTGAGCCGTCTGGATGGGATTAAGGCGAAATCCAGTGATGGGGGCGCCATGACAAAGCCAATCCTAATTGCTGCTTTTGTAGTTGCGGTGTTTGCTATTGGACTTCGGATGTTTCTCCAGTACTGGTAGCAGAGACTGGAGAAGTAATAAATGACAAATAGAAAAGGAAACCACGAGAATTTGTTCTCATGATGCCAGCTGTTGTAGAACTAGCGAGCTATTGCAAGAAGGGGGTGCATAATTGACTGATCACGAGGTGTTTCGAGCAAGACACATGTCAGCCATTCTCCGGTTGCAACGTATAGTCCCAACCTATCGCTATGCCTTTATCTCTGATAGGGCTCATTGACAGTGCTGCAAGAGTGTGCTGCAGGTACTGTCATGAGCCCAGGAATATTCGCCTCTTGAACTGCAGTGATAGCACAGTACTCATCTTCGTCTCCAGCCGCTCCACTCACACCCACAGCTCCAATCACATAGTCACCCACCTTTAGCATAATTCCTCCTGGAAAGGGCGCCATTTGGTTGCCACTAATGGCCACCATGGAGGTCATTTGACAAAACTTCGCGGAAGCTTCTTCTGCAGTGTAGCGGTCGCGAAAGACACGGGACGGATATTTGTTGACGATGCAACTGTAGGCCTTTGCGCGGCTGAAGTCGGGTATTCCGACCACAGAGCATCCATCCATGCGTTTGGAGACAATGGTGCATCCAGATGCGTCCAGAACAGTCACCGCAACTGGACTAAATCTGTTTCGCTGGCAGATCGTAATAACGATGTTTGCAATCGTATCAGCCTGCTCCAAACTCAATGTAGGGACCACTGTAAATGCTCCGCTCACATTGGCTTTTCCATAACTGCTCCCGACAGGGGTAGATCCGCCACCAAGATTGTCCAAATAGCTGCCAATCCGAGTTGAACGTTTAGTGATATCGGTTGATGTCACGTGCGTCCGTTCCTTGACGAGAAAGGCAGACGTCTCAGAAACTGAGGACAGTAGTAGGAGCAATGCAAAATTTGTCAGGGGATGCATCATGGAATAAGGTTTTGATTTGAGGTTGGCAACAGTATGAAGTCCTTTTCTGACGATGCGTTGACTGATGTTTTGGATTTGGTCTGACATCGCACTCGGGACTGACTGAATCAAATGTGCTGTCCCGCGTGGCGGGAGATGTGAGACGAATTTTGGGTAATGCAATTACGATTATAACAACCATTAATATGTAACTAAAATGTTACAAAAAGCATTCTTTTGGACAAGAGTGATAACAAAGATGATTGATTCATTCATTCGATATGCTCTCACAAGTCTTCCACAAGACATTCTACAAACTTGGCGAGGTGCTCTTGCGCCTTGCTCCATTTTTCAATGTTTCGTTCCATAGCCAAGGCCTCTAACCATTTGATTCCGCCTTCTTCCTTCCATTTGACAACATCCGATTTCATTTGATCCAATTGTAGGAAGTTGGTTTGTATTTCCTCTACATTGAGAAATCGATTGATTGACGCAAAGGACCATTTGGCCGCTTCCCCATTCAAGAGCGGACGAATGCTTGTCATCCCCTCCTCTTGGGCAGTGCGTTTGGCTGCTTCGCATTTGGCTAGGGCATCCGTGATAAAATGCGATGAATCTGTCGTTTCATTGGAATCAATGGAAGCAGCAGCACCAGTTGCAGTTTTGGCAGCTGCTTTTATTGGTGTTGAATTGCTGTTGGCAGTAGTTTTTGATTTTTGCTTCATTGTAAACAATCGATGGGAAAACGTTTCTGAGACCCCATCACCGGCCAGTTTTGTGACATTGTTGTAATGTGAAGCACTAATGGAATTCACTTCTTCATTGTCAGTGATGGATTCTTCAGTTGCGACCGTCGTTGATGTGGTGTTGGATGGCGACGACGATCTTTGTGTGTGCGTTGTCGCATTTTTAGGGTTCGCGACCTTGCTATTGTTGCTTGCAGTAGACCCCCGCTTTCCTTTTGTCTGAGCCCTTCGTCGCTTCTTTACCCCAAGTTCATGTTCCTCCGCGTCTTCGTAATCTTCATTCCCATGCGTAGTCTCTGCTACATCATACTCCCCCTCAAAGGCAGTCCCTTCGGCCTTATCAATTTGATTATAGATTTCTTTCATTTGTTCTGAATATGGAAAGAGTTGCAACTTGTCTACCCATTGATCAGAGGTGGCCAAGAAACCCGTGTAATGCACTTTGTACTTGCGACCATCCACGAAATCAGCCATCTCCACAATCTTGCCCCTCCAGAGTTGGTCGTAGACATAAACGTTATCACCTTCCTGAAAGTCATTGGCACTATTCTTCATGTTTGCAGTTGTTGTGGTGACCCCTGTAGTTAATTTGTCTCCGTTCGGTGTCCGTCGTTTCCGTGACTGTTTCTTTTTGCCTCCTCCATTGTCAAAGACGCCACAGGTTCGTTGCTCAATTTCCAACTCGGTGGCGGGTCGAAACTTATTCTTTTTCAGAAAAACAAAATACCTTTTCCCAAGAAGATGCTTGTCGTTGAGAATCCTTTGATACAACGTCGACGACCAGTAGTATTGATTGCTGTAAGTGCCAACAACAGAAGCCCATTGTTTGGTTCCAGGATGATTCTCTAAAAAGTCGTAACAACCAAATAGAACGTCGGTATCTTTGGGAGTACTTTCGTCTTCTTCAGTTTCATTGGAAGCGTTGTTTGCGTTGACCGAGTCGGAACGCGTTCTCCGCCGATGAGTGACCATGATGGATGGGTAGGTCTCTTGTGCTAGATGTTTCTCAGATCTGATCAAGGTACGATATACAATAGTTACTGGTAGATCTGATGTTTCTAATTGATTCTTCATTCGTTCATTCCCCCAAATTTTGTCGATTTCGACTAATTTGACTCCCATCTCGAAATCGTCCATACGATATAGTACTACCGGTACCTGGTACAGGGTACATACCAATAATGTACACATCCCGCGATACTGTTCACACCCCGCCCCCGATACTGAATACTGTACCGGAATGCGCGTGTAATGTGGCTTCCAATTGCGGAGTATCCACATTCATTCCTTGCATTTCCCGCCAGTTTTGCATTGGCAATTCGTTGGTGGTACCGGTACGTATCGCCCGCTTGGTGATGAAGCATGAATAGTTCGAATATATTTGGCGCGCCAGCCTTGGTGCTCGCCTATATAGTCGGACTGGCTCGCTCCGAAAAGTCGTCAAATTTTTCTCTTGTGGCCGAATTCGTCTCCAATGTTAATTATGTACTTCCAATGCATCCTCTACTTGAAACACCTCCATTGGCTCTTACAAGCGTTCATTAAATAACGACAAGATCCAATATTTCAGTCTTCCTAAACATGTGTGGCGAACGGAAAATCCAAAACCGACGAGCGACGACCGCTCGAATTCGATTTCCAACTCAGAAACACACCTCGGGTACACTTTCCCCTCGTGTTGTGTGCAATCAATCGCATACGCCTTAGAATTTAGAAAATGGTGATGGAAGAAGAACACCCCATGGACGAACCCACGCCCAAGGTTGTTCTTGAAACCTTGAAGGCTGAGGAAGAGGCCAAGGAGGTTCCCGCTCCTGCTGAAACTGCCCCCGACACTCCAATGGATGAAATGTTGTCTGACAGCAAATCGGTTCGTTCCGCAGTATCCAGCAAGAAGGAATCTCCCGCAACCGAGGAACAAGTTGAAGAAAAGAAGCCAGAAGACAAGCCTGTCGAATCTGTTGAAACCCCTGAAGTTGAAGAAGAAAAGAAGGAGGAGGAGGGTGCCCCTGCTGTTGCGCCAACTTCTGAAGGTAAGGATAACAAGGCTGTGAAGGAAGCTGTCGAGGTCGAAAAGGAGGCAGAGGAAGACAAGGAATCCGCCAAGGACGAAGCTGCTGAAGTCGAGGATGTCAGCGAAGAAGCCAAGCGCGAAACCAGCAAGCTGAAGAACATTTTCAAGTCCATCAAGTCCATCAAGAAAAAAGTCAAAAAGATGAAGACCAAGAGATCATCCAAGAACAAGGAGGCATCCCCAGATGAAGTTCAAGAGCCAGAACCTAATCCAGCTGAAGACCACGAGTTGGATGTCCCCAAGCTTGTGGACAATAAGACTGTGGAAGACAAGCTTGTGGACGACAGTGCCAATCCAGCTCAAGAGACACCTGAAGAAGAAAAGGAAGATACAGATGATGAAGCCGCTGAAAACGAAGAAATCATCAACAGTCTTCGTGGAACCGTCTTGAGTCTCGATGAAGAAAATAAGGAGTTGAAGCGCCGTATTATGCGCATGAAGGCTCAACTTAGTGGAGAACCACAACAGCCTTTTGATGAGCGTGTTACCGACACTCTCGCCACCAAGGAATTTGAGAATATGTCTCCCGACGAAAAGATCAAGCAATTGGATTCTCAAGTCCAAAAGTGGCAAAAGCTTTACTTGGAATCCAATGAAATTGGTGCTTCTCGCATTGAAAAGTTGGAAGAAGGATGCGACGAGGTCTCTACCATGGCCAAATCCACTTCTGGCAACACCAATGATGATAAGGAATCCATGGGTAATAACGAAGATCGTATCTTGATGCTCGAATACCAATTGCGTGAGTCTGTCAAGGTCTTGAAGACGGCCCAAAAGAAAATGGTGGCCCAACATGAGAAGGAATTCCACCTCCAAAAGACTGTTGATGATTTGAGTGAGCAAATCAACGAACTCAATGGTCAAGTCCAAAAGGCTAACGATTCTGAAGCCAACATGAAGGTCCAATGGGAACAAGAACAAAAGAATAAGCTGGAAGCCGAAGCCCAATTGGCCCAAGAAAGACAACGATTGGATGACTTCCGCGAGGATTTGGGCTTGGCGCCACTCTACAAGAATGAAGCGGCAGTGGTCGATGATCAAGTGGATCAGCAAATACAGCAAACTAATAACTCTTCAATCTTTTGCTGGGGAGGAGGATCGTCGGCTCAACCCATTTCGCAATAAATTAAATATTCCGAACAGCGTGGTTCGGAATGATGGATGATCATGATGAGAGCAAGAAACCTGAGTTGGGCAGTTTCGAAAGATGTCCATGTACATCATCATCATCAATAAAAACAGTTGTATTGCCCTTTTGTAACTATAATACATATAATAATTTCGTTTTCTTTACTGAATTGCTGATGTTGATAATACTGTAGGCTGTAGGTACTTCTTTCGTCCTGCAGTAGTTGAAGTTGAGTCACGAAAAGTTGAATCCCGGTTGCAATGAAAATGAAAATGCAAGAGATTCCCGCACCTTTGAAACCACCCATGATCAGACACATTTTGAATTTGCATTTGTTCTACAATTCACAATCACAAAATAAACAGCGTTTGGACACCATGTCTCCGCCAAAGAGATCCCTCGAAGGGACACGTCTAGAAACCCCTCTTGGAAACAGTGGAGAAGAAGCAAGAGCACCCCATAACCCACCACGACCAGATGATGATCTACCAAGCAATATTTGCGATTCGAAGCAACTTGTGTTTGTTCCCCAGGAGTGTTTGAGTGGGAATCATGAGAGACCATTGTTGCACGTGGATGCTTCAGGTCGCAAGTCGACGTACTCTCTCCAACCAATGCAGTATTCTGTCATGTTTATCTTGATGGTGGAGTTGTTGGAACGATTTTCCTACTATGGCTACTGTTATACATTGACTCTATACCTCACGGGTGCCTACAATGAGGATTGGAATGCTGGGTTCGAATCTGTCAAGGCTGCTTCGTTTGTATCTTTGTCAACTATGGTTGCTTACACGACACCCTTTATTGGAGCCATCCTGGCGGATTCCGTTTTGGGAGACTACAGATCCATACTTTTTGGACTCTTGTGCTTTTATGTGCCTGGTGTGTCCATTTTCACCCTGACATCAGTTCCTGGATTTTTTGGAGAAGAATTCAATGAATCCCTCTTGTTACTTTCTTTGGTTGTATTGTGGCCTCTTGGGTAAGTGTTACACTCTTCCTGATGAATTGCTCTGAACTGAATTGCTTTCATCTGAATTGTTCTCAACTACTCTTTTCTTACCGACGCGATGGTCTCTGTCTCGTTCTCTGTCTCTAGTACTGGCATTGTAAAGTCCATCGTGAACGTCTTCGGAGCAAAACAATTCCATCCCTTGCTTCAGTCATCCCTCATTGAGGCCTACTATGTCAAATTTTACATGGCGATCAACATTGGCTCTATGGTGGGGATTTGCTCCATTCCAATTCTGGCCCAGCACAATGTGACCATGGCCTACTGCGTACCATTATGTCTTTTGTTGTTTGGTGCGACGGTGTTTATTTCGGGAACTCCGCGCTATGTTCGAGCACCACCCAGTGGTAATCTATTTCGCAGGAAAAGGGTCAGAAAGACTGCTCAATCCATCCCCCTTTCCAGTATCTTTCGGATTTGTCTTTTGATCGTGCCCTTTAGTACTGGATACAATCAGATGCCAACGACCTTCATCGTCCAGGGTGCTGTCATGACAAAGGCATTTGGTTTTATTGATGTTGCAAGTATGAATAGTTTGGACGCTATTTCGGTGCTTTTCTTTGGTTCCATCACGTCAACATACATTTATCCCTACCTCGCATCCCGAGGCATCAAACTACCGACTACGTACAAATTTGCCATTGGATCTGGACTGGGGGCTCTTGGCATGTGTTGGGCCCTCGTTGTGGAGAGAATGATTCACGCTGCATATGAAAAGGACGGTAGTCAAATATGTGTTTTGTGGCAAGCGCCCGCCTACATCCTCATCGGATGGGGGGAGATTTTTGCAGTTTCGGCTGCCTGTAAGTGATGATGCGTGTTCTATTGAACGCTGTTTGGCAATTCAGAAGTTCTCATAGTCGTATCTCTTGGTTGTCCTCTTTAGACGAGGTCGCATTCAAAGCTTCCAGTCCCGACAAGAAGGCTTTGGCCAGCGCGACAAACATTTTCTGTGTGGGAGGACTTCCAAACATATTATGTATCATGTTGTATCATTTCTGCAGTCCTTGGTTCGAGAACTCTCATGGCACAACTGCGATCGGACACATTGATGAATATGCAACTGCAAAGATCGGCAATTACTTCTGTGTCCTTCTTGGTGTCATGCTGTTTGGAGTAGGGCTCAATCTTCTACCTTCCGTTCGTGACTTTGTGGACGGTATTGAGAACCAATCGGTGGACATCCTCAAGACACCGATAGTCCAGAAAGGACGGGGCCGTAGGAACGGTGGAACCGATGAGAATACAGCATTGTTAACACCCGGTTCGAAGAGATATCAAGATTACATGAAGTTTGGCGACACTCCTGTTCTATACAAAATGGGATCGATGCGTGCTGGAGCTTCGTTGAGCAACAGTGATATCGGGCATACTAAGCCGATGAAATATAAATATGTGCCCAAGATCTATCAGAGTGTGGGAGAGTTGGGAGATGATGGGAAGCCAATCAAGGACAGTGGTGCTGTGAAAGGGAAGCAAAAGAACGATCTTGGGCGACTGAATTCCACATGAGCGTCATCGTTTGTACAGTATTAGACTTTTAAGCAGGATATACATCGTTTGTACAGTATTAGACTTTTAAGCAGGATATAACTAGAGTTCACAGTTCAGTCTGTATCGATCCATCAGATCAAACACCAATGATGATTCAGTGACTATGAACGATTAACGTGATCAATGACAATGAGTCTTGACACTTTAGAGGCGTCTGGCCATGGCACGAAAGCTTTCGGACACGGACATTTCCGTGATTAACAGCTATGCCAGTTTCAACATGCCTCCAACACAATCGATGGAAAGAAAGTCTTTGCAATTCATACCTGGTAGTCTACTGAAAGCCAGAGAATAAGCCCACGATGCCCAATATCAGTAGATCAGCCGAAAGGCTCATTTTCGTGATTATATTGTCAATTCTTTACGTTATGAATCAGCAGTCGAACAGCGCCAATATCAATCAAGACCATCATGATCAGTATTCATCGGCTGATCCAATTCCATCAACAAAATCTGATTGTAACAACGACGGTACGCAACGAGATTTGGGACAAAGCTCGCCGAATTTGGAAATAATGGCTCCTTCACATTCTCTGAACCGCTCGGAAATGGAGGTTATTGAAAGCACAACGGACCAAGGCGGAAATGCTACGGATCGGAAATGGGTCAAAGATCGATTAGTAATTCATTTGGGCAAGGAACACTTCTATTGGCACTATGGACAGCGCCGCCTATGCCAAATGTTGCAGGATATGACGCTGACGGGAGAAATTCAGCAGGACCCAAAGTACTTTCGGGATCCTATTCCTGGACGTCCGATTCCAAAGTTGGTGACTGAGTTGAACTGTAATAGCATTCGTGGATATTTTGGTTTTGGAGAAGGCAATTGGGTCAGTGCTGTATATTCGTCACGAATGGCTGCAGCCAGAGCCAAGGTGGATTATAGCTTTTCTTGCCGGAGTGATACTCGTAATCGTTTGAAGTTCATACTTCCGTGGTTAGAAGTTGAGCAAAAAGCTCCCACCATGGATGATCCTTGGCCTTACACGGGACCAATTGCGACTGTCCCGGAAGTTTGTGGTCAAAGATACGATGTGGTAAGGTTGGACAAGTTTGCCGACCAAATTATTGAAGATATGCGAAAAATGGCTGTCACATTGGTGGGCTCTCAAGATGATGGAATTCGAGTACACCCATCCGTACCAATCGACCAGCCACCCATGGTTCCAGATGTTGTATTGGATGATGTGGTGATTCATTTTCGGTGTGGAGATATCATGGGTGGTGGTGGACGGGGAGATTATGGGATGATCAAGTTCACCGAGTATTTAAAATGGATCAACAAGAACGAAACGAAACGCATTGGTATTTTGACGCAACCATTTGATCCCGCGAAACTGCGACAGAAGGATGTCTACAATGCTGAAAGATGCAAGGTTGCTACATACTTGCTGTCCGACACGCTGCAAGACTTTGTTCCAGATGCTACCATCACAATTCACAACGGCGACAATGAGACGATACCTTTGGTGTATGCTCGCTTGGTAATGGCGAAGCAGGCATTCATTTCATTGTCATCTTTAACCTGGTTCCCAATGATTGGTACTTTTGGACACGGCTATTTTCAAAAGGGGAACCCAGGAGTGAACCCCTTTGCCGAACATTTACCGGCAAAGATGAATCATTTGACAATGATGACAGCGCCATGGCTGTCACAAAAGCAAATTTCGAAAAAGACGTTGAACGAAACATTGAAATGGTTCATCACACCCGAGTAGTACGGTGGCTCTTTGAGGAAGTGCAATCTGGACTCCAACCATTGGCGCCAGCGCTCGGAAATCAATAATAGAATATAGACAACACAGCATTTAATAGTCCCTCAGGCTTGTCTTCTGGAAAATTCGTAGACCTTGTTTACTACTGCTTATCTGAGATCTACAGGTAGTCCCATCTTTTCCAGACGGTCCTCCAATGCCGTCTTTTGTTTCATTCCATACTTGCGTTCGTCTCCAGGCAACAGCTTTCCCAATGTGCTTCCTTCAGCACGCGCCAAGTCTTCGTCCTCCAATCCTTGTTTTCGGATTTGGTTTTCCAAAGCTGCAATGGTTCGTTTCAACAATCGCTTTTCATTTCGGCGATGTCGAATGGCCATGCGCTGATTGTACGACAACAATCGGAACATTCCCTTGTCCTTGATCAAAGCGGCATCGTCTTCTTCGGTATTGGGATAGTTGCCCAATTGTCGTGTTACAGCTTCAATGACCGATCGCAAAACGGATGCCTCGTTTGCGGCAGAAATGGTTCGAGAATAATCAAATTCACTCAAGGGTCGTCCACGTGTATCTTCGGGAGTCATTTGCATCAATCGCAAGAATTCCAAAAGTTCGACAGGATATCGATCGGCATAACAGGGGAAATCGACCATGGATTTACGTCCAACAGAGTCTAAGAACTCGATCTTTTCTTCGGCCAAGGGATCAATGGGGATGCTTTCATCTTTGAGTTCCTTGACAAAGGATTCGGTGCGGGGAGCAATGGCAACAGTGACATCAACCGAGTTAAAGGGGTTGCGTTCGACAGCGAATCCATACAATAGCAATAGTTCCGCATTGGATTTGGGTCCGTAGGAAATGTAAATCTAAGCAATTGAAGTGTAACGGAATGGATGAACAAATTAGGAACGACGTGAGTGGGGGCATTCAATGCAAATTGTAAACAGCTCAGCAGCGAGGTACAATGTTCGATCGACTCACCTGTTCCATGCGACGGTATCCTCGATCGGCATATAGAATTACTTCCTCTTCACCACTAGTAAAGAGCCAATCTCCACCTTCCCGAGCATCAATGTAAGCTTGAGAAAAGGGGGAATGATTGATCAAGTCGGCGTATGGGACCAATGCCAAAGCTTCACCCTCCTTGAGACTGCGGAGTCGAATGGCACGGGAGAAGAGCATGGTAAATGCCCAAAGCCAGTTTTCATAAGTGTATTTCTAAATCGAAAAAAAGAAAATATGAGTGAAGATGGAAAGTTGCTGATGATTCATTCATTCATCAGTCGATCCACAATAAACTAAATCGAACGAAAGCCGTAGGACTTGTTCTGTCAGTGTATAAAACATAACAATAGTCAACTCACATCTTTGGGAAATCGATCAGGATACTTGGTGCAGAGACCATCTTCTCCACCCAACAAGGCATCGTATTCCCGTTGAAGTTTCATTTGCAAACTACGCGTAGCGGCAATCACTGGAGATCCGTCCAAAAAGGACAAATCCTCATCGTTCCACGAAAACGTAGGATTGACTTCTCCCACTTCGGGCAAGACATCCATGTAGGGTTTCCAGTAGGATTCGTCGCCCATTACAAACTTTTCGTGAATCAAATGACACGCCAGGACGAGATATTCATTGACATCCGCGGAAAAGATATCCTTGCCCAAGGCCTTGCGGGCCGATCGTTTGGTCATACACAGCTTGAGAGGAATCTTGAACAAATTGTCGCCATCATTAATGTCGCGTCTGGCCAAGAGTCCTCGTCCAGAAGACTCGTTTGTGATTTCATCACGGGTATCCGTCGAAATGGCCATGGGATGTGGAGCTTCTCCCCAAGAGGACACTTCCGCCAAATACACATCTCCTTCTTCTTCCAACCATTGAATCAGAGCAGCATTAGCACTAAGTTTGTTATTGCCACCATCTTTGTTGCCAAGGAGACCCTTCATTTTCATTTCGTTTTCAAAGGCTCCTGGTGCTTCAGGAGTATTCTCTAGTAAGGCTTTGACCCATTCACTTTCACCACCTTCACCACCTGCCATGGAGAGAGTCGTGGACTTTGAGATTCTTGCATCAGGGGAGACAAAAGATTCAGCTTGTTGTGACTTCAGAAGTGACAGGGAAAGGATTGCGAGCATTGAGAACTTCATGTTGAATGGAGTGTAGACTTAGATGCGTATAGTATGGTGGATGATTGCTTCTGACGTTGTCGCTTGTGAACGAGATTAGTACAGTTCGTCTCTGGGAGGAATGTTTTTCAGTTAGACACTGTTGATTGACTGATTGATTCGTTCAGTCGCTTGTTTGTTAAGAGCAACGAGCAAAAGGTTTATATTGAGAGACTTTGGAAGATCCTGAATTCTTCCTCTTTAAAGTTTGTTTTCATGTCCTCGTCATCATCGAGCTGGTTTGTTTTCGTCCCAAAATTCGTCGCCACGTGGATGCAAAAGGAGGGATCCCCCTTTTCCAAGTTTGTAAAAGTCAATATTTTGGTCGGTGTGCCGGACATATTTGACGTTTCGTTAAATGAGTACAAAGTTGCCCCTCTAATTGACAGTTGCAAAGGTGCATAAATCTTTGATCGTACAAGGTAGCCTAGCACAAAAGCCCACAGAAACCGGATTATCTGTCAACTGTTTGATCAACTTGCTCAGTGATGAAAGCGATACGTACCCATTCTTTTCAGCAATGAGGAGTCAACCTACCGGTAGCCATGCACCCGATCTGAAGAATAAGCAAAATGAAGAGGCAGTAGTGATTGGTGGAATCGAAAGTGGAGACTCCAAGTTGAATGACAAACATCGTTCTTCTTCGTCAAGACGTCACAGCGACGAGAGAAAATCAAGAAGGTCTTCTCTCGAGAAGGGCACTTCCAAAAAGGCATCGTATCGATCCTCTAGTGATAGACCCCCTCGTAACAGTGGTGGTGCATCAAGTCGGCCTTCTCATGGAAGCAATTCTAAACGAAGGAGCAGCCGGCACAAGCATTCAAGTAGTAGTAGACGAAGGCTATCGAAAGAAAGCTCACATCGCAGGAGCGATAAAGAGCGCGGTCATTATTCTCGCCCTTCTACTTATAGGTCTCCTTTGCACAGCAACGAAAGCGATGAAGTAGTAGATACACTCTATGGAAAGGACAATGCTAATGATAACAAGGAAAAAGAGAAATCATCCAGAGGAAGGTCGGAACGTGCTGTCAACCCAGGGGTGGAGCACATCAGTGGCAAACCTAGTACAGCTGACAAAGATACAAAGGAAAAGACAAAATCAGCGAGAAGAAGTCCAAAAGGTGCCAGCGAACCAGGTGTAGAACATTTCAGTAACAGTGGGAGTTTGGCAACCACCACGCTGTATGGAGACGATGACGTAGATGCCAAGAAAGCCAAAGCAAAAGTATCTCGACATGATTCAGAGTATACTACGAGCGTTCCGGGTGTACAGCAGGTACCATCGGATAACATTAGCACCAAACAAAGCGACACTATCAGCACACTATACGGCAAAAATGAGTCAGATGCCAAGGCCAAGGCAAAAGCATCCAGGTCAAGCAGCTCCGAATATGCTAGCTATCCAGGTGCAGATCGTGTGTTCAGCCCTTCAAGCAATTCCATCTGGGAAAAGGCAAAAGCATCGAGACAACTGGTTACTCCGTCCACACATACCAGCAACACCAAAACCGATTCGACAATGACTACATTGTATGGGGAGGATGCCGATGCCAAGGCAAAGGCAAGAGCATCACGAGGAAGCTCAGAATTTGGAACCAATCCCGGCGCAAAGACTGTAAGCCTATTTACCGAGAGTTCGCACTCAACCACCAGTACACTATATGGGAGCGACGCGGATACCAAAGCCAAGGCAAAAGCATTTGGAGGCAATGGAGAATATGCCAGCAATCCTGGTGTGCAGAGTGTCCACACTGCATCGAATCGAGACCTTGCCGGTAGCACTAGTGACAACAGCGTCAATATTACACTTTACGGTAACGATGCAGGCACAAAGAACAAGGCGCGAGCAGCTCTGCGCAGTTCAGCGCATTGCACCAATCCGGGAGTGGAAAGCATAGCTCGTCGATTGACCATGACATCCCTCACTGATTCCGTGGGAAGCATGATGGCACCCGACGAGCAAGGCGAAAACGGCTTTGAAGCCCCTGTTGCAAGACGAGTGTCAATAGGGACCACTGACTCAGAATCTAGCAATTCAGTTCCAGAACACGGGATGCGTTCAGAAGCCGTGGATGCTGTCCGACTGCCGAATGATCTGGAGGCAAGTCCTAGATATGGCGAGACGTCCGCCAAGCGCGTCGTCGACAAAACGCAAAAATCAAGAAAGAAACGGATCTGCTTTTTCCTACTCGTCTTGTTGTTCATTGGTGGCGGGGTTGTAGCCTGGTACTTTCTTTCAAAAAACGAAGGTAGTGAAAGCGACGACAGCCAAATCAGCTCTGTAAATATTTCAGATCCAACTAGCGCACCATCGTCGCAAGCAGTGGTGTCCCTGGATCCCATTGGTACCCCTGGTGCAGAAAATGCGACTACATCTCCCAGTGGACTGACACCAATCAACATGGTGTATGAGCGTCCCAGCAAGTCAGATTGTATTGCAATCTCCTTGAATCAAACAATCGCTGGTCGTGAAGAGATGGAAAATGTTGATTTTGGTCTGGACTTGGAAGTTGTAGTTGTGGATGACATCATCATTACGGAACAACTGGTGCAAGAGTTGCTGAATGCGATCCAAGAAAAGATCCTTCCTTCGCTGGCCGGCTGCAATATCTTTCTCGACGAAGTAGTAGAGTCGTGGCGCTTTGTCATTTTCGACGCCTTTGTGAACGGGAATGTCCAGCGTGAGGAAAAATGCCAAGATGGTACATTGTCGGCACGAAATTGCCATCTGATATTCGTGGAATTGGATCTTTTCCTGAAAGGCAATGTGAAGTTTCTTGATATAATTCGTCTGATTGGTAATGAAGAAGAAAATTTTTCGAATCACTTGGGACTATCGGATCAATTTCTGGTTGTGAAGATGATTCGAGCGGAGAGTTTGACACCTACCGCTGCACCGACTACTATGCCAAGTCATGTACCAAGCTTTACACCAAGTACATTTCCAACGGTGCAAGCAAGCGCGAATCCTACATTTCTTCCTTCACTGTCACCGACCAGGATTGTCTCTGGGCAACCAACGAGAAGTCCGACTCTGACGCCGTCTTCACAACCCTCCTTTGTACCATCCACAGCTCTTCCATCGTCAGATCCATCTCTATCGCCATCGAAAGTACTCTCGAACAGCCCCAGTACGCGTCCAAGTGAGACTCCATCAAGCTCACCTTCATCACGTCCAACTGTCGACCCAAGTGTGCGTCCAACAAATGTTCCATCAGCGGCTCCGTCTGTGACTCCCAGTGTGATGGCGAGCAAATCACCCACAAAATCGCCAAGTGCTTCTCCGTCAGGAATGCCAACCAGGAAACCAAGCAGTGCACCGTCCACGCAGCCGACTTCATCACCCAGCAAAGAGCCAACAAGAGGCCCAAGCGCATTTCCATCATCTTTGCCTAGTGTCGAGCCAACTGGCTCCTATCGACTAAGTGCAACGGACAGGAAATGTCCCTATCAGCACCCAGACCGTCTATTTAAGGACTCAGCGGTTGCCGATATCGATGAATGTTACAATTTGTGCCTCTCAACCCCAGATTGCATTGCGTTCTCCATTGGCATTGGTAGAAATTGTGGAACACTGAACTGCATGGGTTGCAAAAGTACCAGTACAGTTGAATTTGAAACGGGGTTCACTGTTTTTATGCGATGGACTAGAGTACTTTTTCACGAATACCAATGACTAGTTTCTACCGGGTACATACGGTAGTATTTTGGTCTTGATACATTGGGTATGTTCATTACTCGTAGGTCGGTTTTTTGGGTTTAGAAATATATATATATTGATAATTAAAAAACTAGCGTAATATATAAAATATATATAAATAATAGTTGCACTGTATCATACAGCATGAAATTGGGTTGGGCTTTTTCGCTATGATCAGCTAGCCGCTAAGCTGCGGTTTCTGGTCTTGAACCCGATACCAGTACCATCATTCTATCAAGGCAGATCACCTGCAATGAGCAGCCCTCAAAGTGTTCAAGGAATCACTATAGACGACCTTCCTTCCAAGTCAGCAGCAATAGATGATAATCTTGACTTTAAAGGTTCATCTCATTCGAAAAAGTCTAGTCGACGTAAACATAGACGAGGGAGACCAAGCCAGAAGTCCCACAGACGGAGCAGTTCTGATGAGCTCGCGTTAAGCCGCTCTTCGCATGAGAAAAGCGACGATTCAGAATGGATGTCCAGCCTCTCTTCGCATGGGAAAGAACGCCGTTCGAAGAAGCGGTCGGGATTAAGCCGCTCTTCGTACGGTAACAGCGATGATTCAGATCGGATGTCTAGTCTCTCATCACATGGCAAAGAGAGCAGTCCGAGAAAGCTATCGTTATCAAGCCGCTCTTCGCAAGGTAAAACTGATGATTCAGACCGGATGTCCAGTCTCTCTTCTCATGGAAAAGAAAGCAGCAGTCCGAAAAGCCGATCTAGCCGATATACATCCCATGACAAACGTGACAGTTTAAGGCGGTCTTCGTCCTATAGAAAGAGCAAACCTGAGCGTGCGTCAAGTATGCGTGGTAGTACTGCTGGTTTAAGTCAGTCTCCTCGTCCTCGTCTGAAAAGGAGCAGTTCGACGAAGTCATTAACTCAGCCTTCTCCCAAAAACAAAAACAAAAATGACATCTTGAGTCTATCTGTCCACGAGATTGGAAGTGTTGGTCGTCTATCACATGCGTCTCCTCGGCGCCGAGTGAGCAATGACGATCGTTCGCCTGGTGGACCATCTTTAAAGAAAAACAAATCGGAGCGAACATCATCAAGCCATTCAAGCTCACAAAGCAGGCGACATGATGGTGGCGGATTATCAAGGCACCGTTCCTCACGAGAAAAGCGAGATAGTGGCGATCATGGACCATCAAGGCGGTCTTCGAACGGTGCTTCGGATAGGAAACCAAGCAGTCGCTCGCCTAGGAACGGTAGTAGAAGAAACGATCCCGAACGTGGCCACTCCAGTAGAAGAAACATGAAATCAGATAATGTGGACAGTCTATTGAACGTTGGAACCATGAGTGTCCTCACAGAAGGTACTAACGAAGAAAGTTCACGCCACCACAGAAGAACAGCAACTGATGCGCTGTACAGGTTTGACGCAGATTCCAAGGCTAAGGCAAAATCAACTAGAGGAAATGCACAGTCACCCAGTTTACCAGGTGTGCAACAAGTATTCAGTTCATCTGCCACTGTGGCTACCAACATGTCTAGTGCAACTACCAGTACGCTGTACGGAAACGATGAGGATGCCAAGGCCAAGGCAAAAGCGTCCAGAGGTGGTTTGCCGCCAGCAACTGTACCAGGAGTACAGACTGTTTGCAGCCCATCAGATACCACCGTTGCTACCAATATGACTAGTGCGACCACCAGTACGCTGTACGGAAATGATGCAGATGCCAAGGCCAAAGCAAAAGCATCGATAGGGAATTCTCAATTTGCTACAATGCCAGGTGTGGAGACTGTGTTCTCTTCAGGTGCTAGCATGTTTAGCGGTACGAGTACTACAACTACCAGTACACTCTACGGAAGTGACACCGATGCCAAGGCCAAGACAAAAGCGTCGAGAGGAAGTTCCTTATACGCAAGTAAACCAGGTGTGGAGAGCGTCAGTGTGGTGGCTTCTGTTGGAGGCGAAAGTACCTCCAGTAACGCTATCGGGACTCTATATGGGAGTGATGCCGATGCCAAAGCAAAGGCAAGAGCTGGACGTGGGGGCTCGACATATGCGGCAAATCTGGGTGTATCACGTGCGACCCTTCCCGCAGCAATGGAGCCTGTAGCCGAGGGTGTCAATGAAAAAGATGGAGAAGGACGTACAGCTTCCGAGTCCGGGAGCATTATAGAACCAGAAAGCAATGACGATGACGACTCTAATGTAGTGCAAGAGAACGACGACAAGAAGAAGAAAAGAAGGAGGAGGGGGATTGGCTTTTGCTTGTGCTGCTGCTTGTTACTATTGCTCATTGCAGGGGGGATTGGTGTCTGGTTCGTTCTGTTTCGAGATGACGGTAGTGGCCAAGATAGTCAAATCAACACTTCTGGTATCCAAGATCTATCCACTGCACCCTCGTCGCAACCTTCAACATTCTTTGCTCCGGGTCCGTCGATGAATGTGCCCGGTTCGCCTACTGGCGCGCCAGTCTTGGAAGAAATTATATTCGAGCCTCCCAGCGAATCAAATTGCGATGCCATTGCCAAGAACGAAACCATCGCCGGACGAGATGAGCTGGACAATGCTGATTTTGGCCTGAGTTTGGAAGTCGTGTTGTCGGAGAATACCACCATGACAAGATCATTGGTGGACGACTTGTTGATCGCAATTCAAGAGAAAATTCTTCCTTCCATCGCTGGTTGCAATATTCGTGCGGACGAATTTGTAGAGGCCTGGCGTTTTGTCATCTTCGACGCCTTTGCAAGTGGCAATGCTATGCCCGACGAAGCGTGCACCAATAGTGATTTGGTAGGGCAGAACTGCCATCGGGTGAATGTTCAATTAGACGTGTTCCTGAAAGGGTTTGTAAGGTTTCTTGACATTATTCGACTGATCAGTGAAGAGGAGTTGAACCTTGCGAATAATCTGGAGTTGTCGGAACCATTTTCGATCATTCAACTGGTTGCGATCGACAGCTTGACCCCAACAAATGCGCCGACAATCATGTCAAGCGATGCACCAAGTTCTTCGCCATCGAAAGGTCCGACATCAATGCCGACTTCTCTTCCGACAGGATCACCTTCAAAGTCTCCGACACAAATGCCGACTGTACCGGGTCAGACACGTGTGCCAAGCGTAGAACCATCATTAGCACCAAGCGCTTCTCCAACCGCCACAACAGTACCTACAGCGTTGCTTGTTGTGCCGACAGCTTTTCCAACGGAGAGTCCAAGTTCACGTCCAAGTATGGCACCAATTGTGGGTCCTACACCACCCCCAACAAAAAGTCCCACAAAAATTCCAACGGAGAGTCCAAGTTCACGTCCAAGTATGGCACCAGTTGTTGGTCCCACGCCACCCCCAACGAGAAGTCCAACAAAAAATCCAACGGAGAGTCCAAGTTCACGTCCAAGTATGGCACCAGTTGTGGGTCCCACACCACCCCCAACGAAAAACCCAACAAAATTCCCAACTGTTAGTCCAAGCCCGCGTCCAAGTATGACACCAGTTGTGGGTCCTACACCACCCCCAACGAAAAGCCCGACAAAAAGTCCAACTTTGCTCCCAAGTACTATGCCAAGCGCACGACCAACTCCCTTTCCCACGGCGAGACCCAGTGCGACGCCGACCAAATTGCCCACGAAATCACCGACCAAAACGCCCACGAAAAATCCAAGTGCTTCTCCTTCAAGCAGGCCTAGTAGCAGACCAAGCAGCTCGCCATCAGCGCGGCCAACTTCTTCGCCCAGTGCAAAGCCTTCGAGCAGTCCCAGTGTAGGTCCGTCAGCGTTACCAAGTCCAGTACCAATTATTACCTATACGCAGCTTGCGAAAAACGAAAATTGCCCTGTGGGCAACGCCAATTATTTGAGCACGGTTGGAGGTCTTGCTGATGAAGACGAATGTGCCAAAGAGTGTTTCTACACGTCAGGCTGTGTCGTGTTCGTAGTTGGGAAAACTAGAGGCCAGTTAGACTGTTACTTGTGCAATGGCGGTGGCAACTTGGTGCAGGATGGTGGTACAACTGCATATTCATTGACTACATAGGGAACTCTTCTGTTTTTGTAAAGATTGGAGAAAAAGCAGTGGGAATGAAAGGTATTGTAACAGTATTATTCTAATAAAATATAAGCGAATGATGTCAGGAGAAATTGGATTGAATAGGCAGAAACTCCAAATGAATTATGGCTACCCTGGATCTATCGGATGCACTTTTGATTATAGTGTGGTCGCGGTCGACTCTTGAAACCGAAGACCCGACCGACGATGATGCCAAGCTCTTTACCGATTGGATTGTCGACTGAGTTTGCGACCAAGGAAGTATCTTGGAATCCTAGACCAAGTCCTTCGTGCCTCATATGCAAATGCACTTATTTCAACGACGCCGAATGTAATGCCTTCCTAGTCCCCGACTCCGATGGTAGCAACATAACTATTTTTGCACAAAGTGCTTCGCCACCAACACCACTAGTTCCCATATAAACGGCTCTTCCTTCGTCGAAGCCGTCTGCACATACCAGCGGAGAGCCCAAGTAAGTGCCCGAATACTACTCCTGTTCAAACTCCCAATGGAACGCCCAAATGCACAACCGATTCCTTTTCCATTGGTGGTCCCTCCTGGACCCCCTTCGCTACTCCCAGTATCATGGGTAGCAAGAACTCAACGACAAAAAGAAGCATACTGAGTGATCAATCAGCTCTCCGTCCAGGGGGGCAGGCTCATTGATGAGCTAGCTGCTATCGAAGGACCCTGTTGCACAACCATCGACGTTGCAAACTGAAGAGCCAGCTGTCTCCATTTGCAGAGAACCGAAAGTACCCCTCCGTTACCCAGCTCGTCGGAATAATATCGAAGATGTAGATGAGTGTTTCAACGGTTGTATCAACAATTCAGTTGCCTCGAATTCTTTGCTGGAAGTTTCCTCACCTTCGGTCGGATTGAGAGGACTGTCACCTTTGCAAGAGCAGCGGAAACTTTCAACGACAAAGAAATGGCATCAATACGTATAAAGTGACTCCGTAGAGTTGCATTATTCAACGCTGTCGAATAGGAGATCCCTGAATGAATACGTTGTTTCAAAACGGGAAGCAATTGCGACAGGTACCAAGAGTTTTTATCCAAAATGTGGGTATTTTTTCATCAGCTAGAAGCTTGCTAAAAGTGTCGGGAAGTTTATCTCCGAAGTCACGGCGACCACAAAATGTCTCAATAAAACTTCCTCGTTTTTTTTCTCGATTCGTTCGCTCTTTAGCCACTTTTGTGTGGTCTTGTTTGGTAGGTTTTGATAAATGTTTGATAAAAATGACTCTATGTACCGGGAACTCTACGAAAACATACATACTGTAGTCATCATTGGTAAACTTACCTCTACAGAGTCGGATTGCTGTGTCACTGGATTTCGCTGCTACCTATGCAAACTTCAAAGCTATTTGGAAATTATACTGTCGGCTGTATATGATAGTAGGTGCAGTGCATCAAACAAACACGGTAACCTGCAATGAGTAGCCCACAAAGTGTTGAAGGAATCGCTATGGATGACCTTCCTTCCAAACCAGCAGCAATTGATCATGACGATGAACTTCGAGGTTCATCTCATTCGACTGGGAATAAGAAATATGATCGATCTTCGCCTAGACGAGGGAGATCAAGCCGAAAGTCTCACAGAAGGAGCAGTTCTGATGAGCTGGCATCAAGCCGCTCTTCGTATGGTAATGGCGATGATTCAGATCGGATGTCCAGTCTCTCGTCACATGGGAAAGGAAGCAGCAGCCCGAAGACGCAATCGACATTAAGCCGCTCTTCGCGTGGTAATGGCGATGATTCAGATCGGATGTCCAGTCTGTCTTCGCATGGGAACGAAAGCAGATCGAGAAAGCTATCTTTTTCGAGCCGCTCTTCATCTCGTGACAAATGCGACGGCTTACGGTCTTCTTCGCATAGAAAGAGCAAACCTGAACGTACGTCAAATTCGTTTGGAAGTACTGATTCTAAAAGCCAGTCTCCCCGTCCTCGTATGAAGAGGAGCAGTTCGACAAGGGTATCAAGTAGATCTTCTTCTCGAAGCTCAGGAGTCGTAAGTCAGTCTCCTCGTCCGCGAAGGAGCAATTCAGATAGGTTACCATCTCGATCTTCTTCGAATAGCAAAATTGAACGCTTGAATCTGTCTGAAAATATGACGGACAATACTGAAAGTATATCACGTCACTCTCCTCGGCGCCGAAGGAGCACCGATGATGGTTCGCCAAGCCGGCCATCTTTAGAGAAAAGCAAATCGGATCGAGTGTCAGCAAGGCGCCATTCCTCACAAGAAAGGCGAGGCAGTAGCGATGGAGCACCAAGGCGGTCTTCGAGTGGCGGTTCGGATAGAAAACACAAAATCCGCTCGCCTAGAAAGGGTGGAAGGCGCAGCACCGAACGTGACAACTCAAACAGTGAAATTCGAAGAAATTTGAAAACCGATAACATGGACAGCCTGTTGAATGTTGGAACCATGAGTATTCTCACAGAAGGTACTAACGAAGAAAGTTCACGTCACCAAAGAAGCATAGCAACTGATGCGCTGTACGGATTGGACGCAGATTCCAAGGCTAAGGCAAAAGCATCCAAAGGAAATGCGCAGTCACCCAGTGTACCAGGTGTGCAACAAGTATTCAGTTCATCTGCCACTGTGGCTACCAATATGACTAGTGCAACCACCAGTACGCTCTATGGAAATGCCGATGATGATGCCAAGACGAAAGCAAAAGCGTCCAGAGGTGGTCTACAGCCACCAATCGTACCAGGAGTGCAGACTGTGTACAGCCCATCAGATGCCACCGTGGCTAGCGGTAGGAGTACTGCAACCACCAGTACACTCTACGGAAGTGATGCAGATGCCAAGGCCAAGGCAAAAGCGTCGAGAGGAAATTCTCAGTTTGCTACAATGCCAGGAGTACAGACTGTGTCTAGTTCAGGTGCCACTGTGGCCAGCAGCATGAGCAGCGCAACCACAGCTACGCTCTATGGACACGATGAGGATGCCAAGACAAAGGCGAAGGCTTCCAGAGGAAGTTCTCAATACGCAAGCAATCCAGGTGTGGAGAGCGTCAATATGGTGGCTTCTGTTGGAGGCGAAAGTGCCTCCAGTACTGCAACCACCGCTACACTATATGGAAGTGATGCAGACGCCAAAGCGAAGGCAAGAGCTGGTCGAGGTGGCTCGACATGTGCAGCAAATCCGGGTGTGGAAAGGGTGGCCGTTGCGGCAGCAATGGCACCTGTGGCTGAAAACGAGAATGAAAACGAGAATGAGGATAACGAGGAAGAGAAAGATGGAGAAGATCCTGTTGCAAGTCGAGTGCCAATGGTGGCAACAGATTCCGAGTCCGGTAGTATTGAAGATGCGGAGAGGAGTGCAGCGTCGGAGAACGGTGAGAAGAAGAACACAGACGACGAAAAGAAGAAGAAAAGAAGGAGGAGGGGGGTTGGCTTTTGCTTGTGCTGCTGCTTGTTACTATTGCTCATTGCAGGGGGGATTGGTGTCTGGTTCGTTCTGTTTCGAGATGACGGTAGTGGCCAAGATAGTCAAATCAACACTTCTGGTATCCAAGATCTATCCACTGCACCCTCGTCGCAACCTTCAACATTCTTTGCTCCGGGTCCGTCGATGAATGTGCCCGGTTCGCCTACTGGCGCGCCAGTCTTGGAAGAAATTATATTCGAGCCTCCCAGCGAATCAAATTGCGATGCCATTGCCAAGAACGAAACCATCGCCGGACGAGATGAGCTGGACAATGCTGATTTTGGCCTGAGTTTGGAAGTCGTGTTGTCGGAGAATACCACCATGACAAGATCATTGGTGGACGACTTGTTGATCGCAATTCAAGAGAAAATTCTTCCTTCCATCGCTGGTTGCAATATTCGTGCGGACGAATTTGTAGAGGCCTGGCGTTTTGTCATCTTCGACGCCTTTGCAAGTGGCAATGCTATGCCCGACGAAGCGTGCACCAATAGTGATTTGGTAGGGCAGAACTGCCATCGGGTGAATGTTCAATTAGACGTGTTCCTGAAAGGGTTTGTAAGGTTTCTTGACATTATTCGACTGATCAGTGAAGAGGAGTTGAACCTTGCGAATAATCTGGAGTTGTCGGAACCATTTTCGATCATTCAACTGGTTGCGATCGACAGCTTGACCCCAACAAATGCGCCGACAATCATGTCAAGCGATGCACCAAGTTCTTCGCCATCGAAAGGTCCGACATCAATGCCGACTTCTCTTCCGACAGGATCACCTTCAAAGTCTCCGACACAAATGCCGACTGTACCGGGTCAGACACGTGTGCCAAGCGTAGAACCATCATTAGCACCAAGCGCTTCTCCAACCGCCACAACAGTACCTACAGCGTTGCTTGTTGTGCCGACAGCTTTTCCAACGGAGAGTCCAAGTTCACGTCCAAGTATGGCACCAATTGTGGGTCCTACACCACCCCCAACAAAAAGTCCCACAAAAATTCCAACGGAGAGTCCAAGTTCACGTCCAAGTATGGCACCAGTTGTTGGTCCCACGCCACCCCCAACGAGAAGTCCAACAAAAAATCCAACGGAGAGTCCAAGTTCACGTCCAAGTATGGCACCAGTTGTGGGTCCCACACCACCCCCAACGAAAAACCCAACAAAATTCCCAACTGTTAGTCCAAGTGCGCGTCCAACTCCACCCCCAACGAAAAACCCAACAAAATTCCCAACTGTTAGTCCAAGCCCGCGTCCAAGTATGACACCAGTTGTGGGTCCTACACCACCCCCAACGAAAAGCCCGACAAAAAGTCCAACTTTGCTCCCAAGTACTATGCCAAGCGCACGACCAACTCCCTTTCCCACGGCGAGACCCAGTGCGACGCCGACCAAATTGCCCACGAAATCACCGACCAAAACGCCCACGAAAAATCCAAGTGCTTCTCCTTCAAGCAGGCCTAGTAGCAGACCAAGCAGCTCGCCATCAGCGCGGCCAACTTCTTCGCCCAGTGCAAAGCCTTCGAGCAGTCCCAGTGTAGGTCCGTCAGCGTTACCAAGTCCAGTACCAATTATTACCTATACGCAGCTTGCGAAAAACGAAAATTGCCCTGTGGGCAACGCCAATTATTTGAGCACGGTTGGAGGTCTTGCTGATGAAGACGAATGTGCCAAAGAGTGTTTCTACACGTCAGGCTGTGTCGTGTTCGTAGTTGGGAAAACTAGAGGCCAGATAGACTGTTACTTGTGCAATGGCAGTGGCAACTTGGTGCAGGATGGTGGTACAACTGCATATTCATTGACTACATAGGGAACTCTTCTGTTTTTGTAAAGATTGGAGAAAAAGCAGTGGGAATAATGAAAGTGATTGTTTGGGAATTTGATCCATGTTGATAATTCGGCTTCGTCATTCGACAAAGCCTTCATTTTCTCCTACATGTTTGTTGTAACATTGTTATTCTAACAAATTATAAGTGAATCACATCGGGAGAATTGGGATTGAATAGGTAGACCTTTTATACGGATGATGAGGAGTATCTTGACATTAGGTGCTTGATAGATCGACCCTATATGAATGATATGATAGATCTACCGTATCGCATCATGATATCAACAATGGTTGATTAAAATTGATTCATTCGACCGTTTTCCAGAAGTCCAACGAGTCGATACCTTGCTGCTTGTAGAAGAGGAATCGCAATGAATCCCAAACAACGGTGAATGGGATGATGGGCGAGGCACTCCCTACTGCTGCGGCCATATTGAAAGCCGCGTCTAAACCATCAGAATGCGAAGCTCTTTTGCTGGAAGTGATGGAATATGGGACCAAGAATTGCGATTCTATAGAAAAACGGAGCGAACAAGCTGGTGCTGTACTCCGCCAAGTATGGGAGAAGTCTAGTGATCTGGAAGCGGCTCTTGTTAATGTATTCTGGCTCTCTTCGTCCATGATCACTACGGTTGGTAACACAGAGTCGACTAAATCGCTGGTTGGTATCGTGCACTTGGTAGTACAGGTGAAGAATCGACCAAGCTTTTGGGGAAAGCTGCAAACCAACTTACCACCAACCATTTTGGAGCAGGTTGGATTGGGGTCCGAGCAGGAGCTGTTAAAAAAAATGAAGGTTCATAATACGCAGGTGAACTACAAGCAACAAAAGTATAGTCTATTGCAGGAAGAATCTGAGGGATATTCCAAACTTATCAGTTTTTTGGCTTCAAAGCCTGATAGTAGGCAACTTTCAGATGTTGCGAGACGAAAGGTGCTTTGCCTAATTGGGATGTTCGAGTTGGATCCCAATCGAGTATTGGATATTACTTGGAATGTTCTTGAATCTACGCTCGACATTTCTACTCTGAATCTCGAGGAAGCCATGTCCAAGGCTCCCGAAGTCACCCCTCAACTGTCTCGTCTGATTGATATTATTCAGGAATTTCCCAGCGATAAGTTACAGGCGTTGGTGGCATTTAAGGTATCCACAGAGAAGATGTCACCTGTTCTGCTAGGGACCATTGCATTTCTAGCGGCCCGTGATTTGATTCAGATTGGAGGTCTGGATCAATCCTTTCCCAATGATGTGAAGGCAGAAACCAGAGAAGCGTACAAACTGTTCTGGTCCAACGGTAGGCGACAAGTCAAAAACATTTCAAAGCTCAGTTTGGGATCAGGGACTCAAGAAGACGAACGGGTCGCTGGTATCTCGCAGCACTTCGATGAGACGATTGGTATGCTAAAGAAGAATCCTATACTGCGAGTCATGCTAATGTTAATCCACTGGGGGCACTGGAACAAGGTGAAAAGCTTGCTGCCAAGAATTATTTGGGGCGATCTTTGTGCACTGATGCCAAAAACCTTTGGGGATGCGTTGTGCAACGATTCTAGCAAGAAGATACTTCCTTGGAAGGCAGCCTTCGTCAGCTCTCCCGGCCTTACCGCACCAGAGTCGAACTGTAGTGTTGAAGATTTTGTGCCAGAGAAACTCGACAACGTGTTGAACACTTTTGTTGAAGCAATTGCAGATCCTCTTTCACTCACTTTGCGATCGGGATGTATGGCTTCGCATGGAGTCTTATACTCCCAGATCTGCCGAACAGCAGCTGCCATACTCGAGAAACACCCGGCGCGGGATTCCTTCAGTGAAGGGACAATCGGCTTTTTCAGAAACTTCTTGCTGCCCTCGGTGTGCTTGTTTCCTTCAAACCCGGCAGTTGCAACGGAACTATGGGCGGTCTTGAAGCACTTGCCGTACTCCATCAGATATCAGCTGTACAAACAATGGACTGCCTCTGATATGCGAAGCTTTCAAGATCTGGAATTGCCTGTATGGAGCCTAGAGAGCGAAGCCAAAGCTTCCAAGGAGATTCGATATCTGCTCAAGCGTCTGTCGCGGGAGAATGTGCGAGAGATGAGTCGACAGATTGCCAAAGTGGCGCACTCGAATCCACTCACTGTCTTTGGTACGATGCTGCAGCAAGTTGAAAGTTACGACAACTTAGTAGATGTCATGGTTGAATCTCAACGGTTTGTTAATCCGCTTGGCTCAGATGTTCTGGTTTATTGTCTTTTGAACCGATTCACGGCCGCTCCTGGAGGTGTAGACCGAAGCCGCTTAAAAGGTATGCATTTTGTGTTTTGAGAACCAATGAATCTTTGCATGAGTCTCATTCAATCCATTTCAGAGGATGGTGTCAACGTATCTCAGTGGTTGCAATCTCTGGAGACGTTCACTGGTTCATTTTTCACGCGTTTTCCTCATGTGGAATTGCGTGGAATGATTTGCTATCTCTTGCGACGACTTTGTGATGGTGAAGTGATGGAACTTGGTCTACTGCGAACTTTACTCAAGGTGGGGGGTGGTTTCGCTTTTGCAGACTACTCCCCAGCTGCATCCTTGTCCACTAGTCAACTGGATGGCCGTGCGGGATGGGAGACTCTACAACGGCAAACGATGTCATTTGGGATTGAGGAAGAATTCAGTGCCAATGCGGCAACCAGAATGCACAAATTGCTCGACACCGATGGTCTTGGAGTCTCCATCTTGCTACTTCTAGCACAAGTACAGGCTCGCGAAACATATGATCTGTCTGGCAAAAAGGCAAAGGACTTGAAGCGCATTGGATATTTGAATGATTCCAGTAGTTCCGTTAGGTCCATTCTTTTGGATTTCTTGACGAGCGATGACGGGAAGAAAGATGGCAGTAAGGAAAACCTCCCTTCATTCCGAGAAGTGTTTGAAGAGTACAACCTGAGTGTTTCGAACACCTGGATGTTTAATAAATTTCTCACTGGACAAGGTGACACAGAGTCGATGGATGGAAATACGCCAAGCATTTCGGACGCAATACGTCTTTGCGACAAAGTACTAGCACCAAGTCCTTCCTGGTCTTACATCTCGACAGAGCTCTTCGACTTCTTTGCTTCAAACACCTTGAGCGATATTTACTATCCAAAAGAGGCATACTCTTCTGAAATCTCCCGGGTCAATAAGGAAGTAAGCAGACACAAGTCTCGTGATAGAATGGGCGTCGAAGTTGCTCTTCATGCTCAGCAAGGAAACCAAAGAAGCGATGCTAGTGAAGTCAACCGTCTTGAATTGGTCGCAAAGAACCTACAGAGAGACTCTGACGCCCAAAAGAAGCATGTCAACGCTGTTCTGGATGCAATGCGAGAGAAGTCGAAGGAATTCTTTTGCTTGACCACGGCTCCCAAAGACACTGCGGTTGCTCTCTTGCAGTCTTGTACGTTTCCCAGAAGCCTACAAAGTCCTGATGACGCGCTATATTCCGCCCATTTTGCCTTCCAACTACATGCAATGGACACCCCTGGGTTCAGCACCTTCAGTTACCTTGACGAGTTAATTCCAGCCATCACAGGTTCACTTTTTGGTTGTACGGAGGGCGAGGCTGCAAACTTAGCCATATTTTTGTGGGAGACTTGGAAAGTTTCAAACAAATGGAGGTACGATGAAAAGTCGTTCGAAGAAGACATTTCGAACAAAGCATGCTCCGGGTTTTTGGGGCAGGATGGGGAATCAAAGGTGATGACGCACAAGGAATTTGGTGTTCTTTACAGCAAATGGCACGCGATCCTGGGCAACACCCTGCTTGCTTGTCTCCAATCATCAGAATATATGCATACGAGAGCAGGACTCGTAGTGCTTGCTCGTCTTTGCGGTGTCTTTCCAACCCGTCCAAAGCTAGGAAACAAGCTATTACGTATTCTGAATCAATTGCAAGAAAATGAAAGTGTCCGTGCAGACATTCGAGCATCATCAGCGGCATATGCTACAATGCTTCTGAGAACACGCGATGAAGGAAAGTGGGTTGAAGAGGATGCTGGTGCTGCGAAGGCCCGAAAGGAGAAGGATCGCACAGCAGCAGCCAAGCGGAAACGAAAGATGAAAGAACAAATGCAAGAGATGGATCGTGACAGTGCAAAGATTGCTGAAGGTACTGGTTTGAACTCCGGTTCAAGAGATCGTCACGATAACAGGAGACAACCTCGTGGTCACAGTAATTCAAGACCCGAACGCCAGAGCGACAGACGAAGGGGACCAAAGCGTACAAATGATGAAGACAATGTTGAGTCGGGAGAAATAAATGGAGTGGGAAGGGGTCGACAGGGATCCCCATCCAGAAGATTGCCACCTTCTCGAGATTCTGGTCGCGATAGTCGTTGGGCCCGCGGTGAGTCGGCCGCAGATTTCTCGAGTCGACAAGGTGACAGGAGGCCTGGTTCAGACTCGCGCCACCGTGATGGAGGGCACGACCACGACAGGGGTGGTGCTTGGAAACGAGATGAAGGAAGACCAGCGTTTTCTGATAGCAGAGGCAAGAGCGGCAAGCGTGCCCGACCGTCTTCACCTCAAGACGACAATGATACGAGAGGTGAAAGGAGCAAACGAGCAAGAGTGGACGAAGGACGGGATGCGTCACCACCCAGAAATAGACGGCGCCGCAACACTCGAAACTAAAAATTGTAAAAATCGAAGTATATTCACCAGGACTCGCCATGAAAGTAGGGTATTGAGTACTACACAGAAGGGATTATAGCATGGAAACGATTGACAGACGCAATTGGGTTGACTCCTCTTCCATCGATGTAAGTTAGTTCAATGCAGGCCTCTGAAGAGAAGCTATTCTTGCTACTTGAAATCATCCCTTATCGCCTTAAAAAAGAAAATTAACTTTTCAAATGACAAGTATTATAATACAAGTCTGCTTTGTTCATGAGAGAGTGAATGAATCAACCAATCATTGCAAGACCAGCATGGAAAATTCCAAATTCTCTGTTGTGCTCAAATTTTGCAATGTATGCAATCCTAAGGATTCAACTGATACACGATAAAATCGGTGCTCGTGGTCAAAGGTGCATTGTCGTTGCACCCCCCACAGTTTACCCCGCTATTGCTTTCACTGTAGGAGAACTTGGAACATCCTGCAGCGTTGACGCACAAGTCAAAGCATTCCTCCAAGCTTGAAATTGCTCTGACACTGAAAAAAGTATCACGACCGCCTTGGGGACACCTTGAACCTTCTGCTAGTACAACAAAGGAGACAGTTTGCACGATTGGTGAAGTAGATGGAGAAGAACTTGGTTTTGAAGAGGGTGATGTACTTGGTCTCTTCGTTGGCGCTTCGGTTGGTCTCTTAGTAGGTGGTTTTGTTGGAGCAGCACTTGGTGTTTTTGTTGGTGATTTGCTCGGTGTGGCACTAGGTCTCACCGTGGGAAAGGGAGTTGGCCGTGGGCTCGGCATAGCACTTGGGAATACAGTTGGACTTTTTGATGGGTTTTTCGTTGGGGGTGGCGTCGGACCCACAACCGGTGCATTACTCGGACGCGCACTTGGACTCACAGTTGGGAATTTTGTTGGGTTTTTCGTTGGGGGCGGTGTAGGACCCACAACCGGTGCCATGCTTGGAAGCGTACTTGGACTCTCCGTTGGATTTTTTGTTGGACTTTTTGTTGGACTTTTTGTTGGGGGTGGTGTAGGATCCACAATTGGTGCCATACTTGGACGTGAACTTGGACCCTCTGTTGGAAAAGCCGTTGGCACAACAAGCAACGCTGTAGGTACTGTTGTGGCGGTTGGAGAAGCGCTTGGTGCTAATGATGGTTCTACGCTTGGCACACGTGTCTGACCCGGTACAGTCGGCATTTGTGTTGGAGACTTTGAAGGTGATCTTGTCGGAAGAGAAGTCGGCATTGATGTCGGACCTTTCGATGGCGAGGAACTTGGTGCATCGCTTGGCATGGTTGTCGGAGCATTCGTTGGGGTCAAGCTGTCGATCTCAACCAGTTGAATGATCGAAAATGGATCAGACAACTCCAGATTATTCGCGATGTTTACCTCTTCATCACTGATCAGACGAATGATATCAAGAAACCTAACAACGCCTTTCAAGAAAACGTCCAATTGAACATTCACCCTATGACAATTCTGCGCTACCAATTCTTCATTCTTGCACGTTTCGTCCGGCTTAGCATTGCCACTTACGAAGGCGTCGAAGATGACAAAACGCCAGGCCTCTACAAATTCGTCCGCACGAATATTGCAACCAGCGATGGAAGGAAGAATTTTCTCTTGAATTGCAATCAACAAGTCGTCCACCAATGATCTTGTCATGGTGGTATTCTCCGACAGCACGACTTCTAAACCCAAGCCGAAATCAGCATTATCCAGCTCATCTCGTCCAGCGATGGTTTCGTTTTTGGCAATGGCATCGCAATTTGATTGGCTGGGAGGCTCGAATAGAAGTTCTTCCAAGACTGGCGCGCCAGTTGGAGAACCGGGCACACTACCCGACGGACCTGGAGCGAAGATTGTTGTAGCCTGCGACGACGGTGCTGTGGATGGATCTTGGATGCCAGAAGTGTTGATTTGACTATCTTGATCACTGCCGTCATTCCGAAAGACAAAGAACCAGACAGCTATGCCCGCACCAAGTAATAAAAAGCAGCATAACAAGCAGAAGACAACCCCCCTCCTCCTCTTTTTCTTTCCTTCTTTCTTCTCTTCTTTCTTCCTTTGGTCATCGTTGTGGATCTGACTTTGGCCTATCGGATGGCTATCGGACTCGGAATCTGTTCCTCCGATTGACACTGGTCTTGCAACAGGTTCTTCCCCACCTTTCTCCTCATCCACATTTTCAGCCACGGGTCCCATTGCTGCCGTAAGCGCCACTCTTTCAACACCCGGGTTGGCTGCATATGTCGAGCCACCTCGTCCAGCTCTTGCCTTGGCTTTGGCGTCTGCATCACTTCCATATAGAGTCCCAACAGCACTACTGGAGGTACTTTCGCCTCCAACAGAAGCCGCCATACTGACGCTCTCCACACCTGGGTTGCTTGCGTATTGAGAACTTCCTCTGGAAGCCTTCGCCTTCGCCTTGGCATCCTCGTCACCATTCCCGTAGAGCGTACTGGTGGTTGCAGCACTCATATTGGTAGCCACGGTGGCACCACCCGAAGGACTTAACATGAAGTGTTCTAAGCTTTCCTTTGGCACCTTTGCCTTTTTCGAGACGGCGCTATAGGACGGAGTGAATTGCACTCCTGGTACGGTTGCTGGCGGGAAGCTACCTTTGGAAGCTTTCGCCTTTGCCTTTACATCCTCATCAGCATTTCCGTAGAGAGTGCTGGTAGTTGCACTGGTCATACTGGTAGCGACGGTGGCAGATGAAGGGCTGAACATAGACTCTAAGCTACCTCTCGATGATTTTGACTTTTTCCGCGATGCTTTTGTCCTTTTTGAGGTATTGGATGGGCTTAATAAACTTGCTGGTTGTGTTTCAGGATTGATTGCGCGTTCTGAATTATCATCAGCTTCCCCATCACTTTCGGTGAGAACAGCCATGGATCCCAAAGTGTCGGTGCTAGTCCTCTTGGCAGGTTTACTAGTCCGGTGTCGACTGCTGCTACGGCTTCTGTTGGATGTGTCAATCATGCGTTCAGCCTCCTCATCTGGGAGGATTGCGTGATCTGAATTGTCATCAGAATCATCGTCACTTTCGGTGAGAACAGCCATGGATCCCAAAGTGTCGGTGCTGGTCCTCTTGGCAGGTTTGCTACTCCGATTGCGACTGCTACTACGGTTTCTGGCGGATGCGTCCTTCATGCGTTCAACCTCCTCATCTGCCTTCATACGATCAGCCTCCACATCTGGCTGGATAGCGTTTTCTGAGTCAGCATCAGATTCTCCGTCACTGTCGATGGCACCAGCCAACGGTGCGGCACTTGAGACAATCTCGGTACTAGTATCGCCCTTGGATGGTTTGCTCCTGAAATCAAGAGGTCGCGGAACTGTTCTTTTACCTCCCCTTCTAGGCGATCGGCTGCTTGATTTCTTGTCTGAGCCACCGTTGGAATAACGCCTACCATCACCACTGTGTCGTTTACCATCGCCACTGTTTCGCCTATCTCGTGACGACCGCCCACCGTGATCTGAGCGACTCATCGAATGCCTGTCAGATTTCGATAACTTGTCAGCGCTCTTCCTTCTATCCGAGCTCGATATACCATCAGCACTATAGCTTCTATTGCGTGGTGAGCTTTTTACACGCCCAGTGCTGCTTTTCCGACGTGGAGTCAGATTCAATTCAACGTCAGCACGACGGGGTCTACTGCTGTGCCTTGAACCACTGCGGTGTCTACTACTGTGCCTCGAACCACGATCGCCACTGGATTTTCTTGGACGAGGCGACAGACTCATCTCCTTTGAATCATCACTTGTAGCATAATTTGAATCACGATCGGCACTGAGCTTTCTTCGACGACGTGTCGGACTCAATTCCTTAGAATCGTCACTTCTGCCATGAGAGTTTGATCGACTTTCTGCCCTTTTCTCATTGCTTTTCCTTCTGCGATTGTGGTGTGAAGACGAACGGCTCGGCGACGACTTTTTGAAATTGCTCCCACGAGGCGTCCGAGGCGACTTGCTTGATCTACCTCTGCGATTATCTGGGCTTTGCAGTTCTCGAATATTCAAGTTAGAGGGAGGGTCGTCATCAGTCGCTGCTGAATTAGAAGGGAGACCATGCATTGTGGCTCCTTCATCTTGTCTCTTGCGCTGATCACCTGGCTCGCTTTGTTGGTTCCGTGTACTCATTGCGGAAATGAAAGAACCATACGGTATGAAGGGTTTCAACTGTCAACAACCTCTTCTGGTTGTTCAAGAAAAAAACGCGAACGGATTCTTCGACATTGTTTTGATTACGCCCGACACCTATCTGCAGTCACTCTCACTATGTGGGCTTTTATGAAAATGGGTCACAGATAGGCTTTTGTATTTCGCCTTTTCATATTTCTACGTTTTTAATTATAGAATGCACTTTAACGATCAAAACACGTTTCTAACGCTAATTCAATCTCCAACCAGGCGTGGTTTCGCGAGTCTAGTGCGAAAATGATGAATTAATGAATGGTTCGAAACTGCAAAATAGAACAACGGCGGTGTACACACGTTCGCTTTGCTTCACTTACTGGTACAGTTAAAATGACCAAAAATATTATTACGTTCACTGCCATTGTTATTACCGGTAGTAAAAGATCTCTATGTGTTATGATTGTGGTACTTCTGGAACATTATATTCAAAAAGATCCATGAATGCCGGATTGAAATGTGTCGCCGCAAACTCCATGTCTTCTTTGGTGAGACTGTCCAATCGATGCGTTTCTGACCCATATTTGATCATTGCGGATATCATATTAGTCTTGGCTTGTTTCTTTCCCCCGTGCCCTGGTCCAAAGGATTTCGCACTGTCCACCACATAGGAAAAGGACGCATCCTCATTTCGAGCCACCCCACCCGCACATTGACAAATGGCATCAATCATTTCGCGACTATGAAACTGCAAATCCTCAAAACGGACCATCAGTCGCGGATAGTCGGCATGGAGGTATTGTTCGTACCATTGCGTCCAGTAGTCTGCTAGGGAATCAAAGTAGGCTGTGGCCTTGTATTTGACAGTGACATCGAGAGTCGATGACTTGTAACCCCGGTCCTTGTCCAAGGCCAAGGGAACCAATCCTGGACAGTGTCCTTTTGGTCGTAACCATTTAGCAGTGTAGGGGTGCTTACACATGCTTTGCATCCAACTGTAAGGATCTCGAACCATGACTACCGGCAATACATTCGTCTTGTTTGTATTTTGATCATTTCCAGCCGTATTCTGTGGCGTGATGGAATGAAGGAATGAACGAAAGACTAATGAGATGACCAGTCACCAAGCACCCGTAACGCTCACTCGCGATGGTGAAAAAGCACTTACATTCCACTTCCAACTTGCTGGAACATGCTTTCCCCATGGCACTTGAAATCGCATTCCTCCATGTCGTTCACGTTTGATATGGGGCATGATGCAATTCTCTTCCAAATACATATTCATTGGATTCGTCCCCGTATTGAACAATCCAGCAATCCCGATGCTGGCCTGATCCAGCGGAATAGTCTCTTGAAACTGTTTACAGGTATCCAATCCGATAATGACAGGCCCATTGTCTCCATACAATTTTGTGACGACATCCCATTTGGGCAAACTCAATACAGCCGCCACATCCAATTCCTGGACGCCCGCATCGTGCAAAATGTCGACCAAGGGCTCTCGGCCCTTCAAGGCATCTTCCATGGTGGTCGTATTCCAGCCATCAGGAATGGGAATATTGAGATCTTCCAGATCTTCCTTTCGGACCGCATGAATGGCGTTGTGCAAAATGTTGCCTTTTTTGTCCTTTTTGACAACTTGATCGTGTATGGCTTCCTTGTTGAAGAGGGATTTTTTCAAAAAGGTTTTGGTCGAAACCTTGTACTTGAAATATTCGTTGGTGGTGGACGACGAGTCGTGGTCTTGTTGGACGACTTTTGAATCTACTTGTTTTTGCGACTTAGACTTTTCCAGGATTTCCTGTTCGACGGCTGCTGCAGCTGCATGCTGATCTTTGATTTCTTCAATGGACATGGGGTGTTCCTCGACCTCTGCGTCGTCATCTCCATCTCCTAGATTGCCATGGTCGATATATTTTTTGCCGTTTTGTCTTAATCCCGATGCTTGTTGTGGTTTTCCACCAAAGTTGTGCATAGGAGTAATAATTTCATGTAATATCTCGTAGTCCAATGAAGCGTTTTGCGATTGCACTCCAGATGGCTTTCGAAATTGAATGACCACATACATCCAGCAACCAGTCATCATCACCAAAAGTAAAATGACGGCGCATTGTATGCAAGCCAACAACTTCGGTGTGCCTTTTCCTCCTCCAACGAGTGCATTATCGCCACTTCGAGTTCGTTTTCGTTGAGACATGGGTATAGGCATAATGAGAAAAAGTGAATCAGTGATGCTGACGTTCTTTTATTGCTTTCTTGCTTTTAGTTGCGTTCGGCGTCGTTCTTGGCGGATATTGCTTCCGCAGAATCTTTCAAAAATCTCTTTGAAATGTCTGTGATAACAAACTCAATATCTGCAAAGAGGGTTACTGTCACGCTGGATGGTCTTCAAGGGATGCCAATAAGGAAGTGACTCGGTTATGTGATCATAGAAAAAAGTGAACCAGAAACAAGACTCCCACTCTCATCTCAAATGTCTCTTTCGCGTGGTCGATGCGCATACCTACAATTTTTTTGAGCCTTTGTAAGGACTACAGTAGTACCACGTCATGGCCAACAACCCCTCTTCAATGTCTCTTTCGCGCGGTCACTTCGCGCAAAGCTTTTTGGGCCTTTGTAAGGACTTTTGACCCATCTGATTTCCGACCAAACTTGTCTTGTCCAAAACTCATAGAAACCCATTGCAAGGCAAGGCAAAATGCACATCTTGGAGAGCCCACTTGGCTCCAATGTCAGGCCACAAGAGCCGACGGCGTTTCCTCGACGAGATCCAAGGATAGGGAGCCAATTTCAGACCAAGATTCTTCAAAACTGCACCAAAAACGATGGGAGAAGACCACCTGATCGCATTTCGCACGAGCATGTGTACTCATACTGTTGTTACGACTCGAAGATGGACTCCAATGAAGGTGAGACTCAGATATGTTATCTTTTGTGTCATGATCTTGCACTGTGGGGGGATGGATCGTGGTTTATGTGACCTTTGCGCCATTTTCTCGCCCATTTTCAGTCTTCGTGGTCCTCTGCCAAAATCTACGTGGTAGTGAGTTTTCCGATCGTATATTCCCTTGATTTGGAATCTGGAGACGGAAATGGCCACCACAGTGTCGCTCTTATTCAAATTGATTGATGGTATATCACTCATTTACCGCTCAATGGCTCTCATTGTCCACTATGACCTCATTTGCCTCTTCACCTGTTGTTTTACAGACGACTCTACGGAGGAGCAGGCAGTCGCCAACTCCACCTCTATGACAGCGACAAGGCCAATTCCGGCTCCCTGTGACCTCGAAGCTAGCCTACAAACCGAAACTGTACCGCGCGGTGGACTCAAGGTCCACTCTCCCTCGACAGAAGCCCATCGATTTGCCCAGTCAGTCGAACCGATGGTTCTGTCGTTGGCCTCGTCGTACACGGTGTCGAATCCCACGACCACAATTTTGAAAAATTCTTCCCTTGAAACTACCGGTACATCCAACAATAAGAACTCACCCACTAAGGGATATACTTTTAAAGGTGGAAATGAAACACCCGAAGGTTTCATGGCATCCTCCCAAAATGAAGATTGGAGAAAAGACGTTTTTTGGCAAAAATACATGCTCCAACTGCAAGGACGCGTCGCAGATCGCTCCAAGAAGCGGAGGCCCCAACGCGGTGCCCGTAAGCGCAGACGCGGGAGTAATACATCAGAAGATAGTACTGTGAGTGATGGGGCTACAAGTGACATGCCGGTCTGTTTGGAAGAAATGGTGGAAGAACAGCAACTTATTGCCCCACAGTTTGGAGAAGACATGGCACATTCCATGGCATTTTTGCACTACTATCACAATGGGAATGCCAAAGCGGCCAATATGCGTTTGTTTACCAATTTGACGGCTGGTAAAGGTAGGTACATCAATTATATCTCGGGGGTACAAAATTTGTTTGGCAGTGTTGGTGTGGAGTGGGTGAGAGTCAATCGAATGAATCATCGATCAACCAAATCCCAATGGCTGAACGCCACATCCACACATGTATTTCATTCTGCTTTGCTAACCATCCTATCGCTTGTGTATTTCTCTCTATTCCGAAGCATCCAAACGGCGAAAGCTGGTAAAACTGAAACGATTGCAGCAAAAGAAGCTTCCGTCAATCCAGTCTTCCGAATCTTGGAGACGAGTGTACGAGCAGACGCAGTTAATGTCCATTATCGATCACTTGGAACAAACGGCATCCATTCCCTATGCTTTGCAACAACAGCGTTTGCCACAAAATCAATCGACTGCCAAAGAGGGATCCAATGGAGATGTAATTATGTTGGATGCCGCTGAAACCAGCAAGGATGACCTCAAGGAAGCATGGACTTCCATCCTGTCCATTGGACGATCCGTGAAGGACCAACTGGATGGTTGGGAAACTGCTGGTAGCAAGACCAAGACTGATAAAAAGATCGCTTGCTCGGCACTATTGGCGTTCATCCGGAATGCCTATCGATTGGAACCACCAGAAGTCTGCTTTGGATCAAACCATGTCATGATTGAAGAAGTCTCGTATTGCCTGTTGGCCATTTTGGAACATATTGAGAGTGCTCGGAGTGCCCAAGCGGAGATTCGGGATAAACTCTATCAGGAGTCGATCACTACTGGATCGGATTCAGATGCCTTGCAAAAATATGTCCAAGAATTGTGCAAGGTATTGCCCATACGATTGGATGAGGTAAGCTTGTTGGAAGAATTTCGAGACGTTGTCATAGAATGGGAAGGCAAGCTGGCATCCTCTCGGGAAACGACCAATAAGGACGATGAAGGGGGCGATCTGGAAGCTGCTAAACAAATGGCCCTGGAAGCAAGGTCGCACGGTTACGTGTCCAAAGAGATGATTGATTTGCAGGTGAAGATTGAGAAATCAAGAGAACTCAAGCAAAAGATACTAGAGTGGAAACAATTGTGTGACGAAGGCAACGGAGGTACCATGCGTACCGTCAGTGCCTTGGCCAAGGAATTGAAGAAACTCAAACTCGACTTTGCCGAAAAGCGAGACTTTCTGGAGTTTTATACTGTGGTTCAAAATTGGTTGGACCGAACCAACATTGCAATTCGTTCGAGAATGTCTTTCGTTGAAGTGCGGGCCCTCCTAACACAAGGAGCTGACTTTCCGCTGGACCTTGCAGAATACGTTGGCAAATTGAAATCAAGGGTGTCTTCAGCAGAGGCCTGGCTCGAACGGCTGGAGGATTTGGTACCTTGTCCCAAGACTGCTTCGGGAGAACATGATATGTTGGAATGGTCCAAAGGCATGCGCTCAGCATTGCACGACGGGCAACAAGGCTTGCTGCAAGATATGGTGTCTGACGGAAGCCGGATGCCCGTAGAGGTGGAAGCCTTGAAGGTGCTCCAAGTGGAAATTGATGCCAAGAATTGGATCAGCAAGGCTCAAAAGTGGTTGCCAATTAATGAAGACAGCAAAAAGGGCAAGCTAGTCGACCTGAAGGATCACATTGAACGTGCCCATAATCTGCGTGAGCGATTGACATTCTCGGGAGATAGAAAGTCATCTTGGGAACTTAAAGGAGAGGCTGAGTTGACAGCGATTGTGGATGCTGCGGATTCTTGGTTACATCAAGTAAGTTGGTTGTCACTTGTGTTTTGGATTTTTTTCATTTTCATTTCTAACTTTTTCGAAAATCAGTACAAGCCATTCGTGGACGGAGACAATCGCCGAAACAAAAACCGTCGATGCCTCTCAATTTCCAAGCTACGCGAAATTGTCGCAGAAGAGAAGGAAATTTTTGCCAACCTTGGACCGGCTGCTGTCAAGATGGCCCGCATTCTAACGCAGGCGGAACATTGGTACAATGAACACCGGCCTTTGTTGCAACGGTGCAACTTGGAAGAGCGAAATGAAATTGCGACAAAGCCAATTGTTGACCCGGCCGAGATGAAGAATGCAGTGCAGGCAGCAACTTCATCTATTTCTTTGGACTTGGAAGAAGCTATGGCGTTGAAGAAACTTGCCGAGAGGATACAACATTGGTTCGGCCAAGTTGGAACAGTCGTAAAACCAAAGAGCAAGAAGCAGTACCAAAAGTTTACTGTTGATGAGATTCTCGAGCTCATTAACGAATCAACGACGCTTCCTATCAACGTTGAGAACGAAGTCTTGGAACTGAGATCCCATCTGCGAGCTGTTGAGGAGTGGAAGAGTCATGCCACAAAGGATCTCGACGAGATTGGGACATCCTTTCTGAAGATCCAAGAGAAAATGATAGCAGCGTATGGCCCTCCGAGTAAATTCAACATTGACCTATTGGTGAAGAACAGCGACTGGGGTGCTGAGAGTACTGGAAATGAGTCCGAACAGAAGGAACCTCTGGAGGACAATGGAGTAGAATCTGCAACCAGTACTCTAGAAGCATCGTCCACCAAGGATGGTCCACCGGATGTAATTGCGCAACATGATTGCTCGGGGGAACGCACCACAATTCAAAAGCTGCAAGCCGAAGCTCGTGACATTGGTGTCGCGACAATCGAGGCCGAACTATTAGATCTTTTCGATGGAATTTCAAAATGGTGGTTACGATCTTTGAAGTACCTCAAGTCTCCCCGTGAAGTCTTTGACAAGCGCTACTTTGGTGCCTTTGACCGCTTTACTGACGATGGAGATAGGCTTGTATCCACATGCACCACTTATGAAAAGAAGTGTATCGATTCTGCAGAAGGAAGTTGTGAATCGACCTGGAGCAACTTTGTTATAGCCCAGCTGGATCGAATGAAGATCCTCCGTTCTGAGCGAGCCAAGTTTGTCGCATGGTGTGATCAAGCGAAAGAGATCTTGGCTGACGAGAAAAAGCTCACATTGGAAAAACTCAAGAGTTTAGTGAAGAACAGCCAGAAATTCCCTCCATGTGAGTCATATGTATGCTCCAAACACAACCCAAACACAACGCATCCGCTCCAGCTAACATACCCTATGCTTTTTTAGTGAATGATATGGTGCAAGAGGTTCGAGTACTTGCAGAGGAAGTCTCAAAATGGTCGGAGCAGGCGCGGCCGATCATACTTTCTGGGAAAAAGCTGGATATGCCCACGGCAAAGGCGCTTGTAGAGGCTGGCGAGAAATTGAAGGTGAATACCGAAGAGCTTCGCACCTTGAGGGCTGCGTTGAAAGCTGTCCGCAAATGGGTAAACAGAGTAAAAAAATGCGATTTGGATCAAGGAGATACGAAGATTTCTACTGTCACCGATTTGATCAATGAGCATGAATCATTGTTAATTGAAATGCCAGATGATTTGGCCCGGCTACAGCAAGCAACACAAGCGTACTGCATATGCAGACGGCCATATGAAGGCTTTATGATCGGCTGTGACGAGTGTGGGGAGTGGTATCATGGGCCATGTATTGGAGTTTCACAAGCTCGAGCAGATCGATTCGACAAATTCGTCTGCGTCCGTTGCTCGATGAAAAATCTCTTCAAGAATAGTGCTGTTGGTGCCGTTGACATAACAAAGAAATGGACAAGCCGCAAGTGCCTAAAGAAAGCAAGGCAGGTAGAGCATCAAAAGCATCAGCGAAAGGTTCGTAAAGAAACAAAGGATATGGAAAAGCTGCAGAAAAAACTAGAGAAACTGCGAGGGCAAAAGTCGCCGCAGAAAAACGCATCCGAAAATCCCAAAGCTATCAACACAGTAGGAGGGAATGCTAGTTCGGATTTGACTGCTAAAAAACCAGCAGATAAGTCTACTACATTAGTTGCTGATAAACCTGATGAAACTCCAGCTGCAGCAGTTGCTGATGAAACTCCAAATGAAAAGATGCCTGATAAAGCTCCAGAAACGCCGGTTGGTACAGTTGTTGATAAGCAATCCGAAACCACGGTCCAAACAGTTGTCGACAAACCTGGTGATACAGCAAGCGACATGGTTTCTAAGAAATCTGCTGAAGCACTGGCTGAAACAGTTGCTGAGAAAATTGCCGAAACGCCAGCTGAAACACCTGCTGTTGAAGCACCCGTTGAAACACCAGCCGAAAATGCTACTGGAAAGTCGTCCGACAAAGATGAAGAACATGATACTAAAAAACCTGTAGAAGCGCACACGAAGGGCTCAGAGAAACCCCAAGGTAAGTCAGTTGTAAACTTGAAACTTTGCGTTGGTAGCTTGTCTCACATGATTTTCAGATGAAATGCAAAGCGAAATCGACAAGATCAGCAATACCATGAGACAAATTCAAGAAAGATTGGTTGACCTCCAAAATAATCTGAAAGAACAGAAACAGATGGAAGCTACGGAAGACAAAAATGCCGAAAAATTACGAAAGTGGTGCATCAGAGTTAGGTCGTTTGTTCTCATTCCTTCAAACGATGAGTTTCGTGAGAATGCTCGACCGCCTCTCGATGGCAGTATTTCCAAAATGATGGAATCCGTATTGTCAGAAGCAGAGTTCTTTGGTGTCGCGTCTCTCAATGATGTTGACGCCATGAGAAACCTTTTCAAGTGCATGTCTTGGAGTTTGCTCGGGCTATCAATCATTAATAGAAAGCCAACGCTCGAAGAAATGAAAATGCTATTGTCAAGAGCGGCAGAACTCCGGCTCCCCGACGAAAAGGCTCTAAAGACGATGAAGGTTATGGTGCACAGAACGGAGCAAGTGAGATGCAAGATCGAGAAAATTTTGGTCACTCGTCCAGGAGAGTCAAAACCGATTAAGCAATCTCTTTTGAATGAACTTGTAGCTAGCTCCGAATCCGTTGCACTGATCATTCCAGAGTCAAAAAGAATTTATGCTACAATTGAGAATAAAGGAATCCCACCTGTTGTAGGCGAGGAATCCGACAGCGAGTATCATGTCAACCACGGTTGCATCTCTGCTCATGGCCATGATCCAAGGAAACTTTGGCCACCTTTTGCATTGTTCGGATCACCGGAAGTAATCGAAGTTCTTGGTGCAGAGTGCTCTTTGATTCCCGAAGATACTAGCGTGCTTGTTCGAGAAGAATCCAAGGTCACCGTTGATCAGCCGAAAGAGTGTACTGCGCAAGTGCAGTTGCAATTACAAACCACAGCTCATGCGACTGAAGTGACTTCATCATCTGTCCGAATGAAGTCGTTGTCGCCCACTGTTGTCCAAAGCGAAGAGCAAAACACAACTGAAACACAAAGCCCTTCAATGGAGGTAGATAAACCAGTTTCTCCAACATCAACACCCACTGATAGAAATGCAGTTCCAGTTGCGGATACAATAGTATCAGAGGCAGCAGCTGGTCCAGAAGCACCGATCGAGCGCGCTTCGCAGAAGACAGAGTCGCAACCCATACCAGAGGCAGATCCGCTGATTAATTCAACTAGCATGTCGGAAATTTCGGTGACAGAAGCCACTCCAAAGGTGACGGCAAGTATAGCAGCAACTGTTGTGAAAGGTCAAACAGAAGACACTGAAATGCTTGATGTACAAGCCTCTGATGCAAGTAATGCAAGTGAAATTGCACCTGCTGTAGCAGAAGAAGCACCGGCGGGAACTTCAAGCGAAAAGAGCTCTGCCACTACGGGCGGAGCTTCCCCTTCATCAGCAAATGGACCTCCTCCACCGGTTCCAGCAAACGAAGAAGCGGCCGGACAAGAGGCCCAAGACCCGCCAATTTCAGCAGCAAGTGAATCCGCGCCTGCTACTACTAGCGAGGCACCAAGGGTTGTATCGAATGAAGTATCAGCAATGGCAGGAAGGAAAAACCATGATGCCGCTGCTAGCGAAATTGCGATTGCTGCCGCAAGAGATCGTTTGATTGCTGCCATGCGAGAAGTACCAACTGTTTCGACAGCTGATGCTGCAGTTGCTGTTGCCAAAGAAAGACTGATTGCTACAATGGAAGAAGTCCCAATCTCTTCATCAAATCAGACGTTTAATGAAAAACAGGAAACTGCGAAAGTGCAATTACCCATACCTATGGATACTGATAATGAATAACGCTACAACTCCGCAAAGATTTGCAACATGGGGGAGCATGGAGTATGGAATATTGGGCGAAAATCGCGATTGGACCTAAAAGTAATGTTGTGTTTCAACTCTCTCGTTTGATTCAATTGTTGTCATATATTGGAGGTAGGAATCAGCCAAAACACCAGAAAATCGAAACGCCGCTGTAGTCGCGGTCCCGTAGACATTTGTACAATCAGTTGCAATACCAGTTTTGGATCCATGCCAGTAGCGGTTGAAATCAATTCAGCCTCAGCAAAATGAGAAGTGGGTTCAAAACAACTTTCCGTTGGTATCAAAGATTGCATCAAATTTCCCATTTTTTCATCTTACTCGTACAGGCAATAAATAAGGTCACGATGTGACGTGCGAGAGAACCTTGACCAAAGATTTCATCAAATTTCCCATTTTTTCATCATACCGGCAATAAATGAGGTCACGATGTGACGTGCAAGAGAACCTTGGTTACTTTCCCATTGGCGCTTAGGTAGAAAGCAGCTCATCACAATTTTGCCAAATGCGGTTTCTCCTCTCATTATATATGGAATATATATGGCGCCACTGCTAAAATAAGAACCAGAATATCGAAATTTCGCACATATATTTTGGTGTGAACCAGTCGCGGTTCAACCGAGCTCAGTGGCGGATGACCTCCAATTAGAGAAGATGGCACCAAGACCTGCAAAGAAGTTTTACTCATCGGGATCCCCCAGTGGCGGTTATAAAGTCTTGAAGAAAACGAGGTTTCTCGTCTCATAATTTTCCAATTGTCCCTCAACAGGCAACCAAAACAAAATAATGAACTGCATCTTGACACACCAACCTCTCCATGTATCACTGCTTTCACAGCGATACACCAATGCCAGTCACCGTGATATCGTCGACCCAGTGCTGCCGAAGAAGCTGTCACTCACCAGTAGTTTGTGTGTCAATGATGCGTGCATGTCCAAACTGGGAGGCTGTGTCCCGCACTCGAATCCATTGGCACACACCAACGCCATTTTCGTTGGACAAACCAAAAGAACCACCCGCGCACTTCTCAAGAGTCGCCACACAATGTCATCGGAGCTTCGCAAAGATTTCGAAGAAAATCCGAGGCGAAAGGAGCTCCTTTTGGACAATACAGCCAGCCTCCATCGAAGGATGGAAGAATATCGCAGACAAAAGAGGACTGGCAGATATATCCATATTTTCGATACCGATTCGGACGACGAAGACCTCAAATGAGCAATGACTGTCGATGGTAATTGAGAATGAACAAAAAGGAGCTACCATACTAGGCGGCTAATGCTTTCGGATGAAGAATATTGTAATTTATTATATTAGCAATACTATTATTGACAATGTGACTGCTTTAGCGTTGAATTCTCTCTTTGTATTCCGACGAGCATTATGCACCAACGCAGTCTTCGAGTGACTAGACATACGGCGAGCTGTGCCGAGCCTAACCCGCAATGAGTTTGAATGAATCAATCGCATTTTGCTCAATCTCGTCGTATGTAGTGTGGATAGTTACAAGGGCATCTTTGTCGCTACACTTCGATACAATACGATCAGTCGACGAGCTCTGATCATGGGTACTTGAGGCAAAGAGTTGACCACAGGGTATTGGGACTCTAGAAGCTCGTTTGGGGTACAGACCTTTGTCCCTCCTACAGTATTTGCTGTCGTGCTCTGATGAAGCTAGATATTACAATGATAATGCGCAAGCGTAATGATAAATGGTAATGAGTGAACTTTCTTTCTTTTCAATGGTCTTATGGACGAGTGCAACAAACGGTGAATGAGAAAACTTTACAGCAGTGAACGTTTGAATCAATGTATTTTATAGTTTTTAAAAACTGCTGGTAATATGAATAGAACAACCCAAAATAAAAGCGTGTAGACTGCACCCGGTATCTCCAAGTCTTGAGTAGCAAGGATATCATAGACACAATCCTTGATGGTTGCGGCATCCTTCAGACCAGCGCGAGCACTTGACTTCCTCCATATCAATGTTGGATTCTTCGAGGAGTCTGCGACGCTCACCGCTCATTCCCTGCATGATTGGATCCAATTGTCTCAATTCAGCTTCTTTGGATCTTGGGTCATCTATTGTGTCTTCGTGGACAATTGAGACTTTCCCAAGTTGGACGGTACCTGGATTCCAAGGCACTTTGCCTGTCATATCAATGTGGGGGCAATTCGCGAGTTCTCGATCAGTTGGAGCCCTTGAATCGAATAGTAACTTTGTCCCCTTTGGCTTGAGTGCAACAAATATTGGCTTGGTCTCGATACCATTATTCCTCATCTCATCGAACGGATTATCCCATAGGGGTATTCCGAACTTGCGGACTTGGTTTGGGTTGATCAATGAATGATCTAACCGGTTCCCATAATAAAGTGCTTCGTTGAATATCAATATGAACGTGGTGCCGCTCTGTGGGCAGTCATAAGCGGTCGCTCCAGATACAATTGGTACGTTTGTTGGTGGCAGAGCTGGGTCGTACGCGTACACATCCGCCAATCTTGGGGTGTAGCTCATGATAACAAAGTTCTTGCCAAGGCAACAAGTGTCGGCGTTAGTATCCATCTCATTGCTCGCCGTCGTTCCTGGTGTTGGTTGTTGCACTGGTCGCTGGGATGCGGCTGTGTTGGATGAGATCACCCTTACAATTCGTCTGATCTCACTTATTGCGTTTCAGGTCCTCCCGCTTGCCTGTTGGTTACTTGCCTGTTGGTTGCGTCCGCCCATTGCTGTACTTCCAGCCGTTCCCATAGTCACTTGTGATATCTGCGTGGCTGCTTTGGCTGGAATTGTAGCAGGAACGTTGTTGGATTTCATTGATGCCACCTCGGCTTGCAATTCCGCCAGCTGCGTTTCCACTTGTTGTGTTTGTGCGGCCTGTCTTGTTGTTCTTCTTGCTGGCAATCCTTGACTTTCTTGGTATGCGGCTCTTTCCTTTGCCATGCGTTAACGTTGTTTATTGGTAAACGCTCGTAGGTGTGTTGGAGAGAAACGGTAGCTAGGATGGTACTAGATCTTCTCTCCATTACTCAGAGCAATCTCTTGTTCGTTGCGACGTTTGTTGCCTCCTCCATTGTTTTGGCTCCTGCTTCTGTCGCAATCGTTGTCAGCTCTAGTTTCGCTCAAGTATCGTCCCCTATCGGTTGCATTACTGGTTCCTTGGGGAAACTTTTCTCTCACTGCAGTTCGGTAGATTTGTAATGCTGTCGTGAAAGTCATTAACAGCGGTCTTTTGCCAATTTCCGTATTGATTGCCGTTTTGTCCAGTTGTAGAAATGGTGCTGTAACCTTGCTTTGTAGGCTACGCAGTTTCATTGCTTCTGAATGGACTTCTCTCCCCTCGTGTTTGTCGCATGCTGCATGCACTTTCTTTAGCATTCGTTCAAACATGGACCAGTTCATTTTGGGTTTTTCACCAACATAACACAATTCTTTGATGGTGTGTTCAGCTTTGACGATATCGCTGGCTAGTATCCCTTTGCCTTCATAGTGGGAATGTAGTGCTTTGAATGCTTCTCTTCCATTGCCTGCAATGTGGATGGCTTGGAGGGTCGCCTCAGCTTTGGTATTCCCCACAATGAACTTGCTTAGAAGGACTAGTACTTTGGCGTTGTTCATGACGTATGCTTCGCCAATGTGTGGTGCCATGTTGATGTAGATTTCCAAGAAATCTTCGTGGAGGGTGAGTATTCCTGCATTGTTCATTCTCACAATGTAGCTCAGTGGCACACCGTCTCTTCCTGGTGTGGTGCTGTCCATCGTCATGGTGAAATCGTCCGAGAATATTTCATAAGCAATTCTCTCGGCTTGTGTGCGTCCTTGGAAAAGGGTGACATTGTTAATGCCACAGATGACCATGTTGTCGTGTACAGTGAAGAAAGGAGGAACAGCGGCCATATTGCCAGTATCAATGTCATACATCAAATTGATAGTTCACATTTCTTTTATTCGTAACAGTTTTCATTGGTGTTGTTCAGCACGATTCGTAACAGTTTTTGTTTCTGTTGTTCAGCACCATTCGTGGCAGTTTTCATTGGTGTTGCTCAGCACCATTCGTGGCAGTTTTCGTTGGTGTTGCTCAGCACCAATCGTGACAGTTTTCGTTGGTGTTGCTCAGCACCATTCGTGACAGTTTTCGTTGGTGTTGCTCAGCACCATTCGTGACAGTTTTCGTTGGTGTTGCTCAGCACTGTTCATCATAATGTTCATAACATTTGATGTCATTTTGCATTTACGATCATGTTCATCATTACGTTCATAACGTTTGATGGCATTGCATTTCAATACATTTCAATACATTTCAATACATTTCAATACATTTCAATACATTTCAATACGTTTCATTTTCGTTTCGTTTGTCGGATAACTTTTGACAGTTATTGCTGGATCTGATAAACCATGTAAATGTAATCGTTACATTATTACGAGAGTGTTGACTTACGAAGTAGTAGATGTTAAAGATAGTAATGTAGATCAAATCGTATTCTTAAAAAGAGTGTTGCTATCGTCGTTTCATCGACAGGCTTCCGCGAAGGCGGATCCTGTTCACTTACGGACACGAACGATTGCATGCGTGTGCAATAGCACGGTAGCCTTCATTTGATGTGACGTGCAAGAGAACCTTGGTTACTTTCCCATTGGCGCTTAGGTAGAAAGCAGCTCATCACAATTTTGCCAAATGCGGTTTCTCCTCTCATTATATATGGAATATATATGGCGCCACTGCTAAAATAAGAACCAGAATATCGAAATTTCGCACATATATTTTGGTGTGAACCAGTCGCGGTTCAACCGAGCTCAGTGGCGGATGACCTCCAATTAGAGAAGATGGCACCAAGACCTGCAAAGAAGTTTTACTCATCGGGATCCCCCAGTGGCGGTTATAAAGTCTTGAAGAAAACGAGGTTTCTCGTCTCATAATTTTCCAATTGTCCCTCAACAGGCAACCAAAACAAAATAATGAACTGCATCTTGACACACCAACCTCTCCATGTATCACTGCTTTCACAGCGATACACCAATGCCAGTCACCGTGATATCGTCGACCCAGTGCTGCCGAAGAAGCTGTCACTCACCAGTAGTTTGTGTGTCAATGATGCGTGCATGTCCAAACTGGGAGGCTGTGTCCCGCACTCGAATCCATTGGCACACACCAACGCCATTTTCGTTGGACAAACCAAAAGAACCACCCGCGCACTTCTCAAGAGTCGCCACACAATGTCATCGGAGCTTCGCAAAGATTTCGAAGAAAATCCGAGGCGAAAGGAGCTCCTTTTGGACAATACAGCCAGCCTCCATCGAAGGATGGAAGAATATCGCAGACAAAAGAGGACTGGCAGATATATCCATATTTTCGATACCGATTCGGACGACGAAGACCTCAAATGAGCAATGACTGTCGATGGTAATTGAGAATGAACAAAAAGGAGCTACCATACTAGGCGGCTAATGCTTTCGGATGAAGAATATTGTAATTTATTATATTAGCAATACTATTATTGACAATGTGACTGCTTTAGCGTTGAATTCTCTCTTTGTATTCCGACGAGCATTATGCACCAACGCAGTCTTCGAGTGACTAGACATACGGCGAGCTGTGCCGAGCCTAACCCGCAATGAGTTTGAATGAATCAATCGCATTTTGCTCAATCTCGTCGTATGTAGTGTGGATAGTTACAAGGGCATCTTTGTCGCTACACTTCGATACAATACGATCAGTCGACGAGCTCTGATCATGGGTACTTGAGGCAAAGAGTTGACCACAGGGTATTGGGACTCTAGAAGCTCGTTTGGGGTACAGACCTTTGTCCCTCCTACAGTATTTGCTGTCGTGCTCTGATGAAGCTAGATATTTACAATGATAATGCGCAAGCGTAATGATAAATAGTAATGAGTGAACTTTCTTTCTTTTCAATGGTCTTATGGACGAGTGCAACAAACGGTGAATGAGAAAACTTTACAGCAGTGAACGTTTGAATCAATGTATTTTATAGTTTTTTTTTTAAACTGCTGGTAATATGAATAGAACAACCCAAAATAAAAGCGTGTAGACTGCACCCAGTATCTCCAAGTCTTGAGTAGCAAGGATATCATAGACACAATCCTTGATGGTTGCGGCATCCTTCAGACCAGCGCGAGCACTTGACTTCCTCCATACCAATGTTGGATTCTTCGAGGAGTCTGCGACGCTCACCGCGAAGATCTTCTGGCAGTATTGCACTTCTCGTGGAATTGAGGAGATTCAATCTCTTGGAACATCTTGCATTCGGATGAAAGCACCTGTCATTCGTTCCCGAGGTCATCAGAGTCGTTGAGGACAGTTTCGGATTTCCCCACCTCGAGCAAGAGTATTTCGTCGCCGTCTGGATTGTCGTTGAACCTTGTGACAAGGCATTTAAGATGCAGAAACTTGTTTCGTTATGGTACTTGTCGTCGTCTCCTCACTAGTTGATGCCTCGTTTGGTTCTTTTATGGAGTCGTCGTCGATGTCATCTGGCTCCTTTTGTGCTCCTCCACGTTCTCCAGTTTCCGTCTCAGACGCTTTTATCATAACCTCGCCTTGTTGATCGTAGGCGTCCGCTTCTTCTTTTGCAACAACACCCAATTTCGGATGATAGACGAGCCATCCCGGTGGGTAGTCTTGTGGGTTGAGAAAGGCTGGTTCCAGTTCGGGTGGTGGTTGTGGTTGCTTGAGACTTGGTCTCTTTGGCAATTCCTCCTTTGCCCCTGGAATTGGGACTAGTGGAGGCATCTTGGTTGGTTGAGTCGCTTTGCCAGCCAAGGCACGGAGAATCCGAACACGAGATGACGGGCCCTTGACGGTTGCATCTTTTTGCTGCCGGGCATCATCATCATCATTGTCATCATCGTAGTCATCTGCCAGAAGAGGAGAGTAGGATGCTGGACTAAGCAACCTAAGAACTGCATCAAAGGGCGCCATGCAAAGGGACCATGTGACATCGATCAGACGCAATATAGATCGATACAGCATCACACCATAAGGTGTGTCTGGATCAGCTGAATCATCGTTATCAAAGAACCCCAAAATCGCGAGTGGCGCAAGCAATAGAACCATTACGATCAAAATCATGGATAGAGTGCTTGTGGTTGAGCCAGATTTCTGACTGAGGATGTAACTCAGGGCTCGTTCGAACACCTTGATGAGCCAAGAAACAACGGGTTGTTGCCTCAGTATTTTGGGTAACCAAGAACTAATGATGGTGCTAGTATCATCTTGCAACAGGTCAGAGTAGACTTCATCCACAATGGCCGAGGGATCGTAGTCGTCGTAGTAAGCATTGACATCAACGTGCTCATCATCGTGGGCAGAAGTGTCGTACTTTTCCATGTAGAGTGTATTGTCCTCCATGTTTTATATATATATGATGCGGCACTTGTCTCAATTAAAGTGGGATTGACTGTCGTGCTCTAGAATATTATACATTGATCGCAAGAGTTTCGTAGTCGTATCGTTGCGTTTCGACCGATTGTCGACTAAACAGATTGATTCAGTTAACGTTTCGCGCGACTGCGATTGCGCGTCAAATCTTTTATTCCAAACGCACTGCGTTGCAACTATGATGATTGCATTATTGGACTGTTGTCAGGGTACCTGGTACAATAGCTGCTCTGAATTCATACATTCAAGAGGCAAAATAAGGACAGCCAAAGTATGGAATCATCAATTGTAGCAAATACCATTGCGGCAATTGCAGTAGTCATAATGGTATTAGGTCTGGCATGGGTCTTTTATCCGGCTTGGTTGGTGGCCATGGCACCGGAAACCAAGTGGACCATTCTTCGCAATAACGAGGACGACAGCAATGAGGCCAAATCAGCGACAACAGCCGAACATAAAATTGTCTTGTCATTGGTGATTCCAGCGTACAATGAAGAAGAACGGATACCCATCATGCTTCAAAGTGCTCATGATTTTTTGCAATCCACCCAGGGGATCGAGGTGTTGGACAAATTGAACCAAGTAGGTTTGAAACACAACCACGGCGACCAAGAAAACGACAAAAGAACGATAAGTGTCGAGTGGATTGTGGTGGATGATGGATCTGTTGACAAGACGTGTGAAGTTGTAACCAAAGTCATGAAGTCAATCCAGTCCAAGAACTATCTTTGGAAAATTGTCTCCCTCGAGAAAAATTGCGGCAAAGGGTAAGGCTTTTGGTGGTGGCTTCCGCCCTTTGAAAGAATGAAGAGACTCGTTTCAATGTGTAAAAGTCAGCTGATCTTCAAGTCTCACATACGTTCTCCGTTTGCCTTTTTAGTGCTGCCATTAAAACTGGCATGTCGATTGCCAAGGGACACTATTCGCTCATGGTCGATGCCGATGGGGCGACTGATTTTGGACCGGGACTTCAAAAGTTGGTGGACAACTTGTTTTCCGTTCATAATGACGGAGGAGCAAACAATAGAAATATGATTGCCGTCTTTGGAAGCAGGGCCCATCTTCAGGGAGAATCCACCGCCAAACGATCCTTGGTGCGATCCTTTCTCATGTGGGCCTTTCATTTCTTTGTTCGAATCTTGGTATCTTCCACAATACAAGACACTCAATGTGGATTCAAACTATTTGACCAGCAGGCTGCTAGACTCATATTTGGGAATTTGCATTTACAACGATGGGCCTTTGATACCGAAGTAGTCTGTTTGTGCCACTTGTTGCAAGTCACCATGTTGGAAGTTGCGGTTCCTTGGCAAGAAATTGAGGGTTCGAAATTGAGTACATCCAAATTCGCCTTGGCCATGGCGAGTATTACCATGTTACGGGATATGATTTGCGTTCGACTGTGCTACACCCTTCGGCTTTGGACTGCTTCGTCGTCGTCCTTGCAACCACAATCTAATTCCAAACGGAAATCGAGTTAAGGTGATTAGTGGGATATGGGAAGGAAAAAAGCACTGCAGGCCTCAACACATATGCCTTGGATTTCGACGCTTCAATACGGCGAGCTATGGGACAGAGGGCTCTAGTACTGGTGTTGATAGCGATTCATCACATGACTTTGGGATTGGGATTGGAGGTGGCTTTGACAACTCACAGTCCAACTACGCACTGAGCTATGCAGCTATGCCAAGAGCAGGCTTCTTCAATCGCTGCTTACGCAACAACAACCTAGGTCGTTTCTATGTGGGCATAGCGAAAAGACTCGTGTACTGTTGTCCTATATAGGAACTATGCGGTTTTTGATTAACAACTACACCCAAGAATATCCGTCTCCAAGGAGAATTTTGCAATACGCAAACGATACGTCCCATTCACTTTTGGAAACTCAAAGCACAACACCAGCAATAAGACAAAGGGCAACAGTCAATGCGGCAAAAGTGGCATCATTGCCATCCGACTTGTCATCAGTAGTTGCCTCTGTGGCATCTTCAACATTGCATGAAGCACCGTCCAAGTAGACGAACCATTGTTGGCCTGGGAGATCATTAGCCTTGTAGCAACCACTGCCTTGGATCACAAAGCTGCACCCACACTCTGTGGCATTAGCGGCATTGAACGGAGCCTTGTCGGTGACACAGTTCTCACCGTAACCAGCGACACCGTCTCCGACACAACCGCTGAATGGGATGAGTCCAGGCCCAAGCGAGAAGCACGAATCTCCCCCCTTCAGAGCTTCGTGAGAAAGTAGTTCAGCTCCAGTACCAAGGCAGCACGAGTCTGCCACCTTTTCACCTTCAGAAACGAGACAAGTGTCTACAGCAGGACCTGTGGTCTCGTTGTAGGTTGCCCAGTATGATCCAGAAGGCGGAGTTGGAGCCTCGCAGGAGTCGCCGTCAAGATAGACGAACCATTGTTGGCCTGGGAGATCATTGGCCTTGTAGCAACCACTGCCTTGGATCACAAAGCTGCACCCGCACTCTGTGGCATCAGCAGCATTGAACGGGGCCTTGTCGGTGACACAGTTCTCACCGTAGCCAGCGACACCGTCTCCGACACAACCGCTGAATGGGATGAGTCCAGGCCCAAGCGAGAAGCACGAATCTCCCCCCTTCAGAGCTTCATGAGGAAGTAGGCTAGCTCCAGTACCAAGGCAGCACGAGTCGGTCACCTTTTCACCTTCAGCGACTAGACACTTTGCCTCAGCTGAGGAAACTGTAGCGTTGTAAGTGGCCCAGTAGCTACCTTGGGGCGCTTGGAGCGCACGAGTGGCAGATACAGAGACTGCAGAGGAAAGGATAATAAACGAGCTAAGGTAGACAATCATTTTCTGATTTTGTGAGAGGGTGTAGGCAAGGGTAGCGGGTACCAGGTATCCCGAGTTTGGTTTTTTGATAGGTGAGGAGTCTTTGTACTCTTGTTTACTTAAGGCCATACACTCTCAGGACTTCAGATCCACCAAGACGTTCAGATCCAGGAAGTTCAGATCCAAGACGTTCAGATCCAGGAAGTTCAGATCCAGGAAGTTCAGATCCAAGAAGTTCAGATCCAGGAAGTTCCGTTCCAGGAAGTTCTTCGCGAAATCCTACCCACAATTTTCGGGGGCGGGGATGTTGGGGCGTTTCATCATCCAACCTCACTAAATACGACTGTAACTACAACCACTGTTACCATAGTACTGATCTTGATAGGACAGCAGGCAACAAGAAATCGATATCCGAGCTTGTGCAAGTACTGTTGATCGAAAACGAAATGTCTAGCACCTTTACCGCCTTCCACTAGCAATTAAGAACATCTCTCACATTCCAACAAGGTACCACCAAGTAGAAACGCCTTCTTTTTGCTGATGACTTGGCTGGAGCTCTACAAGAAATGACCAAGGTTGGAATCTTCATGGTGTGCAAGAAGGTGCAGCTGACTGATCACTGTATCGGAACAAACATGTGGAGGCGCACACACGGCCTTCATTGACAGACTCTTTGCTGAGAACTATGATGATGTGGTTTTGTAATATTTCTGAGACGATGGCTCACACAAACGAAATGTTCTCAACACAGAACTTAGTTGCCATCGCTGTGGCTGAGTACGCAGCTTCTATCTTGAGAGACAAAGATTCTTTTATGATTTAGACTTTTCGTAGTTGAATAATGTTGACAAGATTCTTTTCATTTGTAGCTGAACACTCACAAAGGGGTGCAACTGAAATCATCGATTAGTTTCTACTGTCACAAGCTCAGTTTCTTTGGATTCTGCTGAATGTTTGTTAGTTGATGTTGTCGAATCAGAAATTTGCCGTTTTGCTTTCTTCTTTCTCGACTCCTCTTCCATAACATCTTGGTACGTCTTTTTCTTGAAATTGACCATGAAGCAAGTTGCCGCGCGAGGAATGATACAGACGCATACACGAGGTTTGCAATCCGGACAAAACATGGCATCACAAGAATCGCAAAACACTAGCACAAGACGGCAATCGTCGCAATAGTACTTTCCGCACCGACTGCAGGATGCCGCACAGCCGGAGCAAATGAGATGGCTTGCATCCCAGGCACAGTCCCACAAGACCGGATTATCCTCGTAGCATTCTTTGCACTTTAACACTTCATCTATCTCGGATACGTGTCTCTTTCGCTTCTTAGACCCAAAGATATTCATTTCGAGATAGTCCAGCAAGGCAACAGTCGTGCGGCGGAAGAAAGTGAAATGAAAGGTCGTTGTTGATTTTGCTATCGTATCTTTATTTCGGGGTCGGCGGGTCGCGGGTCGCTCAAATTTGTGAAATAGACTCGTCGGACTGCTGTTGGTCACATGAGTCAGTCAGTCGTCTCTGTAGATAGATGGCAAACTTCAATCCAAAACGTCACTCATCATTGTCACTGTCTCAATCATTGTCCATATCTCCAACTCCACCAAACGAATGAAAACAAGATTATTGCAAGCAAAGATATTGGGAAGTCTTTTACATTTCTCAAGATTCAACCACCTTGTATCATGCTTCAGCAGTCGACATTTCAACCATAATATTGTTCTTCATCGTCGATCTGCAACTGGCACGTCTATTTTTGTGAAAGCAGATCAAGATAGCTTTGAAGTAGAAGAGCAGATCGGGAATGGGTTTATTTCAGAGATCTTTCAAGTATTCATTGAGGATACAGATGCGTATGGGATCATGTACAACGGGAACTACCTAAAGTTCTATGACAGAGCTTTGTATTCATCTCCTGAAGCACACTCTGTGCTATCCCCCAGGAAGGAATGGTCAATAATATCCTTGGAGGACCAAAAATTCATAGGCTCTCCTTCACTAGGTTCTCAATTTGTCATTCAAGGGACACTGAAGCAAGCCCCATCGGATGATGCATCCACCTGGGACTTGAAAATGACAAGTCCTGATGGCTCGCAAACGTTCAACAGTGTTTCCAACTTGAGTGTGGCGACACCGGCCGAATCGACCGGCACAAGTTATTTCAATTTCGTTCAGCTGCAAGAAGTACCGGCCTTTGAAATCAAGGGGACCAAAGGAGCGACGAATTCTTTCATAATTTTCCGTGACGAACTCGACACCCAGTTGATGTCGCAGTTGCCTCTCAGAATTGTATTGAATTTGTTTGAGCGTGCACGAAGCAATCTACTTGGAGGTCCAGACGAGCTAAAACGTTTAAAGGAGGACCATGATATTGTCGTGGTTGTAACAAAGATTAGTGACTGCTCGCTGGTTGATGAGGGATACATCTTGTCTCCAGGACATACAGTTCAGGTCGATACGCAAAGTGTCATCAAGCGAAAGGGCATGATTATAGACTGTTTTCAGACGCTCAAAAGTAGCTGCGGAAAGCGCCTGGCACAGGGGAAAATCACACTAATGATGATCAGCAAGACTACTGAACGACCAACCTCTAAATTACCTGAATGGGTGATGGAGAAGCTCACCGGTGAAACGATATCGCAACAAACTAGTTAACTACTGTTCCAAATCGTTAGTATCTTCCATAAAAATCCTTGTGAGAGTTCATTAAATTCACGCCTTTCTACCATACCGTGCATGTAATCTTTAATTAGTCGGGCAGGTCGAGTTTGCCGGCGTCTTGCATTCATTCCACTTAAAGAGTGACAACAACATCAAACCAAACAGCCTGTGTTGCTGTTATTGCATTAACTCATTCCATTACATTGCATTTCAGGCCCTTAAATTTAATAAAATGATGGCTATGGAGACCCCCAACGCTTCTCAACAAACAGGTGACGCCTTGTTGGTTCCCAAAAAGTTTCCCAAAAATTTGGAAGACGCATTGTCACCTCCGTTGCCAAGAGCAGCCGAGTTGCTCTTTTCCAATAGCACTGCCGAGAAGAAACTATATTGGGATCGCTCGCATTATGATTCTCCTGAATCTCAAATGAAAGCATTGGCGTTTTCTTCAACGTTGTATATTGGAAACCTTGCTTTCTTGACTCGTTCCGCACACATCCGTTCTCATTTTGGGCAAATCGGACCGGTCAAGAGCGTCCAAATGGGCTTGGATCGCTTCCTCAAGACTCCCTGTGGCTTTTGCTTCGTCGAATATTACGATCGTAGGGATGCTCTTCAGGCTGTAGCCAATTTGAGTGGGACTAAATTGGATGGACGAGTCATTCGTGTGGAATTGGATGCCGGTTTTCAACCGGGACGTCAATACGGTCGGGGTGTCAGTGGTGGACAAGTCCGTGACGATCGTCGCAATAAATCTGATCCAGCCCGATCAAAGCGACAAAAGCTCAACTGGACGCCGCCGCCCTCCGTCACCAATGATTCGCAGAAGGATAGCTCTTACTATGGTGGGAATGCAGGGGAAACGACAGAACAAGGTGAGAATACGATGGACGATCATGGAGACAAGAATCCTCGATTCCGCGAAGACTAGGCATTTAGAATTTATAAATATAGGCAAGAAATGAGGAGTTTTAAATAGCTCAGTCGGAGGTCGACATAAGGAGGCTAACACACTTCTACCAAGCGAAATCGCTGAATGCTTTAGGCGGGGCCTAGTTGTGTTTCTCCTTCACTGCGACATGAGAAGCATCGTAAGCAATCGGATAATTTGATTTTTGGCTTTCAAACATTTATCCACTTCGTCGAAGAATATGGCAAGAAAGGTTTCCACAAGGAATGATTCGATTAGTGCAACAGGGGATCACTAGACATGAACGAAAATGTGAATTTGGTCGTATCAATTCACATGGTGACAACGCAGGATATGAGAATCCTACTGCATGGGGAAGGACTGAATTAAAAACTTGAGAAGAGACAAAAAATGCTACAGAATCGTTTCAAAAGCTATCAAATACCAAAGGGATTGCATCAGAAGCAACATCAATGGAGCCTGAAGAAACCAGTTGAGAAATTGGGATATGCCAATCCTGAATTTCAGTCTCTACAGCAGCCAAACCACAAAGCCTATGCATTTGTTCCATCCAAAATAAGGGTACTCCTCGTACTTTGCCACAACAAGCAACGCAAGAATGGTAACACTACTTCTGATAGATCGATTGGTTTCATTGGAAAGGGAACTTACTAGGAACGCTTTGAAGCCGTTTCAGAAAGTCCCTGCTTCAGCGAATGCAGTCCGCCTCTCATAGTCTTGTCGTGCCGACCTCGGGATACCTCAAAAAGCCAGATTTCGGCTTTGTATCCAATTATGCTAAACTTTTGCGTCCTCAAATTACCGACATCATCAACCCATTTGCTTCAGTCCACTTCAACATTTCATTGAAAGATACCTATTTCCAGCCAAATGTCGGCTCTTCCTTCAACGTGTTTCAGTTTGCGAAGGAGACGTTCCACGAGCTTGTCATTTTCGACTGCATGATTTGCACTTCCAAGTAAGAATGGTGGTGAGCATAAAGAAGAGCTTCACGAAAACTCTTTTTCCCAAAACGATACAAAGGAAGCATTCTCTCAAGTCATGGAATCTACTGTAGCTCGGAGTTTCCAATCATGTTCCAACACTGCGCATGCAACTTCTTGCTTTTCGAAAGCCCAGATCGCAGTCTTGCTTTTTCAGCAAAAGGAGAAGGTCGACCTTGTCATTGTGGGACCTTCAATTGCATTGTATCGGCATCTCGATTGCATCCTTTTCACAGCAGGATACCATTCCGTATATGTCTGGGGCGGGACTAATATTCCACCGTTTTAAAAAAAATCTCCATCCACGTGAAGTCTCCAAAAAAAATGAGGCTCGTGACTGCATGCAAACAAGAATTCCCCGTAAAAAATTCGTCTCACCGGATATTGCTCACAAAATGACCAAGAATGCGACCCAAAAGCACGTACTTTTGGATTGTGGAGACATTGGATCGTTCACTTTTGCTAGTGTACTCTCAATTTTCACTCTTAATCCAAAGCAATAAAGAAAATAGTTATGAAGCTATTTACCATCATTCCTCTTACTTTTTTGGCTGCACAAGGTGCTCAAGCTGCCAGCCTCAGGGGACGAGGTCGTCAACTTGTCGACGAAGACGAAGACGAGTTTGTTCTTCTTTTGGAATCAGAAGAGTGCAGAGAGTTTACGGGTGACCTCTTAAATAAGATCGAGACGCTCGAATCCTTTGGTGAAGATGCCGTTCTTGATTTTGTTTGCTCCGATGTGGAGCGTACTTTAATGAAGATGAACCTACAATATATTACCGAAGGGGAAGGATCCAACAAGTGTGACCTTGCATTTGACGATCTGTTGCTTCAAGCGCAAGTAAAAATTGTCAACGCTGTCGGAACCGAAGACTCATGCAGGAAGGAGCTATCACAGGAATTCAAAGATATACAAGAACGTCTTCATCTAAAAGACTTCAAATTCGGGGAAGAAGAACTCTACCGTCCGATCATCGCTCAGAACGCTGCACTAGCTCTGAGTACATGGCAAATACGACGAGGAAAGGACTAGTTGGGATTTACGAATGTCTCTGATTTACTCGAGTACTTTTTGCAAGAAATGGTAGTCTCGGAGAAGACATCCTCCAAGCCCCCTTTTTGATAGGAAAGATAATATACTATACAACATGAACATATTGTATTTTATATATGCGATTTTACACTTCTGGATTAATCGATAGATAATATCTACATGGAGCTTATTTTGCTTCTGTACGGAACCATGTATTTGTTTCTCCTTCTCTTGCCAGCTAGTTGCAGTACGACAACAAAATGAAGCGCACTCTACTCGTACTAGGAATAGAAACAAGATGTGTTTCTAATCTTTTCTCACTATACAGTTTGATCGTTAACACTACTGTGCTCTAAATAATCAACAGTGTGATATCGGTGTGCCTTTAGGCCACATCTTGTCTCATCTTCCAAACAGGTGCTGGCGAAAATGCTACGATAATGACGGCGACGGCAACGATGGTGGAATCTGAAATACATTCAAAGTCCAACAGACAAAGGAGTAGTACCCAACAATGCTGGTGACTTCAACCAATACGGAATCTTGTCCGCCAAGGGTCTCTTTCGTGGAAGCATAGGTTCCGTCTGACACACGATTAGTTTCCAACAGCTCTGCGGCAAACATGGCAATGGCTCGTTCTCGCTCTGTTGACAGTTGCGGTAAAAGATGTGTTCGTACATCTTGGGAAAAGGTAGGAGATCCCCTCCGATTGCTCTGAGCACCGGAGCCGAGAATGGGCAAAATTCCGACAAGATCCATTGCCCAACCTGCCTTAATGGCCTCTCCAATGTGAATCTGTATTTCTGTCACCGAGTCCAACTTGACTCCTACCAGTAGAATAACTAATTCGGATTCTTTCTTGCTAAGAGAGGTACCATATCGACAGGCATGACCCAAGGATTGAGCTGGTTGCGCAATGGAAGGAACTGACAACCATGGACCAAAGGGTCCTTGTAATCCCGTTCCAGGACGAGAGTTTAGAATCGATTCGCGAATGACAATTTGCTCTTCTGTCAACTTTTCGGTTGGTCCGGTATACCGAGGTATCAAATTGTTTGCCCTCTTGGTATAATATGCATATGCATCCTCACCCATGTTCGGATACTTGATAGGTGTGTGGGTGGAAGAATTTCCAACGAGGAAGAGAAGAAGCAATGAAGAAAGGCCAGCGACAGTCAGCGCCACAGGGTAGCTACAGAGAATTATTTTACTCATTGAACGAAGTAGATGCAACATGGTGGAGTATGTTTATATTCTTCTTGGGCTGTTTGTTGTTATGATGGCACAGAAGAAAATTGACACGTGATGTCAGTTTCAGAATTTTTGCGTTCTCATTTTAATATATTCGTGAAGAATCGAATCTTTGACTTTTGGACGCCGTGCATCAATCGCCGACCGTGCATTATCGAAAAGGGCGAATGAATCAATCGATAGCCCCCCCCCCCCCGATCAAGGTACTACTGTATTGGTAGGAAGCTAATATGCGTCCCTTCCCAAGTAATTATTCAAGATTTGTCTAGTCTGCATCACCAAATCTTCATCGGGTTCCCCAATGCCGTAGTGAATGCCGAGCTGTTGTTTAACGGTACGCAAGTGAGCTGGACCAAAGATTCTAGACAGTGGCCCAACATCGTCATCATTAATGTACGCCGCAAAAGCTTGGAACGCCTCGTCGGAATACATTTCGTTGCGATGTACCGGCTCCATTCTGTGGTGAGGATGTAGTATCAAGGAAAGCAATGATCGATTAGCGTGTGTTAGCGTTGTCACATTCAGTCCAAAGACAAAGAAATCCAAGAACCAAGACACTTACAGTTGAACCTTGAAACAAGAAGTGCCACCCGCATAATTGACCAAGCAGAGGACATGCTTTGGAAGCCTGCGACTCTGTTGATCTTTGATTGCTTTGATGCAATTCTTGATGTTCTTCTCGTAGCTTTTGTTGTCTTCGTTCTTGAAGAACCAATCTGGTTCAGCGGGTCGGGTACCTTCTATGTAATCCTTAACAGGCGCAATTTTCATTTCGGGCGGATCTTGCATGGCTGGAACGATTCCTTCCGCATTGGCCTTGAAATTAAGTGCCAGCAACATTTCATTCTTGGTAACTCCGTATTCAGCACAAGCTTCTACCATATGAAACATAATATGAACGTATTGGTTTTGGCAAAAGGTCATGACCGTCTTTTCCATTGCTTGGAAAATTTTCTGTTGCGACTTGGTGGAGGGGGCGCAGGTCTTTTTGTGTTTGGGCCAATCGGTCCGCTGACACTCCTTAGAACAGTAGTACGCAGATTGACAACGAGCGCACTGCATGAGGGACTTTTGAAAGGCCTCGGAACGGTCAGACTTATTACAGTTTCGGCACATTTTGATGTTGAGCCCACCAGCATCTGTATCCGGGTGGGTATTCATGGAGTCTACAAATTTGACAATTGTCATGAGTTTGTTGATGAGGCTTGGCCTCTTGGTCCGGCTTCCGTCTTTACCCTCTAGAATGGCATGAACGATATCCCCACATGGTTCACCCTTTTGAAATTTCTTACTGAGAAACGGAGTGCATGTTTGCATTTCGTCCAGCATGCGAAAAAAGCCGCGGGCATGCTGTTCGCCCGGTTGCGGAACAGTTGCACAGCGAATGAACTCCACTAAAACTCCCGTTGCTTCCAATTTCTTCAGTGTCTTCTCTGTTGTCCATTTGTTGTCAAAGGCCATCTGAGTCGACATGTAAGCATTGGAAACAATCAAGGTAATAGTTTCACAGATATCAGTACTCGGCAATGCTCGGCCATCCGCTTTGCGTGCCCTAACAAACTCTGCTAGGACTTGAAAGAAATCGCTCTCGAATACCATTACTGTGGGAACAGCGTGCATCATCATGGAAATACAAGGATTTAATACAAATGCATCATGTTGCTGCAAATTTCCGGTGCTGATCCAATTGCGATTGGTGCTCAATTTTTGGATTTCTTCAATCGTATAATTTAACCATGCCCTGATTTCACTTTCTGGAACACACTGCCGAAAGACTCGATTGTCAGCGTATTGTGCAAGCGAATCAATGGTAAAGCCTAGCATGATCATTGTTTGTTTGTCACCAGCGTTCAATCGACGCTTGCTGCGAATTTGCGACAGGGTTTCCACATTGCCTGAAAACGTCTGAAATTCATCAGAGGATCCAGACTGTAAAAATGCATTAGCTCCTTCTTCAGTACAAATGTCGACGCAACTTCCATCTGGTAAGTGGCATTTGCAACTATCTCTTGCTCCTTGCATCTTTGGTGAATATTTAAAGGTTTGCAATCAATCAATGCTAGGATGAAAGCAAAAATAGTGTGGACCGCATATCGCATATCGCATATCCATCCAATAAAAATCAAATCCTGTCATTTCCCGCCATTCGACTGCTGCGACTTTGAGGACTAACACGACCTTTTCAAAAACTCTTTCAGTACAGTACACAGTACCTATGAAACTGCAGATTGATCTTTACAGTGACCAGTCTCAGAGACTGGTACTCTAGATACGGTAGGTGAGTCCGAATTCCCCATATCATAAGATTTGCTGCTAACGATCGGCGGCTACGCACCACTTCCCGAAGGTGCAATATTTGTTCTTTTTAAAAAATAAAAGATTCTTGCTTGATCAGCAGTATCTTCTTTTTTTAAAAGTAATCGTATGGCACTTTCGAACTTCATGATCACACCACCCCCTGGATATGTTCATTGCCAGTACCAAATCACATCGAAAGTCAATTGGCGGGATTTCTTTGTATTGATCCATGTGATTTTTGGTATCCTTCGTATGAAATCGAAAAATGTGCCGCCTCAATAGTGTCGTGTCGTGTCGTGTCGTGTACTGCTGCAGCATCTGTAGAGATGATCCTCACGGTGTGCATGTACGCATGTACGCATGTATCTATATATATATTGGACCAACAGACACTTCCAAGCCAGCACAGGGACCAGTCTATATCATTGCGTAGTTTTGTCTTGTGATAGTAGTAGCTAGGTGAAATAACTCTACAGGCAATGTCATCTTTCCGCTGGCCCTTTCCGTCTCTTTGTCCCACCAAGAAATTTGTTACTATACAACTTCTTGAAGAAGCTCATATTCCTCACGAGGATATCTCAATTCCTCTTTCAAGAATTTCCATGTCTGTTTCATCATGGGTTTGGACCCAATGACCAATAGTCGTATTGGAGGTGATGCACTGTTGGGTGATGGTAGTTCCGTGGTGGTGGACGCCGTGCTTGGTTCCGCATCCGTATCCGTGTCCTCGACACTGTCCTGGTTTCGTTCTTCCAGCCCCAATACTTGTTGAATGGTTTGTGCCGAATCCACTCGACCCAAAAATTCGTTGGGCGACAAGGTTTTTGTCTCTCGTGAATACATGTATTTGACTTGAAACAAAGAGTTATTCTGCTCCATCATTGCATCCAGTTCCTCCCGGTAACAAACATCTTCTCGGTATCGATTGGCATATAAAAGTGTTGTGGGAATTCCATCTGCAATTAAGGACTTGGCCACTTGAAAGACATCTGTAATACCAATCCCAAAGGCAACTAAGTAGGCATGTGATGCTGGTAATCGTTCCTTGACCTTCCAAGGTCCGCCCAAGTAGACATGATCGATTCCCACTTGCAACGCTTGTAGCATTTTTGCGTTTTGTCCATTTGGATAAAGTTTAATGGTGAAATCAATTTCTCCTGGTCGGCTCACGTCGGTGGGAGAATACGACTTGAAGGTCCAGTTTGTTGTTACACTTCGTCCATCATCATCATCATTATTATTAGTAGTAGTAGTACTAGTAGTAGTACTAGTACTACTACTAGTACTAGTACTAGTACTAGTACTACTACTACCCTTTTCTTCCAAGTACAACTTGATGGTCTGTCCCAAATGAATGTCCACATGATCCGACATGACAAGGTCAGGATCATGACCGTCCAAACGAAAGGTAAAGGTAACGACGGGACAAACCTTTCCTGGAATCTCTGGAACCATGGTTTTCTTTCTTAATAACGTTGCCTTGTGCAATCCGTAGTGCGGCGACAAGGCGGAATTGTGCGGGGCACGGAGCAATCGTTTGTCATCTTTTGGAAAGGGAATGAGGTTGCTTCCATCGGCAATTGTCAATGGTTCAATTTTAGTATTATTCGTTGTTGTTGTGTCGTTGTTGTCTGTAGTAGTAGTTGTGGCAGTAGTGGCAGTAATTGACAATGATGATGACGATGACGATGACGATGATGATGACGATGACGATGATGATGATTCCAGTACGACGAGATTGCTGGTACTTTTACTAATCAGCAATGCAATAGTCTCCAAAAGGGAGGAAGAAGATTTCGATTCATGATGATGATGCTGGTGAAGGGCACCCGAAGCCAATCCGAGCAAGGCAAAGCCAATCCATTGTCGGAACGAAAATACTGAGACTGGCTTGTCGGTATTACTACTGATGAGTGACATCTGATTGCAACAAAAGTCACGTTCGGTTGATGCAGGTTTTGTGCCGTGATTGAGTCATTGATTTCAATCGGATGGGTCATATTGTTGGCCTCTTGTTCGATTTGTCATGCTATTTTTTCCATCAATCAACATTGCAGAAAAGTGCGACACGACATAATCCAACCAATCAAAAGCATTGAAACCTTCTGTGTTCCTTCATCCTTTTCTTTCGACTCTGTGCAGAAATTCTCATTCTCTTCCACGACAGCATTTATTTGTCACAATTATTTATTTCAAATTCTGAAGTCATCTTTGTTGGCATTCCATTCATTCATTGGTCATTCATCTGCCCATCGATTGATTGCATCAACTCATACACACAAATTGCATACTGCATACTGCATACTTCACATTGTAGACCGTCATCAACGAGACACTCACAAACATAGAGAGCCTTGTTTTTCCAAAGCAATGGCCGGCCAACCGACAAAGAATCATCACAGTCAGATCTTTCCAAGACTTGTTCTGTCATTGGCATCTGCATTGTCCCCAATGAGCTTTCTTCCACTCCTCCTCCTATTGCTTCTGGTATTATGTTGTCATGACAATCACAATATGGCATTGGCGCTGACAACATCCGATGCAACAACATTGCAAAGAAGAAGAAGAACGAGTACACCAATCCAACCACATTCCACTACTACTACTACTACGTTAATTACTGCAACAAGAACAACGGCGATGACACGACGACGACGACAACAACAACTGCTATCAACCCAACGATACCATCCATCCAGCATGCCCCTGTTGTTGAGTCAGAATGGTTCCAACAACGAAAGCAGTAGTAGTAGTGACAGCAGCAGCAGCAGTAGTAGCAGTAGTAGTAACGACGAAGAAATGAGCTGCTTTGGTGATTCTTCCGTCATGATTCCAGACTTGGATTGGAGGGTTCAAAAGTTACGGTTGGAAGAAGAAAATAAGAAGCGTTTTCTACGAGCTGGACCAAGGTTTCTACCTTACGAAGAAGCCATGAAGTGGGTTCAAGCGTGGGGAAAACGATGGGAGTCTCAAGAAGATTGGTGAGTCGAGTACATGAATGAAACTAGTCACATATATTGCTGGCATTGTTAGGTTGTTTCCGTACGACTACTACTTTCTCACATTGCACGTTCCTATCCATATCAATGTATTGTCAACAACGACGACAACAACTACTACAGGCAAGATTGGATCATGATGGGAGAGAAGCGAAATTCGTACATTCCATCACGACCCGATGAGTACTACACCAGAACTGGAGATTGGATTTCATGGGAACACTTTTTGGGATTGCAATAATGTCAAACTTTTAAAAGCATGATATATTCCAAAGAGTCAAGTCTGTCAGTCGAAATACCGGTGATTGAATCAATCAATCAATCAATCGTGTTGAACATTTTCCCATGTTGGTGGAGGTGATGATAATGTGCCAACGAAATGTATGGATGGAGGGAAGGATAATATAAAATGAAATGAAATGAATTGCCTGACAAGAGACAAAAAGTTGATGTTGTTGATCCTTGTGGTGTAGCAGTTGTTGTCATGACAAATTGAAAGAAAAAAATATCAAGTTTGTCGTTCAGTTTTCATGCTTTGGAAACATGACAGTTTGGCAACGAGCAGTAAATGTTGTGATTGATGATTGCACGTGATGTACAATGATGATCAGTGTGTTAAAGCCAGCTTGTATTTATGCATATATGTGTATATCTATGTATATCTATGTAACAGTATCGTATCTTGTCACCCCTGTAGTGCATAATGTGCTCGGTGTAATATATGCCATATCATAGTTGTTGCTATAATCTTGCATCGAAACTCATCACGAGCAGATTCTTGTGTTCTTTTAATCATTTCTCATGTCTGCACAGTACAAGTAGCATTCCTATTGACAATCAATCATTGCATATCATAATAACAATAATAATCTAATAGTACAGTTATGTGGTGCACCGAATGGCAAAAGAGTCACACAGTATCATATCATACAGTACTCCCAATTCTTTTTCTTCTATTATTTCCCTGATTTTGCCAATTTTGCCTTGTTGGAGGCCACGCGACGCCGGAGTTCGTCCAATTCCTTTTGTTTCTCTTCCGCTTCGGCTCGTCTTTGGAATTTGGCGGGTTGGTAATACAAGACCACCAAATAGCGACCACCCACATTGAACCCACTCAAGTGATCCACGGCCGCCTTGGCATCGTATATATCCTCATAGACCACAAAGGCAGTACCCTTGGTGTCCTTGTGCTTGTCTCCTAATCGAATTTGATAAACAGCTCCGTACTTTCCAAAGATGGTATACAATTCTTCCGCTGTGATCGTAAAGGGCAAGTTCCGAACATAGAGAATGCGGTTGACTTCCGGAGGTAATCGGGACTGAACAACATCAATGGGTTCATGGTTTGTGTGCATTGTTTCGTTGTTGTTGGAATGTTTGTGTGTGTGTGTGTGTGTGTGTGTGTGTGTGTGTGTGTGTGCGTAATGAATGAATGAATCAATTAGCCACATGGAAATTGAACAGAAGCAACCAATGCGATGAATGGAGAGGAAAGCAACGAGCATGAAATGAGCATGTTTCAGTTTCGACACAGATGATGATGTGATTGATTCTTGACATGGACTTACGTTTGAAGACTTCCGTGACGCAAAGTCGCCCATAATTCTAATTAATAATTGTCTTTTCTGTCAGGTGGTTGACTACAGTATTATTCGGTCCAGGTTCTAGCTACCTACAGTATATGTATGGATTGCAAGCACACACCGAGTTTGTTGTTGTTGTGACAGAAGTCGTCTTTAAAATTGTAAGCTAAGCGGGTGGCCGTACAGACTTTGACTCTTCAGACTGGTTCGACTGCTTCTGATCCACCAAACAATATTGTGATGATGCGGGACCTTCCTGCCATCTTGCAACATTGAACTCTCTGTTGAAACATCAACAACATTCAACATACATAAAAGGTTACTGTTGGGAAGTCCGAACGCAAAATGACAAAAGAAGAAACCATGACCAAATCAGGCGAAGAAGTCAACGAAAGTAGCAAGAAGAGACCCGCAGTAACGCCCATCACTTCGGAGGGAGACATGCCACAAAAGAAGTTCTATCGTCAACGAGCCCATTGCAATCCACTTTCGCACAACGATGCCTTTGAGTATCCACGAACACCACAAGATATGGACTGGACTGAGGAGCATTATCCAGAACCACCTGCTGGAAACAGCTTGCAACCAACAGTATTGGATATTGGCTGTGGATTTGGTGGCCTGACGATTGCGTTAGCCACTCTGTTGCCCAAGGAAACCGTTTTGGGAATGGAAATCCGTGCCAAGGTGACGGAATATGTCCGACTACGAATACTAGCTTCTCGCAAGGAGAATCCAGGATCCTTTCAAAACTGTTCTGTCATGAGAACAAACTCGATGAAGTTTTTGCCACACTACTTCAAACCACACAGTTTGAGTAAGATTTTCTTTTGTTTTCCGGATCCTCATTTCAAGCGCAAGAATCATGGGCGACGCATAGTATCGGAGCGGCTCTTGTCGGAATATGCTCACTTTCTAAAGATCGGAGGTCGCTTGTATTGTATCACTGACGTCAAGGAGCTGCACGATTGGCATGTGGAAAAGTGCAATGCGCATCCACTCTTTCGCAGATTGGACGATGAACAAGTATTCAAGGAAGATCCCTGTGTCCATGCCATGAGCGTGGAGACTGAAGAATCCAAGAAGGTAGAACGCAACAAGGGAAGTAAGCATTATGCTGTTTATGAGCGAATTGATGACTCGGAAGCCCCCTCTTTGGATGCCGAAAGCTTCTTTGATTGATTATCATACTGGTAGGAGTACTAGGATAAGAATAATGACTGTGATATTGGTTCATGCGTTCTTACGCACTGCGGAGAAAATGTCCAAGTAGGTAAAAAGCACAAACTTACAGTACAGACCACAAAATTCGATTGCCGTCTACATGCTCTCCCTAGGCATTCTCGCCGTAGTAGGAAAGACTCTAGACCACCCCAATCTCTCTTCTCTCGTTTCTTTTCTTGTTGCTTGTCATTGAAAGAGAAGAATTATTTTTATCCTTTTGTCGTGGCCCATCTGCTATTACCTACTAGACATTCACAAAAGATCAAATAATGACTGGAAGTGCGTGTTTCATCAATAAATGATATCATGGCCATCGGCTTGTACGTTGGTGGTTCGAATCCAAGGGAAAGTAAAGTTTTCCAGAGCCTGAACATCTGCAAAACTTCTTCGCTGAATTAGAAAATGCTGGAGGAGTCGGTTGTACACGTCCATTTTGCCAGGTCGACAACTGTGGAGACAGTCAACCCCCTTTCCCGGTGTTTCATATGGTCGCGCATGCTGATCGGGCCGTAACATGTTGATAGGGTACGCATCAATGACATCATAGTCGGTCACTGAAGAATTGTCTAGCAGCTGCAAAGCCAATTCATTTTGATGCTTGAACTCTTCCCAGCGCCAATTTCCAGGACTGTCTCGGTTATTAGCAAGTATTTCTTCCATGAGTGTCAGATTGTTGACAGGTCCCGTAAAGTTGTTGCACCCTGGATGCCCAGGTACTGATGTCCGCCAGAAAAAATAACATCGGACCCCATACTCATTGCATTTCTGTTGCCAAGACGAAACATGCTGAAACGTTGTTTTCAAGTCAGCTGAGAAAGTGTCGTCTGGGGCGTAATGCGCCCCACGGTTCAGAATGAGTACCACAGGGAACTTCTCTTCAAGATAGAGATCCAAGCCTTTCAACGAATCTTCTCGGCGATACATGATAAAAGTCTGTTGGTGATCACAGACCGGCTGTACGATTGTCATGTACCTGTGCTTGCTTCGGAACTGAAGGAGTGTCGCTGTCTTTCCACCTAGAATTTCGACCAACGTTCGATAGTGTTCCCAAGTCAAGGAGTCGCCAACAAACATTATAGTCGCCTCCTTGAGCAAAGAACAAAACTTGGTAGGATTGAATTTATCGAATTGACACCTTTTGTACTCTATTGGTTGCCAGTCGTAGGTTTCTCAAGAATTGTAGTCATCGTTATAGCAAGCATCCCTACCAACCAGGATATGGTGGTGGATCGTTGCTTTTGATCCATTGTCCCGATTGAAGCTGCGACCGCCTGCAAAACGGAAGCTTGAATGGTAGCGAATCGTTGATTGGAAATCAAGCAGCTTTATGCCGCCTTCGAGCCTCACAAAGGCATACGAGAGATAGATGTATACTGGCAAAAGCTTGAGAAATCGACGTTTCCTTTTCTCTAAGAGCGCAGATGATTGATGTGATAAAGTAGTGTCGAACACATCCATACCAATTATACCAACAGGTTTGTTGGACGAGTGTGGAAGACGTGAAGAATTTCAAATCAATATGTGGGTGGTTCGACTCAGTCGACTGCTAGAGAGTATCAAACTGCTGCCGAAGCGGACTGCGACTCTTCGGTGACGTCTTCAAAGAAGTTAACAACTTTGTCCTATTTAGGCGTATATATATGATAATAAGAACAACCACTTCCGTCTAACCACTCGTTACATTCCACATGCAACAAATAGACATCGCGAGTCCAAAAGCTTGAAAAATAAAACTCATTAAAGTTGTAGGAGTGATTCCACCTCATCCTCATCGTCAAATAGTTGCATGTCAACCTCCTTGATGAAAGCACTTATGGAATCTTCTGACCCTGACCCTGCGGATTCATCGTCCGGACCAACCGTTCGATTTGGCCGCTTCTTCATCGTCCGACTTTTCGAAGCAGTGCGACGGGAGACGTGATTTCGATGCTTCTTACCCCTGAGTGGAGGAAAGTCTCTAGTGTCCACAGTTAAATCATCGTTTGCAACACTCATATGATCATACTGAATGATCACAGCAGGTACCCGAAGCGAAATTTCATCACTATCTACTTTCTTGGGAGTGGGAGGTTTTATCTTGTGGGTTTTCGTCGCTTGCTGTTGCAGTTTTGCCATGTCTTTGCCTCCGAGCGATGGTACATCCGCAGCCTGTCCACATTGAAACAGTCGATCGAGCCCTGTGCCACCTACTTGCGTGATCCTTGTTTCTCCGAGAGCAGATTGGTTCTGTCTTGATTGATATATCCCTGGCTCGCCTTCCTTGGTCTCATAATGCCCATTCTGAGGGATAGTTGGAAAGTTCCCCTCAACAGTCAGAGTGTACGTATCATCATCCAAAAGAGTCCATGATTTGTTGATCGGACCAGCAATGATGGACGTGGGGATATTTGGGTCCCCTTCTCGATCACGAAATCTTAATTGATTCGTCGGAGGAAGGGGAGGGCGTGAAGTGGTAGGCCTTGGTGGCCGACCACCAGGTCTGGGTGGCAAGCCACCTCCAGGTGCTTGTCTTCCACTAGACGGGAGTCCTTGTGGGCCCTCAGCTGTTTCCCTATGCAGCGGTGAGTTTGTCATGCGCATGTGATCTTCGTATTTTTCCTCTTCGTGCGGTACAGGCACATCCGATTTTGAAGGTTGATTTTTCTTCTCCAAGTTTTGGACCATTTGTTCACGAGCAGTCAAAGCCTTCTTCGGTTCCTCGTTGTTGTCAGTGCATGCCAAATCCGAGTCTGGTTTCTGAGACTTCATAGATGACGGTGATACCAAATAGATTTCTCCACCTTCAGTTGGCTGAAGGAATGGGGTCTCCGTGCTATGCCTTGCTTTGCCTTCATCATTATTCAAAGTAGACGACGATTCATCGATCCTTGTGAGCGAAGGTAAACCAAGTGAAGGCAATGCGAGTTCAATGCCTTCTTCATGTGGAGCAGCTTCCTGTTTGGACTCTGAGCTGGAGAAATGGGATGGTTGACTGCTGGTAAAGAAGTTGGAAATGGCCATGTCCATAGCGCCACGAAACATAGTGGCAAATGAACCATCTGCTTCCTTTGTCTCTTCTTGCTTTTGATTTGCTGGTGCTGCATTCGGGATATTTATTCTCGTCTTTTCCAGAGTCGAGCGTTTCTTGGCCAAAACTTGGAACATATTGTATTCCTCAATGCTGATCCCTTTGTCCGATCCCGCTGGTATGTTCCCTTCGAAGATATTGTCTTCAACAGAAACTTCTGATTCCGAGTCTGCTACTGATTCATCCAAATCAATAATTGTATGTTTGATCCCCGTACTTGGATCTCGGTGCACCTCAACACTTGACTTTCGCGGCATCTCGACACTTGACTTTCGCTGTATTTCAGCACTTGACTTTGATTTAATCTCACTAGTCCCCGCCTTAACATCGCTAGTCGACTTGACATCGCTGGTCGACTTGACTTCGCTTGTCCTCGACTCGCTTTCAACCGTATTGTCCACGGTGGTTGAAACTGAAAGGTCTGCCGGTTCTTCTGGTTTCAGGTGTATTTGAATTCTTAAGATTGCATCTCCCGTCTTATCAGTAGCATAGACAGAGTGGAAGTCTATTTGTTGTGGTTTTGATGGCTCTTTTGTGCTTCGGGTAAACCATTTCTTTTTCTTCTTCTTTGTGGTATTGGTGGCCACGTGGGAATCCACTGAAATCATCTTCTGGTCTGCTGCACTTCGGATAGGAAGATCCAAAACAGCTGCTGCTCTTCCATCCTCCATCATCTGCTTTGCATCCAGGACTAAGCAAGCAGTACCAATCGGCATTGCTGGTAGGATCCCATCGGTTAAGCCAATTGTCATATGAAATGTCTCTGCACCTTTTGAGTGAAGGTTCATTCCGGATCCTAATGTCAATTCTTGTTCATCAGCCCAAAATGCAAGGTGGCGATGCTCGCCCGCATCTTTCTGAAATGCGCTGTGTGCAGGTGTCAATGGTTTCGATAGATCAGTAATTCCCGCAACCTTGTTGTTGCTTGTAATTGTAACCACGGATTTCATTTTCGACGGTGAAGAGAAATATGAAGACTCCTTATTGCCTTCCAGTTCTTGAAGCTTTTCCAAATGCGGGGCATTCACAGTTATCCCAGCAAGGCCTAGCACACTAAATCGAACGGAGTGTGCGACAGCTGAGGCTGCTGAAGATTGTTGGGACACCTGAGATACTTCCAATGAACTAGCGCCTGAACTAGCACTTAGGACACTCCTTTCTTCTTTCCTCTTTTCTCCATTCTCTACTGGCGTAGACGAGGTGGTGGTTGCCACCTTCTTCTTCCGCATGTTTCCTTTTTTTCAACGCTAATAAAACTACTCCAATGATTGTTCAGGCCGCTATTGCAGATCATTCGAGGTGCAGTGCAGATTTCTGTTGCACAAGCTTCCTAGAATTTTCTTGGACGTATGTTGGTTATGCCGTCGGTTTTGGCTAAAAACGACAGGCCGGTTGCCAAAATTTTGGTGACAACAGCAATATGCGTATGTCGGCAAGACTCGTGAGCTAGTAAAATTGGAAGACACATGTATTGATTAGAGGAGTTGGGATATGAACGTTAACTTGGCTTGCGATCTCAGATCGGCATGGTCTAATCAAAAAGTCCGACATGCACGTCGAGCCGGTGTAATTTAACGGTTGGATTTTGGCGCGCTTCATTGGTATCCAACAACAATACGAGTACACTACGGACTACGGTACCGGTACGTGGCGGAGAGCCAAATCTTTTGGTAGAGCAAGCCTCATCGGTAGAAACACAATTTTATACTGGAGATAACAGAAGACAATAGGAAGATCTAAGGATGCTAGTTGTGATACAAATAAATGCCTGGTGCATCCAATTAGGATCACATACTACTAGTAATCCACTTAGAACTCCACCTTGGTCTTCATGATGCGATTGTACGCCTCGAGATCCTTATGATAACCTTCCCAGAGGTGATGCCATGGTTGGGCATGGAAGTGGCCATTGGGCGAGGTATGATGCAAATTGTGGGCCAAGTTCCCCTTCAGAAAAAAGTCAACGGGAGGAAAGTAGTAGCTAATGGAGTACGGATTGAGCGAGTGATTGCTTCCCTCAGCCGAGATGGAATACAAGAATGAAATTAACGAAATCTTGGGCGGATAACCCGACAAGCACTTGAGAACCACAAGGAGTAAGGGACCGATGGTGTTTTCGAGAAACAAATCCACGGGCTCTAGCAGAGCTCCATTGATATTGTTTAGGTTGGTTGTGTGGCTGTGATGCAACAAATGGATTCGATGTAGATACTTGTAGTTCTTGTTGTGCATCAAGCGATGGACAAAATGCATACTGGTGACATCCTTCAGCCAACTCAAAATCCAAAACTCGCCATAGGCAGTTGATAAGGCAAGCGTCCAATCCAATAGATTGCTCTTGTCGTGGACGAAGGTGGGCGTAAAAGCGCCGATGTACGTCAAGAATCCCACTGCACAACTCATTTGGAACACCAACAACGCTACACCTCCAATCAAGGCAACATTTCGCTCGTCCTTACGAATTTGATTCCGTTTGGATTGCCCTAAGGTGTTGGGACCTAGAATATGCCCATACACCACTTCCATGATGGTATGCGACGTTACAATGGCAACCGGCATGAGTGCTGCTTTCCAACACACAAGTCTTTTCTCTTGTTCGTTCGTTGCCCAAAGAACAGTGCAAATGACAACTGCATAAAAGCGAGCATAATCCACCAGTTGTGTCAAGAATCTGGCCGCTTGGCCATCAACAATCAACATGGTTCCAATTTTTGCCGTCAATTTCTTCCATTAAAAAGAGTGCAAATCTACCGCTGCGATTGTTGGTTCCATGGCAATCGTAAAAGTGATTATTATGGCAAGGATGATGTCTCAATTTCCGCCGCGCCACGACGTCGTTCGCTGCTCGGCGGCAAATGCTCTGCACGCGCGCGCGCTCAGTATTTTGGATCGAATAGATCTACCGGTACCGGTATCGGTACACGTACCAACCGGGTACTGTACAAACGAAGGTGGAGGGAAGAAATGCGTCCAAAATCTCTTACTCTGATGACTTGTATTTCTACCATACCAGCTAGTGCCCAGAGCAAAGCCAAGGAGAAGGAACTACCGAAGGAACTACCCCCCGAGTCCGGGCAAGAACCGCCTAACACGGCAAACGAATAATTTTCATAACGGGCACCTGCTTCTACAACGATCCCAAAATGACGACATCATGATACGAATTAATCTATTGTGTCGTAGGTGCACAATAAAGTACATTTTACACTTTTCTAGCAACCACGATGACCTCTGACTGTACCAGCACTCGCCGTTTGAATGCCGATGCGGCAGTGACCAAAAATAGATCACCTGACATGAACTGCAAAACTGGAATGGGGCAAACAAATTTGCGAATCAATCTACCGATATCTTCCGAAAGACGAAAGTGATTACATACCCAATAGTTAGAAGTGTTTTCGTATCGTCTCAAAACTTCATCTGCATTCCTCTGTGGTCTGATTTTTCTCGAACTCGAATACCACAGAGGAAGGGCAACATCATCTTTGATTATTTTCAATTTCCCAGGGATACCATCTCCATGTAACGTGTAGCAATCTCCTTGATGGTCGTGCCAAGATGAATCTGGTGCAAAAATGTGCACATGGCTCGCAAAAAAGGCGAGTAATTCTGTGTTGACTCCACGATCTGGAGGTTGCTCAATAATGTCAAACGATGAAATGGAATCGAATCTTTCTTGCAGTTGCCCGAGCGCCATCTTTACAGATCCAACCATTCGATTTTCACTATCATCTTTGGTTTTAATTTCAAGAGACCCCTTTGCCGACGAGCTGATCGGCTGAAGCTGATCGCCATCCAGTGAAACATATAACAGTGTGTAGTTTCCAATCAAAGTATTCAACGGGAGTTGACACGTCTGAAACGACAAATCACGTTCATTTCGAAAGTTTGGAATAATGTATCGCACACCAATTGATAACTTGGACGATTTGGTGTCTTCCTTTTGCGCCAAGTAGCAGTCACGGCACATGGTAAAGCCAGCATGCGCGTTGGGAAGATTACACAAGGTGCAGACTACTCGCTGTTTCTTTTTCCGTTCAATGCATCTCTTGCATTCACCACACTTTCCCCATTGCGCTTTGGAGAAACCCTCGGATGACAGGATTTTGCCGCATTCTTGGCATTCCTTCTTGATCGGTGCCCTATTTGCTGCTCCAGGAATTGGTTTTCCAAGGCAAGTGAAGCAAATCAAACGTTTCGAGTTGCGTTGGTGGATTTGCTTTTTGCTGAAGTGATTGAAGGGACAAGCTTTCCCACAATTGGTACACGCCTTACTGTCGCTTCCCTTGCCTGCATTCCTTCTTTGGTCTTCTCGCCTTCGTTTCCCTCCATCCATTATTTTGACTACTGTACGTTCAACGCGCCTTTTGTGTTGTTTCTGTGATGAGTCGAACGATTCATTCATTCAACCGCAACCGCAGTTCCGTTTTCTCTTTCGTTCCGTTCGACAATCCAAAAGATTCGTACTTGTACCGGTACGATACTGGTACCACCCTTCATTTTCGTTTTCTCCGAACTTTTTATTGAAGTCATTACCGGAACACGAATCGTGCTGGTACTGGTACGTGTACTGGTAAATCTCGTCGCAGCCCATGCTATTTTCTTCGTATGGAGACGAGCAGAGTAAACGCCTCCAGCGGCAACCCGAAGCCTTCAATCACTTGGCTTTTGGGCCTTTATATCAACTCTACTAAGAAATGATTTCTTTATTGTTCATTTACGAAACAGTGGGTTCGGTTTGGTGCCTTCACTGCGCTGTCCACGCGAGCTTTTCCCCACGTAATGTCAAGGACCTGTTTCTCCTTTGCACATCCGCACATGTACCACAACAACCAGAAACCTACAGTACAGTATAATCCTGGAAGAAGAAGGCTTCCTGGTGCGCACCATTTTACATCTGTAGCAATACCGTATGCTGTCTTTGAGGATCTAAGAAAAGAAACTTGTTGGTACAGGCGAGATTCTACAAGAAAATATCGTACCGGTATGTAATTTTAAAATAGAAATCCTTTGGTCGGACAAACCGCAAACTCCTCACTGCCAAAACGGGAACCTCAAGTCGTCGTTCCAATGGTGTGATCTTTTGGCAATCTAATCACAAAATCAGTTTTCGATCGAATAACAACCCTTTCGTCCTCCTCTCGCTATGATTGAAACACTCAACTTCCATCAAGTCAACAATGTCATTGAAAGCTGGATGCAGCTTCAGGCTGTGCCCAAGTACTCTGAACAGGCCGGAGTAATCCTCTTTCGAAAGTACGTATCTTTTTTGTTTTTCCAAGAATCCGAGAATCTCATGCCACAGAACTAACATCCACACACTTTTGGTTTGTACAGACTCTTCAAAATCTGTCCAGCTGTTCTCCCTATATTTTCCTTCGGCAAAGACACTGTGGTTGATGACGAATTTCTAAAGAGCCCTCGCTTCAGAACTCATGCGAATGTTCTGCTGCGCACTTTCAGTGGTACTGGTAAGGATTGTCAGCGTGTTCACATTCTCAACTACAGCACTAGATCCGTTACTAATATTTTACTTCTGCTGAAAATATTGTAGTTGATATGCTTGGACCTAACTTGGAAGATATGCGCGACACATTGGTTGCCCTTGGAAGAAAGCACAAAAGATACGGTGTCAACAAAGAGTACTTTGAATACATGGGTATCGCACTCCTAGAAACTGTCCAAGAACTGCTCACGGAATCATTTACTGCCGAACAGAAGCTATGCTGGGAACAGTGCTGGGAAGTAATGATCAATATGATGGTTGAAGGACTCGAGGATTGAAAGAAGATGCCACCACCGCTACTGCATCATGGGCACAACATGCACATTGTTGCTTTGAAATACAAATGTACATTGATATATACATAGGGTAATAATACATATATATAAATTGTACTCTACTAGTGCAAGAGATGAATTACAGTATCAACATGATCAGGCATATCGGCATGGTGTGCTGAGAACAGACTACAATACTTCAACTTGTACTGGTACCCAAAATCCCGCTAAAACCCGGGAACGAACATCAGTCATGAGACCATGGAACAGAATTAGTCTTCATTGCAGATCGCGTGATAACCATTCAAGTTTGCTTTCAAAGAAATAACTCGCAACAACTTCAGATTCATTCATTCAGAGTTGCCATGCATCATGAGATTGCTAACTCACAACACGATGCGAAACAACACAAAGGAAGCCGATGGGAAAGGTTTCCCTCTTCGAATCACAGCAGTCGAGGTTAGGGTCGTTGACAACCCTGACGCAACCAACGTTGGTCAAAGGGAGATTGATTTTGTCAAGAACATGTTGCCAGTATTAGATTGGCCTGCATTGGTACAAGCCGCTTCTCAATTGGGTATTCCAACCTTACCACCCCAACTGACGGAACAACTGGCACAAGATCCTGCATTCTTGCAAGCTCTATACCACATCTTGATGAATGTTCATCTGGTGAAAGGAATGTTGACTTGCCCTGCCTCCGGAAGAGAATTCCCCGTCACTGACGGAATAGTTAATATGATGTTGGAAGAAGAGGAATGTGAACGTGTTCGAGTTTGAGAAGTAGGAGGGATTTCAAGCCCTTCAAACCAAAATCTGGTTTTCTGTTTTGTGTTGGACTCCCGATATCAGTCAGCACGCTGCTTCCTTTCGACAGAATAGAGTCCAATGCGAAGCAGAAGATGCAAAGGACTGGTCGCATTCCATTCCAGTTGAATGTAGGCATGGCTAGTTAACCCTGTAATATAAATATTGTACTGAATAGCAGACAAACCTCATAAAATTACTATAAGACCGAGAACGACTGCGGCGCCCTGGAGGAATAGAAGAGGGCCCTCTAGAGTACACGTCAAGCAAACAATGTCTGAGTTTTATTTGTCTTCCAATACGAAAGAGTGATAAAATGGCTGATCATCGAAAGGTATTGTGTATAAGATCGTACCAAGGTGGGGAACCCAATTTCGTTCCGAACGAAATCAGACGTCGGTAATCTTACGCAGTTATTAGCGAAATTGAACGTACGATGACAACAGAGTTTTTAAACCATCAGATATGTCAAGCCCCAAGACGAAAAGACCACCAGATCTGCACCATGCGGTCAGTGTGTTGCAAAATATATCTCGTGACACACATTTGAAGAGTCCGAAAGCAATTGGGGAAATTTACTTGGCATCTCTCGCTCTTCTCTATCATTTGCGGTTGGATCAAGCGACGATTCATATGATTAGGTAAGATCTTTGGAATTTAGAATAAGGAAACTCGACTCAAGAATACGAAAAATGTTTCTGAAAATTGATGCTCACATTTTCGTTTCATTCCAAACAAGAAAACAAAATGAAGATGCTGACAATATTCCCTTTCCCAAGGCAAACGCAATACCGGCTATGATGACTGTCATCCACAACCAAAAGCTTTTCCGCGCATTGGTGTCATGCTTGTCCTGTTCGGCTGATGATACAACAAACTTGACAAAGAACAAGCCACTGTTTCCAGCTTTGCAATCTCGGAAGCGAACGCATTCTGTTGGTGGAGAAACCCCGTCGGACAATCCCATGAGTGCCCCGCCACATAAATTTGCAAAAACAACTCTTTCGCCACATGCTTCCAAACGGGCTATTCGAACACCCATTGCAAATGCACAAAATTCCAATTCGACAAGACCTGAATTCAATGTGCGAGTTCTGGCTGCAACAATATTGTTTATTTCTTTTGAACACTTGGACCATTGGCCTGTTCCGCTGATTCAAGCTTACGCCGACGATTGCTTTGGACCAAGATTGTGGGTTGACTTGCCAACTTGTGGCTTGCTAGCAGAGAACTTGGCATTAGCTCATCAAGAAGGTGGAAAAGTCAGCGATTCACCGTCCCAGAACTGCTCACAGGAAGCAACGCTAGTCGCGGAGTTCTATAAAGATTTGATAGTAGACTCGCACTCAGAGGACCTGAGTGAGAAAGTATCATCCATCCTGTCATCACCATCGAAACTGGTTCGACGAGGAAGTCATTCGTCAGTGGCTTCCAATTTTTCGTCAGTGAGTCAGTCGAGTACTGGACTGCCGCGAAGAAATCGAGCGTTGTCCCACGATTCTGTCGAAAAGTCGATCATAAGTCCAGCTCCATCGATTAATGGGGACAAAGAGTCGAACAATCATTCAGATTCAGATTCAGGAGATGACGAGGAAATTGCGGTCGCAACGAATCTCACAAAGAGTACGGATGCTACTGAAAACGATGACGGAGCATCTTCGTCATCAGGGGAAGAGGACGAAGAAGAAGAAGTTGTCCTTGCTGCAACAAAGTCCTTTGATGAGGATCGAAACTCATCGGGAAAAACGATGGACCCAAATGCCTTGAAGTTAACCTATCCCGTCGTGCAAGAGCGACTGCGATTCGAGAGAATACGACAACGGTACTTTGGAACGAATTTGGACTCTGCTCATCATGCCATTGCACATTCCCTCAATGGTCGATTAGACCTGAAATCAAAGCAAAACTCTGGTCTGTTACAATGCCTTCCTTCCTTCACATCAATTGCTCCAGTTCGAAGTCTCGTGGCAGGGAGTTTGGAAAAGTGGCTTCAATCACCAGCACTCGCAGGGCTTGCCAGAAACTTGTTTTCAACCACAGTCAAGAGTATGCAGAACGCCGAGCCTCCGCTTGCCGACGATTTGGAAGCCATTGGTTGTATTTTGTCGATGAGGTTGAAATCCAATCAGGTCTGTTTTTATTGTCTTTCAGAGGCTTGTTTTTTCAAGGTACACTTCGACTTGTATGCTAACTTTCGTTCTGAAACAGCTCAATGCGCATGTGGAAAACGTGACCGCAATTGCAAAGCTCATACCCACACGTACTGTAGCTGATCACATCTATAGCAATCTACTGAGACAAATTCTCCGTTCTGTGGATACATCAGAATCATATTCCAATCAATTGAAGATGATCCAGGCAGTTTACACTTCTTTGCCGCAAAAACTGTCGTCCGATGCGATGGCTTCTTCTCTGCACAGAATCATAGTCGAACAAAATGACTCGAACACAACCAATTCAACACCGCTAATCAATAAAGTCCGCGATGTAGTTCGGGCTATTGCAACAGAACTTGGTTCGGCTTTCGACGGTTGCAATTTGCTGTCGTCACTTGTAGCTGAACAAGTTCCAACTGAATCGATCACAATGCAGGATCTTGGAAACAAAGCTCGAATTCTGTTTCAATGTGCTACGTTACTACCAAAAAATTATGAATCAGCCAGAAAGTCGACGTCGGCAAACGGGATGGATGTTGATGATGACGAAGCGGACAAATCTTTGGCCCAAACAATCTCTGATGCACGGCATTTGCTTCTTAAATGGTGCTGCCGGGAGTTCGCTCCTCACATCAAGGAGACGAAGGTCAAGCTGGAGAAAGAAGAGATCGCAGGTGCTGGTCCTGCAGATTTCACTTCGATTTTGGATGGAATCAATACGATAAAGTTCTCGAAATGGCTTGATGTCGCCCGATGTATTCTCTTCTTGGAAGACTCAAGCTCCGAAAGGATGAAACTGATGCTGGCACTAAGTCCGTCGGACTGGGAGGACGAGGCCAAGAGAATAGATATCTGCAGCAAATATGGCGCTATTGTTGACGACGAAATGGTCTGGACGATCCTCAAGAGTGCCTCGTTGAAGAAGGGAGGGATGCCAAAATCAATGGCACTGTCCCTGTTGGAACACTTGTTCAATTCGTGTCGAAATGGGGGAAATGGTACCCTTGATGTTCGTGATCCAAACATAATTTGGGAACTTTATCAACTTGTGGAATACATACCTCCGAAGACGGGACAGGCGCAGGCCTCGAATACAAAGAAGAACGGGAAGGGAAACAGTAGCCATGAAATAGACTTAGATGATCCAAAAGTAGAAAGGGACGAAGAAAGGGGAATCGAAGATGCCGAGGAGAAGTCGACTAAATCAGAAATTCCAAAACTCGCTTATCCAGGAATGTGGTGGCGAGCTACGGGTCTTGCACTGATCCTTTGTGGGAAATCCCCAAATGAGATAGGTTCAGTTGCTTGGAAAGATCATCCCACCCTAAGAGCACTTATGAAGATGGTGACTTCGGATCGTTTTCGATTTCCTACTGTTGACTGTGATTCCATTGCAAGGGAGGATATGTTGAAATCTGAGCAATCTATGCGAAGTCGAGAAGGAAAAGTGACAGAAGCGCTCTTCAGTCCACCAAAGAAGATGCTGAAAAAGAAAAAGAAAGATATCACTTCGGAAGGACCTAGAGGATCGAGAATGTCAAGACGCCAAAAGGATAAGCGTGAGAAACAGTTGAAGAAGCAACGCGAAAAGGAAGCCGTACAAGAAAAGGCGGAACAGATTAGGCGGAAGAAGATGCTTCGAGCAGCACAAAAGTCGATCATGCTGTGGGATCCCCGGAATGGAGCTAGGAAGCCACCAAAGGAATCTGTGGAATTGATCTTTTCAGTTAATGAAATGTTTGACCTTGCAGGAGCATTCCAGATGAATGTTGAACCTGATTTTCTACTCAAGACTATTGGCAACACAACAAGAGGAGCAATTGAACGTGCCTACGATTGGCTTATCCCAATTATCTCCCAGATTCCAGATGCCATACAACGTCTTCCTGCGAGCGCGTCTTGCTTTCTGCTGCTCCGAGCCTACGGAACAGAAGGCGAAGAGCGAGATCAACTCCAAATGCTTTCCGCGCCTTTACTGCTTCATGTGCGGAATTCCCTAACGGGCAAATTTGGTGAAGCGGACGCGAAGAGGGCGTTCGATTTACTTCTCACAGATGCTTCCTTCCACAACGCTGAACGTCGTCGGAACGCTAGACGAGTGCTCAACGACGCACTTGGTGAAGAAAAAGAGATTTCAGTAGAGACAACTTCGGCATTTCATGACACAAAATATTCCTGGATGATTAAGATGATATCTGTCGAACATGCCACATGTTTCATGGGCGATGCTATCAATTTCCTATACCGTGCTGCATCATTTGAGCGCGGAAGAACCCTTCGATTTCATGTGCTTGCCTTGGAACAACTCACAGCATTTGCAAACAATGCAGAGATTCCTGGCGACTGGGATTTTGCAGCAATTCTTGTGAAGCTCATTTCTAGCCGGCCGACTGTTTTGGCAGCATCAATGAGCTCATTTCCTGATCTTCGGTCCACTGCAATCAGAATTGTGCATGATGAATTCAATGCTAATGTGAAAAGTCCATCCATAATTGACACGGAAAATGATGACTCAAATGTTGAGATCAAATTACACTGTGGACCTGATACTGCCGACGACACTTCCAAAGGTGTTGTTGATGCTGTTTTACCTCGTGCACTTCTTCAGTCATCTTGCGTCCTGCTCAGTATTTGGCTCGATGATCAGAAGGACACCGAGGAAAATCGAGCTGTGAGAGATCTCGTAAAAATGTTGATGGAGCCCCGGGAAGGTGTTTCTGAATCTTCATCATTGGACGACAAGGATGGACTCGCCAGTGCGCGTGCAGCAAACACAGGCAAAAGTGCTGTGCCGGTCGAATCAGTAAGTGAATGATCGTCTGCGCGTGTAAATTGATTTTCCCCACAATCTGACGGTTCGTATCCACAGTGGGTTATGCTTGCAAAGTCAAGAAGTGACTTTATTGCAAAAAGGGCAGCACTTACAGCTCCCATTAGCTTCCTTACTCGCCTTCTGTTGTGCTCCGGGCTACCTCGTGCATCGTTGTTAACAATGATTGATCGTCTTGGAAAGGTTGGTGAAAAAGCTGAATCCCAAGACAAGGCTTTCAATCAGCTATTTGCGTCGTCAGCTACAAGTGAATGGGACATTGGTCGTCTTGGACCTCGTCGAGAGGTCCAACGGAAGCTATTGGGCCGTCTTTCAGCCTACTCGAGAATGTATGGTCTCAACAAGCTTCGCAGTGAAGATAATACTACCCTTACTTTCCTGAATTGGCTGTGTGACTCGTGCAAATCAAATGAGAAGCAGCGAAAATCGAAATCGAAGAAAGCTAAGACTACAGCATCGAAGACCCTTGGAAACCTTGATAGGCTGAGTTCCGTTTTCGGAAAGATATCTAGCTTTGACTTGGCTGGGACGGAGACCCAAATAGTGCAAATCAAAGGCGACGCTTCCGACATGGCGAAGTTCCGTGTTTTTGGAAGTGAAGAAATGCCCGTTGATAACAACACTATAGGTGACAACAATGTTCTGAGTTCCATCGCGAAGGCGTTTGAAAGAAATGATTTGAACAATCTGAACTCCTTGCTGGAACTTCATTTTGAACACCACACTCCACCGACCAAGAACCGAAAGCGAAAGCGTAGCAGTAGTGATATCTCAAGTGTTAAGGCAGACGAAGCCTGCTATCTACTGTTGCAATCGTTCTGTGCAACAGAAAGAAAGACCGAGTCTCTGGCCTGCTCTATATTGAAATGGGTACCGAAACTGTCAGTTCCAAGTGGATCGCCAAAGCTATGGCAACTCTTGTTCCAACCAGACCAGAAGCCCTACTCTATGTGGAAGAACTTGATTTCCCGTTGCTGCGAATGCTGGTCTGGTCGACATGTGGCCGAATGTAGAGATTGGATTCTTGCGCAGGAAAAACCACACGATCTGGATCTCGAGAACTCGATTCGGTTCTTCCTCCTTTCATCTTCCTTGCACTCTGTTGACATAAGTCGATCTGGAGGATCACTGCCAAAAGGCGGAGACACTTCCTGGGGTAGGACAGCGGATACGGTCCTTTCAGTCACAAAGCTCGCGCTGGACTGCATCGTGAAGAGTGAAGATGAACTAATGGATAGCCGCCTTCGTAGTCGCAACGAACTTCCCGAACCTTTGATTGTGTTGCTCTTGATGGCGCGATTGGGAAAGAAGCAAGTGAATGTCATCAGTCAGACAGTTGTAGAACGAATGAAAGGTGCAGATGAAAATGCACTTTTCAGATTTCGCGCTATCATTCTTCGAATATATGCGTATTTTCCACAGTCTATGAACTTGGGCGTCGCAGTTCTTCGATCAGTACTGAAATCTTCAGTTGATAGTCTCGCGATAGATTGGCTTTCTTGGAGGTCTCCAATGGACGATGAATACCAAGACATGCTGGGGTCAGTAGTTGGGAGTGCTGCGCCGATTCGACTCATCCAAGCACTTGCAGAGGCTGCAAAGAAACACCCTCTTCTTCTGCTTAGGAAAGCACCATACCTGCAGCAAGTTTTGTCCGCTGATGCCGTTGCCATTGATATAACCGAGGGCAGTGGAAAACCTGGTGTCGTTGTCGGTCAGAATGCCAGTGGACCACTCGAGGCAAAGATGGAAGGTCGGCTTGTCAAGGTTTCTGTAAAGCACTGGGGCTTCAACTATACAGAAAGCATTTGGACGGCTTTGTTGGACATTGTATCAAACGGTGAGTACTACTCAACGATTCAACTATTGTGATGTTACTTCTGTCCACTCATCATCTTTGTCTGATAGCCCCAGCGGAGGTATTGTACGGTTGCGGTCTGAAGATGGGAATGAAAAATTTCCTTGAAATCTACCTACGTCTCATGTTTATCCAGACACAACTTCGAACCAGCGAGCGATTCACTAGACTAAAGCGGAAATACGGAGATATGTTGAAGGCTTTTGAAAAGTCAAATCCTGAGGAGTGGGAGCAATGGTTGAGCGCAGAAATTGCTGATTTGCATACTTTAGGAGCGGTTAGGAATGTCCTGATGAGTTGCGGCTTCATTACACACCAACAAGCGATTGATTATGTTAAGAAGAGCGCTCAGAATGAAGGTAGCAAGGAGTAGGTGGCACGAATGACTCGAACATGATAGCCATTTCTCAAATGGGGACGGCTAGCTGTGTATGGTATGATAAGTTTGCATTGCTAGTTGTAACATTAACTTGACATATCAACAGCCTCTATTTGCATGTGAAGAAAACGCGTGTCGAAGCGTTGCTGCACTCTCTAAAGCCCATCACCGCCTGCTTGCGACTTTTTCTTGCTTCGTTTTCGCTTTTTCTTTTTCTTCTTGGGTTTATTTGTTTTCACTTCTTGTTTCACTGCTCTATACCACTTCGCTTGGTTTCCACGCGGGTGCTGTTGCCAATTCAGGAAGTTCCCTGAAAGATACTGATTTGTGGGTGTTGGCAGTAGCGTCACCCCAGCGGTTAGTGCCAAGCTCAGAAACACAATCTCGAAAAGACGTCGGTTCGTCAAAACCCAACCATCCTCTCTCTTTTTGCTTTTCTCTATTGACTTTCTCGGGTGAGATTTTGGAAGAAGTATTTGGGAAGCAGGGGCACCTTGCCAGATGCTCTCGCTCTCAACAACTTCGCCTGTTAAGACAAGACTTTTCTCCAAGAGCATAGCACCCTCTTCGACCACAACTCCTTGCTGCGCACGTGACCTAGATCGCAAAGTAGTATTCGATTGTAGTACAATTGGGACCAGTTCAAAATTGCCGCGGGTATTCAAGTGACATACAACTGATGCCATGTCAATGCAGACATTGTCACCAATTGTAACCAAGTCTGGCTCGGGCATGTACGGATCAGCACCAGCAGGATATAGGCAGCAGCCCTTACCTATGGAGCTGCCAAGAGCTCTGAAGTACTGCACCATAAGAGGTGTACCAGCAAGAAAGTCCAGAGTCGAAATACGATGCAGCTTGCGAACCCGGCCGAGTAGTTGGTACAATTCCCAGTTTTGGTTGTAACCACACTCGTCCCAATTGTAGCGCCCTTCTATCCGTCGACCCAGCAATAACCACTTTGCCCCAATCTCAATCATAAGACCCACCACAATTCGAGCAATGTGGAGAGCTGTGAAGATTGAAAAAATGATATGAGACACGATCAAGGTATGAAGATATTCGTCGTAATCTCTGTCCTCAACTGGCCACCCGTAGACAATACCAGCTGTCAAAAATGTAGCTCCCAACAGTGGTAAAGCATGGAAGCAAGTTGTCAAGGCCTCATAAGCAATGCTAATAAGAGCCATTGACCATCCCGGTAAAATCAAATAATTTGCTTTGCCACCGTATACGGCGCGGCCGAAGGGTCGCAATGTGGTTTCGTCACCAATCATCTCCAAATCACTTTGTTTCACATTCGCAGAGTATAGGACGCCATCATTGCCATCATCCCCAGTCGTATCCAATAGAATTGGTTCTCCTGCTCGTGAGCCAACCCACGTGGTTTCTGGCGGAAGATACCGACCAGCTGGGCATGTAGTGTTGGACCCCAGAACCGCGTTTTTCCCGATTATGGAACCTGGTAGGACAATGGTGTTGTCTGAGATGTTTGCACCTGCGCAGAATACAACCTTCTCGCATGAATGCGTAGTCGATGTGTAAACGACAGACCGAGATCCAAAGACAACGTCGTCTCCAATTTCGAGCAAATCAAATTCGCCCCCAAATACGGGTTGATGGCCCGGCCAAAAGACGCGCTTGCCAACCTTGGCTCCGAGAAGACGGTAGAAAATACTCGTCAACTCATAGTGGCGCCCTAGAAGGTCGGTTACATTCTGAATATTCTCTCTTGAGAATAGAGTCGAAACCAGTGAATGACGCATCCGATCCCATTGAGAAGTACTGTCTCTAGGTCCTTCTTTAAATTCTCCAATGATAGCCCATTTGACAAAGAGCGCACCCACCATGTACAAGAACGGAGCAACAGTGGCACGGACAATTCGAATACCAAGGTAGTATGGTATCCGTTCGGGATCACAGAGCCATTCTAACAAATCGCCAATTGTCTCAAATCTATAATGCTCTTCTTCCCACTGACTTGAGTGAGCGATCATCATTTCGAACAGAACAAACATTGCCGGCAAATGCGAGAAAGAGTCAACCAAGAACGTGACTGGAGAGCCAACCAAAAGCTGCCAGAGAAGGTTTGGTTCTGGGAGGGCGTAGCGATTATAGGCTAAATGCTTCAGACTGTCTTTTGCAATTTCGTAGCTACAAGTACCGGGGGCAACATGAGCGCCATCTGGAACCTGCGTATTTGGAGCGACAATAGATCGAATACCGACACTCGCAGAGTTTCCAACCTTGACAGTGCCCAGTAGCATTGCACCATTGTCAACTCCAAACCCACGAACAGTTGCATATTCAATCGATGCATCTTTTCCAATTGTCACAAGGTCATACTCTGCAATGTCTGCTTCAATGGATATCCGGGCATCCCAAGCGATCTTGGCTCCCAGCAGTTTGTAGAAAATGATTAGAAGAAATTGACTGCTCCCCCAAAAGCCTTTTCCAAACATTTTCCTACATGTATCCACAAACCACCATCGAATATAGTACGAACTCCAAAAGGCGTGTTTTCCAGGCTTGTATTCCCCAATGAGGGTCCATTTGATCAAAACAAACACCAACGGACTCAGAACGTTCCACAAAAAGTGATATCCCACCAAGATGCCAATAAACCTGGACATGTTGCGGGATCCAGGCACTCGGTTCAGTACCTCCAATAGCGTCATGAAAAACAAGAAGAATCTTGTAAAGTACCAAAGGGGAAAGACAATACAGCCAGGCAAAAGTTGATACACCAGGGTCGCGATACTGTTTTCTGGTTGTAATCTCTCCGAGTCCAGTGAAATGGCATCGAGATGAACTGAATACTGAGCAGTCGAAGAAGAATCCGTTGATGCAGCCGAAGGGGATTGTTTGGATTTGATCATTTTGGCCATGGCGATACAGTTGTTGTAGCGGAATACATCGGCACCACTGAAGGGGATTTGATAGTCTTTCCGTATTCTACTTGCCATTTGGGATGCTAGCAATGACGTTCCACCGACTTGAAAAAACGAAGTGTCGGGAGGCGGAAGATAGTCGAGGCTGATAAGACCTTGCATACTCTTTTGTAGCTCTTCAATCATGGGATCCGAAATTGCATCGCCAGCATTCTCCATCATTTCTATAAATCCAACAGCATCCGCCGACTGTGGCGCTCGCAGTGAAGTCAATCCTTCTTTTCCCTCATCACTATCATTGTAGATACATACATGAGAAGGACGCAAATAGGCATCCAATGAAGCTTTTCCTGCTTCAATGATTGCTTTGCTAGTCAAATCGTTGTTTGTCGCGTGAACCACCAAGGAACCGTATCGATTTGGATGATTCTTCACAACCAGTTGCTTTTCGTTGATTCTCAAAGCTTGATGCAATGCATTCTGCACGTGTTGGGCGTCAACAGTGACTTCTTTTGAGGCAATTGGTGTACCCACTGGAGTACCCTGCTTTGGACACTTGGCTTCAAAGGTTCGCTGCACAGGTAGCATTTTATCATTCATTTCTGGCAATCCTAATCGTTGTCCAAGTTTCACTCGCAATAGTTTGTTGGTGTGCGATTTTGGGAGAGCATCCATGAACACCATGGCATGTGGCCATTTGGCAGTGGCCAATCGAGTCTGCAGGTAGTCGTGCAGTGTTGGAAGATCAATCTTTGGTGCATTTGGTTTTGGCACAATGACGATACCGACCACTTCTTGCAAGACGTCATGTGTTGCCGAAAACGCGGCACACGCCACTACCGAAGGATGCGACACGACTTCCTCTTCCACCTCCATGGGACTAATAATTTCTCCTCCTCGATTGATGACCTCTTTGGATCGCCCAGTAATATAAAGGTATCCATCTTGATCCAAATAGCCTAAATCACCCGTATTGAACCATCCACCCTTGGCAAAGGATTTGCTCTTGGCTTGTCCACCATACCCATGAAAACAGGGTCTTCCACGAACGCAAATGCTTCCTTCTTTTCCTGGTTCCAAGGGTTCTTCGTTGGCATTGAAAATAGAAATTTCCGGTCCCACCGCAACTCCAGAGGTTCCAGGCTTGGTCAATTCGTAATTGTGAGGAGGTGAGGATATGGGCATGCATTCGGTCATACCATAACTGGGCAAGACGTTTGTCCCTCGATAGGTATTCCGCATTCGTTGTGCCAAAGAAGGTAAAAGTCCACCAGCGGCATTGGCAATCATTCGAAGTTTTGGTGTTGCGTCTGATGGCATGGTTTCCAACAAGACTTGGTGCATGGTGGGTGCGGCATAATACCAGGAAAAGAAAGTGTCATTGCCGAGCAGCAGTTGCCAAAATAGTTGTGGATCAAAGGACGGACAGCAAATGACAGAGCCGGCACTGAGAATGGGAGCAAAGACTTGTCGGACAATTCCTCCCACATGAAAGAGTGGCATGAGATTGCAGTTGACATCCGTAGGTGTCAGATTCCAACTGACGGCAATGCATCCAGCGGCAATGAGCATGTCCCCAAGTTTGTGTGGGACTAATTTTTTGTTTCCAGTGGTTCCCGATGTGAACAAGACCAGAACTTCATCGTCATGGCTATTGGGAGCAAATCGACTAGTAGTGCTCGCTATATTCGATTGTGTTGTTGTTTTCTTGAGAGAGGAAGACGATGGAATCAGTTGAAATATGGCCGTTTCCGTAGTGCTGGGCTGGAGACCACAAAATGGAATGTTTAGAGAGGCTGCTAGTTCCTGAATGGAAGTCTCACCCGCCATTCCCACAACGACAGACGCATTTGCCAATGTCAAATCCTTCTTCAGTTCCGAAACAGCACCGTTCGCATTCAATGGCAAACAGGAGGCCCACTGTGCTACTCCTAAAATAGCAAGAGCTAGTTCAGGTCCATTTGGCAACACCAAAGCTATCCGATCGCCTTTTCCCAGTCCCATTTGGTGCAATTGAGGACCCAATTCGTCCGCAATGAATTCGCGTATTCTCTTGTGGTGCAAAGTTCTCTTGGAAGAATCAATGCCCAGCAACGCTTGTCTTTGAGCAAATACCTCTTGATGACATGGCAGTGCAGAAATCAAGTCTGGAAACAGTGGTAATATCGCTTCCGCTACTTCATCTCCGATGATGCTTCCGTTTGTCTTGAGCAAGTGGCTACACGCCTTTACGAGAGGAGACTCGGCCATTTCAGGTTTGCTTGCGGCGGTTTGCGCTGAATTGAGTAAACGGCTAGATGATGAAGACTCTTCCGTTTCCAATGTCGTGGGAATTGACATGCAGTGTAATATAAGAAGGTAATGATTTCTATTGATGTATAATGATGTAGTTGGTGTATTGTTTGTTCGTTTGTATTGCACTCAATGTTGGTGCAATCTCGTCGTTTGGCGAGAGGCAGTTCAAGATAGGACGGTTTCGCCAGCCGTCCGTTTATTTAAAAAAGCTTGGGCTGGCAGGTGTCATTTCTTAAATATTTGTAGCCGTTGACGACTGACGACTAATCGGAGTGTAAGAGCATCAAATATTTCTGATCGTGGTGTCCTGTTTTTTGTGATGGGAATGAATGAATGAATCTTCGAATCTTTTTGTCATCATCATTGTGTTGGCTGACTGAAAGAACGAATAAATGTATGTACTGTAAATGAATAGGTGCAAAAAATCTGCTGATGTTATCTTGCCTTTTGAAAGAAATATCTATATTCGATACAGTAGTCCGCTTTACAATATACACAACAATCCGCCCGATCGCACGCTGTCGCCCTACTATACTAGTTGTCTACCTTCTCCAGAGGATCGCCCGAGCGTGGGTTGATACGTCTTGCACCCACTTTTGGCCCAACAGCAGCATGGAACCATGCACGCCAACAGACTAATGGGAAATACTATCCAGGCAAAGTACATTGCCATCGTAGCATAAGTGATATGAGTGTCGGGTTCCAATCCATCAGCATTCATGAATGCTGGTGAACGCAATGTCAAGAGCGCATAATCGGTCTTGGACAAAAATCGAAGACGTGGTCCATAACCAACAATACCTTCCGATACAAACAAGTAGGAAGGACCATATTTCTTGCCCACATCATATTCCCACAAACCAGAAATGGCATCGTAAATGAACAGAACAAAATGCTGTGGCCATAACTGTCCACCATGCGTGTGACCTGAAAGTTGAAGACCGACGCCAAACTCGGCAGCTCCAGTCATGTTCTTAGGCTGATGCTGCATCATAATTACTGGCAAATCTTCTACTGATGGTCCCTCTTCGACATGAATGCTAGTGCCATCTGGTCCAGGGGTAGTGTGAAGTGCTTCTGTCAGGCTGGGTTCTACCTGTCCTTCTCGTCGTTTTCGAAGGGTTCCAAATCCACTCCAATCAGCCATGCCCAAGAGAAGAATTTGACAACCATCCATGCCGCCCTTGGATAGAATTGTGTGCTCGTTTTCTAGGAGTACAATCTTGTCCTTGAATGGAGCTTCGTGCCGAAAAAGTTGGCGGTAGTCTGTGATGTGATGTGATGTGATGTGATGTTGTGATGCGAACAAGTGAACAGAACAGAATAGAATAGAATAGGATTGGTCAGAACAGAACAAGTACCAGATATGATCAAAATTCTCCCAGTGTCATCATATTTCACCCACCTTCAACATGTTGTTTGTTTTCATGATTCCCAAAAGTATAAAATACCCCATCTTCTGCTTTCAAGTCGGCCAAAGGTGCCAACTTTTCTTTCAGGACACTGTTGACGGTCTGATCACCAACGTCTCCCACAAGTGCAATCCCATCTGGTTCCAAGTCATTCAACTTTTGAACCATGAATTTAGCCTCATTCACTCCAGACATGGAACCAAGATGTAAATCAGATGCCATAGCTAGCTTGTATCCATCGCAGGCTGCTGGAAGTTTGGGAACAGGTATCGTCAATTTGACCAATTTGGGATTATAGGCAGAGTCTTGTCGTACAGAGGAGAAAGAAAAAGCAAACAATGGTAAGGGCAAGACCGCAAAAACGAAATGAAATGAAATGATTCAATTCGATACTGCGAAGATACTGTAGTGGATCGAGAATTCACAACTTACATGCTGACAGGCCTGTCCAAATGGCGTAAAAGATGGCAATGAGAACCAAACGTTGCCTTGCCTCTCGGCGGTTCTCATCAAGGTATTTCGCTTTTTCTCTTTCTTGTTCCATGATATCGTTATTGTCATCATCAGCTTGCAAGTTGTCGTCGTCGTCATCACTTTTGTTGTCCTCGTTCGCAACGTTCACGAGAAAAAAGATGGTAGGCCAGGTTCTTTTTGAGTTTGGAGGGCAGGTGGTAAACATCTCCCATAAAACACTTGGCAAGTTGTCACTGCACACATTGCAAAGTACGAAAAGAGGATGAAATGAATGAGTTTGATTGAAATACCGTACGACAACCGCTTTACACTTACGTTGGAGATAGAAATGGATCCCTAACAAGTCGAAGCCATAAGTATCGAATTAGCATGTACACCAGCGCACTGAAGAAACCCGTTGCGAACAGAATGACAAACAGAATTACTGTCAAAATTGTGGACCGATGATGTTGCCAAAAACTGCCTCCAGTAGATGCTGGTTCTTCGGTCGACGAGATTTCCATGGAAGCAAGGGACATCTCGTTGTTGCTTCTTTGTTGCCTTGAACTGAAAACCCTTCGTTGCTTCAGTTGTTGTTTGCACCGGTTCGAGAAGATGAGGATATCAGACACAGTGAATGAGGTTGCAATTTCTTCCTCAAGCAGCAAATTTTTGCAAGATTCATACCGAGAATCCAACTGGTCGCACTGATCATTTGAGTCAAACAGGACTCGACTCAATCATTCGTGTTGATTGATTGATTCATTCATTCCTCAAGAATAGGATTGAAATGAGTAGGTGGCACAGATGGGATGCTTCTTTGTACCTCCTGAGTATCTAATAGAGTCTTTCCCCTGGAAGATATCACGTTCATATGACACCCTGCTCATTTGATCAATCGCCAAATCTAGCAGTGGTATCGATCTAGTAGCAAGAACTAGCCAGCAGGAGCAGGCAGGCGGATCGTGAGTCCAGCCAGTCTCTATGAGTTGAGAGCTCAAACGAGATTGAGCAAGTCGCTCACAGTTCACAGTATATTATAACTGCTACATCTATCTTGTATATTAATCTTAATCTATTTCTACCCTCTTTCTCCCTTTATCATAATTCAGCTGAATGCATCCTCCACCTTTGGCTGTGTTCTGGTTCATCACATGGTTCGCCTCATGTTGCTCAGATTTCCAACACTGTCATGATACAATCAGTAGAAATCCGCTGCCTTTTGTGGGAGGGGCACTTCGTCTTGTTTCCATTGATGGAAGATTGACGAAACATGCGTGCTAATCTTGACTGGCCCTCACTGAAGTGTGTTCCTCGCTTGGCACCAGCACTAGATGGCGACTGCGAAGAGGTTTCCTCCGAGTCCATATCAAAGCCATCTGCATCAAGAAACTCTACGTCATTCGTGAGATCATTCTTATTCTCGTGAACGCAAAGTGGGACTCGTTTCTTGGTCAAGACTACAGAGTCATTTTCGGTCAACTTTCGTCTGTTGCGCTTCTTTGCCGCCATGGGCGACATTGGAATGCCCCGATCTACTGCCAAGTGAACGGAATCAGTAAGGGACATGATATCATCGTCCTCATCCGTAAGATCAAAGTCAGAAGATGATGTTGACAGTTCTTCCAGGAAATCACAATCGACACATTTGAGGCTCATGAAACTTTGGTGGTGTTCAGGCGATTCCTCCTGTTTTGAGAATGAGTTGAGATGCATTAATTTGTTCATCTTGTTGTTGGTGTTGCGGTTGTGGATGGTTCTAATATCTTGTTTGTTGATGGCGGTTGTTTTGTTCGTTTGATGGTTTTGTGATGTTTGGCGAGTTGTGTTTTTCTTGAACACTCCTCGCAAAACCCGAACCATGATTGCAGTATTCCTCCGAATATGAATCAATCATCTTCGCATTCATTCGTAAATGACCGCACGACTTGATTAATTCCACTTCTCGTCGCTAAGTGGTGATGTCGCTTCGGACAGTCGTTATCTGAATTCAGGTTCATTTCAACACGATGGACATCATTTGATTCTCAAAAATGTCACCAGAACTGACTCTTTCCGAGAAGCAAACAAAATGTTAAGCCCCTCTTGACACCATGTTGGGGTATTCTTGTGGATGCATCTTGGAAGTCTGTTCTTTGTCAAACCTACCGAATCAGATTCTTTCAATTGTCGATGTTTCTTTTTTTCCGGTAGTGGTGACTGGTGAATGGTGCGTTTCGGCAGTCTTTCGCTCTCGAAGACCATCGAGTTGCGCTCTGCCAATCGTGTCGGCAATACTGATTCCTCCGGTCCTGTCACTTGGACGGAATCTATGAGTGATATGATGTAATCGTCACCTTCCTCCTCGCTGGAATCGTATTAAAAAAACAGCGTGACAAAATCACTGGCATTTCTCCCAACGGAGGATGCAACTTTGAATCTTTGCCAGTTGCAGAAGGGCTGCGGTACATGTCTTGCTTTATTGGAATATAATTTAGGAGCATGCTACTATGGCAGGAGACAATGTTTTATTTTCCTATTTTGTGGGCACTATGCTATCTAACGGTGTGGTAGAAACATGTCCAAAAAGTGTCATTCGCCTTGATCTCCGCCATTTCGACAGACCTTTCCAGCCGACCATGATGGTTGTTCAGAAGGACATGGTGACAGTTACAGTAGAGCAGCAGAAATGTATATCTGTTGCTTTTCGTTCTTACTGGAAAATGGATGTCCCTATCAAAATCTCACGCTAATTTTATGCGCGTGGGACCACCACCATTGCGACAAGCGAAATAGTGAGAGTAGATGCGCTTCGTGTCGGTTGTGCTGACGGGAGCATTAGTATTGGGTAATAGACGAAGCGCACCACATAACAATGATTCAGTATGCTAGCCTTGCTTAGTGCATGGCATCTGAAACCAATTGAACAAAACATCACATTGGATTTGCAATGAAGAGCACAGTTTTAAAAAAATGGAGAAATGATTTCTATCTTATAATACATAATAATCAATTGAAAGTATTTTTGTATTTTTCCCGATGCTCACTATTCATGAACTTGTTTGGGAGCTGTGCTCTTTTGTCAAAGCCCTTGAATTATGATGCTGCGCACGCCGAATCGTCCTTGGTCTCATCAGTGCAACCAGAAGATCGTCTCTTAGTAAATTTTACTGAATCTTGATGCTTGAACATTGGCCTATCGTCAAGTGCAGTTTCTGGAATGCCGTGCTTCGATGACATTTCCTTGAAAAGAGAATTTATACTCTTCTTGCGGGTCAGAGAAGGAGCTGATACATCGTTGCGGTCCATTATTATTAGTTATGTAGTTGTCTTAAAGATGAATGAATCACGTTGGGAGAATTGCCTTTGTGCAAGCAACGATTGATGGCTGAATGAAAGTTATTGGTTGTCAAGTTTGCTGATCGAATTTTTGTGAGAGAAGATGACGGGGTGCGAAAGAAAAGTGGACGGACAATCTTTTGTGGGGCTAAATAATTCATTTGTATAATATAAAAAAACCAGCCTTCTCAAAAAATTCCGAGAAATGCCGGTTTTTACTTTTCCTACCATTACCGAATTGCTTTCCGCCGTCACCAATTGTCGATTCCTTACAGGTACCGGTACCAGGTACCTGCTACCAGCGACTGGTGAATGGGAAGTGCGGAATCGATAAGTAACATGCGTCATGACGTCCTCGTCCTCGATATCATCGATGGCATTCTCCCAGCGAAGATAACTTTTCGCCTTTGCAATAGTAGCAGCCACAAGGGCTGCACTTTCCACTTGCTGTCTTGAAATATAGTTCTTGAGCATCATTATAAGCAACGGAGGTCGTTTAGCTTATGTTTTTTGCATTGTGTGGGCCTGCCATCTTACCACATCGTCGAAACATGTCAAAAAAGTGCCATTCGCCTTGTTTTCAGCCAATTTGACGAGCCTTCTTCAGTAGGACATGATGGCAGAGGAACTCTCTGTCTATTGCTTTTCATGCGTTCTTACTGCTCACTTCGAACCGCTAACTGCCAAATACCTATTACCCCTGCCACCTGCCACCGTGTCAAATGAGTATTGAAAATAGACTCTCGACTTTGTATCGCTTGCGCTGACTGAGGCAGTAGCATCGGGCAAGAAGAGTAGAAGCAAATGATTTAGTGCCGCTTCCCTTTGTGCATGCTTTCATCTCTAAACCTCGTTGGCAGAGCCTCATATCGGATTTACAACGAAGAGCAACATGTAAAAATAAAACCGAGAGGTGATTTCTATTAAATATATTCGTACTAAATATCAAAATCGAATGAATCAAAACATCGTTTCTTCAAGATGTTCATTTTTAGTTGACCCGTTTGGGAGCCAGCTCTTTGCGATTTGCCAAAGCCATTGAATCATGGTACTGCGCACACCGAGTCGTCCTTGGTCTCATGATTGCGACTGGAAGATAGTTTCTTTCTCTTGATAATTTTTACCGAATCTTGCTGCTTGAACATTGGTCTATCATCGAGTGCAGTTTCTGGAATGCCGTGCTTCGATGACATTTCCTTGAAAAGCGAGTTTATACTCTTCTTGCGGATCAGCGGAGGAACTGACGCATCACTGGTACCCATTATATTTAGTTATGACTTTTGTATTGAAGATGAATGAGACAGTCGTCGTCGTCGTCGTACAAGCAACGATTGATGGCTGAATTTTTTTTTTGTGAGACCTCGTTGACGGTCATTTTTGATTTCGCCCGGCGGGGGACCTTTTGTCATCTAGTCATCTATTTGCTAAAATATCCGTCCGAAAAATGACTACAACTGATACCTCAGTTGTACTCAGTTCCTACTACAGCTTCCGCACAACTTCATAATCGTAATGAGCATAATAAGATATCCCAAATGTTACAGTAACAACAAATAGGAGAATTAATCCATAATATGTTACTGCACGTAGTCTAGTGCAGTTTAAATGGAAGAAGTATCTACAAGCAGGGCACAAGTCCAATGACTAGTTGTACTTGCCTTCTCGTCTATTCCGATGACATCGAAGAATCACACCTACTATCATGGCGAAATCTAGGAGCTCTTGTCCTTGCAAGAATCAGCGAATCACATTCCATTTTTAGTTCTTTTATGAAATTCATTTCCGATATTTGCAATGTCGCACCATCGTGATGCTCGTGAACGCAACTGTGACCATTATTCTTTGCCAAGACCTGTGAATCGTTCTCTGTTTGCAATTGTTGTGATTCTGACGATTTGTTTTGAAGCGACAATTGAATTCCATGCTTCAATGAAATCCCCTCCAACAGACGGTGCAGGCTTTTCGTCCGTGTTTGTGCTGGTGTTCTTTGTGAAATCACCGAACCGTCCTCATGCACATGGACACATCTGGGAGCTCTTCTCCTTGACAAGATTAATGAATCGCGTTTTGGCTGATGGGTTTCCGCTAGAGTCATGATATGGAGAGGTATTTCTTTTTTCACTTTTCGTGCTCCTGATTTTTGGTTTTTAAATTTTTATGAGAATAAACAAAAAATGTGGCGAAAAACTGCAGAGAAACTATGACTATGGAATGACTATTTCAATATATATTTTAACATATTTCAAAATATATATGGACACGTGTACGTGTACTTATGGACATTACAGTCACCACCTACTGTGTGGACCTGGGAAGAATAAATCAGCCCCTTTAAAATGCCTTCTTCTTAGAAGTGGAGTTCTGTTTTCAGCCAAAACTAAGCCCGATCATCGAATACTTTTGAGGACGCAAAAGGCGGCTGATATTATACTACTAACGACTATTAATAAATAATTTCAAGCAATGGTTTCAAGCAATGCTTGATCAAACGTTCACCAATTGTACCAGATTGCATCCAATTTTGTAGATTTTGAGAGCACGTATCATTTCAAAAGTGAGAAGTTATCTTGATGAAGGTATTTAGAAAAAATTTTTATGATATTATTCTGTGAAGTTGTTGTCAATTCAATGCTATTTACAATCACGATTGTTCAAAACTGGGCGAAACTTTCTATGGCCATTGGGTATTACCGATGTCGCCGTGAATGCATTTGGGAACTCGTTTTTTTGCCAAGACCATCGAATCACCTTTCTTCAGAGTTCCCAGATCATACTTCTTATTTTTCTTGCTGGAGAATATATCATCGACATTCCTGGTAGGTAATCCGTGGAGTCGCTTCTTGAGCACTATCATTGAATCACTCCGGCTCTCATGCGAGCAATTAGAAGCTCTTATCTTTGCGAGCCGAGCTAAATCGCCGCTCGTTAGAACACTAGCGTCAGGCCCAGCGCGTCGAACTCTCTGGGTGGAATCTCCGAGTAGTCCAATAATGTCATCATCATCGTCATCGTCACTGAGACTGGTATCGATCTCCTCAGAAGACGACGGACCTAGTACTTTCATGCCCTTCACCAACAGAGATGGTGGTTGAACTCCATTGTGAGGCACATGATGAGTGCTGCGCTCCTGGACACGATCTGACAGGGGACTGAAGGGTGTCATTGATTTGTTTGCTTGCCGATTTTGTGATATTGTGAAACATCGAAATCAAACTGTGTTTTTTCATAAAATGAGCAGAAGAATTTTGCCAACAGCATATTCCATTGAGTTATTTATGAAGAGGAGAATTCTCTAACTTGCCCAAGGCAAGATCGGACATTACACGTCATATCCAATGACTCCGATATATGTATCTCATTTATGGTGAATTCGTTTATTAAGGAAGAATGAATCGAAAATTCAACTTGCATCACTGGTCGGTGAACCGTTCCCCGGTACTCGAATGACCGTTTCACTGGAAAATGTGGCATGGAAAAAAAATGTACTGTACTGTAGGTACGCTACCACTGTGGCAATGTATCTTGTCACAGTCAGATTCGTTTGTTTAGGAATACCGCGTAGCGAACATATTTTTAAACACACCTTGTTGGTGATCGCACCGGGGCTCCCGTGACCTTTTCGATGGAAAATGTGGTTTGGAGAATGGGTTAGCGTATGTTACCAAGAAACCTCGCAGTGGCGGAGAATGAAATACAATATGTCTTCAATAGAAACAACGAACAAAACATCTTTCCAGTCGGATAGAAAGACTCCCGCCTACAGGAGCTCACTTTTAAATTCTTTGACCGCCTCCTTCGTCCATCGGTACGGTAAATCAACAATGACCATCGCTAGTACTTTAGTGTGAATAACTACCACCATATTATAATTCTATATTCTTTACCTACGGTATGATGTAACAGAGCCAGATGCTTATTCTTGTCCATCCAAATCACTGAAACCTTAGAATGACCCAAAAATGAGAGCCAACATCATGCCACATACTCCGGTCAGGCCAAATCCAAAGGCTCCAGATGGAGCATATCCAATTCCGGCTTCAGGGTCCCAAAAGATTTCTTCGGCCATTTGAGCGCCAGGACCTACAAAGCTAAAGGCCATATTGTCGGAGCCATCCGATGCCGATGTAGCAACCACTTGAATCGTAGTGCTGGCGACTCCAACAGCTGTGTCATTCGTAGGAGCAGTGACATCACCAGCTTGGGCGGAGGATACCAAAATGGGGGCATCTGTGACATCGGTCGAGTTGCTGACAGTATAAACCACTGCATCACGAGCCCAAGTAAACTCCCCAAATGGACGAAGAATTGTTGTGTCAATGGTGCTTGTACCAAACCTGACAGCCACACTAGCAGGTTGAACAACTTGTTGGTCGTCTTCGTAGTCAATATCAACCTCGGTTCCACTCTCGACATTGGCCAAAACGGCCATGTTAGAAGCCCTTTGTTGCCATTGATACCCCTTGATATCAACATCGATCTTCATTTTGTTCGCAGTTACTTCGGCACCGTCTCCACCAGGGGAAATGGTAAAGAAAAAGGTGGCAACTTTGTCGAGCGTCGAAATTTGGAACTTGATGTCTCCATTGGGTTCCATTTTGACTTTGGAGAAGGGTGCCATTTTTGTAAGATCAATAGAGCTGACGGTACTGTCCTCGTCAAAGTTGTAGGCCTGGGCTGTAGCAGAGGCGGGGATAACTCCGTCTGGCTTGGCATATTCAATGAGACGGTCAAAAACAACTTCGTATTCCGTTTCTGTAGTCTGTTTCTGTTCAGCTAGACTGCGGCCACCTGCGCCTGCTACAGTAACGTTCTGATCCTCGGCATTGACAGATGGACTTGGACTGTCGGGAGTTTCTGACTTGACTTCCTGCTCGTATTTGACCTTGATCTTGAGTCCCTTCTCGTCATAGGAACACTTGTACTTGATTTTGTCGGTGGTCTTGAGCAGGTCCGACTTGTCCTTGCTTTTGCATTTGAACTCGACTTCCGTTCCGGTGTCGATCTCTGTGAGGTAAGAGAAGGGATGAAATGATGAGACTCGTCTGTCGATCGAGGTGGTAAATGATGATGCGGTTTTGACTTACCCAGCTCGCATTCTCGACTAATGACGACATCTTTGTCGTCCTTCTTCTTGTTGTCCTTGTTATCGTCCTTTTTCAAGTTGCGAAGAGAAGAGCGAGGATTGGCGGTGGTGTATGATGGTTCTGCATGCGATGTGCTAAGAGAAGCAGCAAGTAGAGCAAAGAAGGTAGTCGTGCAAAATTTCATGTTGGTTTTGATGCGTTTTTGTTTCGATGCAGTCCGAAAATGTGAGCAGATCAGGCCCATCTCTAGTTGGACATCGATCGTGCAACGCCCTTAAGGTTAGCGAATCATCGGAAGCTCAACGGTTTTAAAATATTGCAAGCATATTGGAATACACATGAGGATTTGCGATAACACGTGTATTAATTGGCCTTCGGCATCTTCTCGTTTGGAGTATCTCCCATTCAACGGCAAAAAGCTTCTTCTGTTTCCCATTACCAGGTTCGTACCGGTACCTGGTACCGGTACCAGGTAGCATGATACGTCATGAAATAATCGATGAGTCAGTTGGTCGATGTAGTCGAACACCGTCGATGATTAAATTTATTAATCTATTTTACATTGTCAGATTCCTGATTCCATCGAAACGGGCTCAGACCCAAATCGAAATCATCATCTTCAAAGAAGCCGAGCAGCAACAAATCCTATCGTTGCCTTTTGCGATTGGATTCCTGCGTCCAGTTCACCATTCTTCACTCAGTCAAAAGGAAAATAGCCATAGAGAAGAATCAATCATGTCGAATATGGAAAACATGTTAATGGACGACTCTTCGTCAGGGGAATCTGACGATGAAGTTGTTGTCCCCACCAATCGCCCAGTCGCATCTGCGATTGCGGCTGCGGCTGCTCCACAAGCAGCACCTGTGGCTGCGCCAAGACCGGCAGCAGTGCCACCGCAACCAAGTGCACAAGACCAGCAGAAAGAGCGCCTGAAGAATCTTTATCGTGCTCAGCAGACTATGAGACCACAACCATCTTCAGCACCGATGCAACCTCCTCCTTCTTTATCGGAGTCTGCTTCACCTTCCATGCCTGGTCCTGGTCCTGGTCCTGGTCCTGGTTCTCATATAAACCACCCAGGTCGAAGAATGTCAAGTGGTTCTTACAATTCTTCGCATCAACGGTCCTATGCGCCTTCGCCACAGCAACCAACACCAACAACGCAAGGTGGCCCACAACCGCCTCAGATGAACATGACTCGACGGCCCTCTCAAACACGAACACAACAACCACAAATGCCGCAGCGATCCCAACCACAAATGCAACAACACCCGCAAATGTCTTCACATTCTTCTGCACAGTACAATCCGCACAGTCGTAGTAGCCATGGAAGCCATCCTTCTCAGTCCTCAAGATCGCAAATGGTTCCACCTCAGTCAGCAAGAACTTCTTCCCATCCAACATCTCACGATCCCTATGCTCCTGCCCCTTATGCCAACATGCAATCTCGAGAGCAACCGCGACAAACGAGCATGCCGTCTCATACTTCGCGACCGTCCTCCTCTTCATCATACCCAAGTGCACAGCCTGTGAACCCATCGGCTCCAGTGCAGTCGTCGCATTCCTCCTCTGGTCGACCTCCTCAACAACTGTCGGCACAGGAACAAGCTGCTCAAGCCACAAGACGAAAGAGGCAATACACACTCTTCACGCAAGTTCTCTTGAAACGTCTCGAAAAGGAGAATCCAAGTATGCATCGTGCCGCAAAGGCGACCATCCAGGAATGTGCGATTCGGAACAAGAAGAAACAACCAGGGTATGAATCGCTCACTAACGCTCTAATGCCCCGGCTCAAGGAACTAGTGGGAAAGCCGTTTTGGAATACAACGCAAAAGGTCCTGCATAATCATTTGGCAAAACACAAGAGTAGTGAGGCAATCAAGCAGCAGCAGCAGCAAAAGGCCGCCCAACAACAGAAATTGGAAAGTCAAAATCAGCAGCAACGACAGCGTGAAGCCCAGGTGCATGCACAACGGCAAGCACAGCTTCGTCAACAGCAGCAACAGCAAGCAGCCCAACCCAATCTATCAAGATTGCAACAAGAGGTTACCAATCGAAAAACTGAGATTAATCGAGCGGCTCCGACCAGTAGTGCTGCTGCGGCCAAGCTCACCAGTACCCAAAAGAAACAAGCACTTGCCAAGCAACGAGGTCGAGTTACCTCGCCGAGTCCTGCCTCCCGTAAACCAGGGACCCCTGCCGCTGCTACCACGTTACCGCCAACAAAGGTGGAAGAACCTCCCAAAGAATACAACGAACTCATGCAAATGGTAGACCAAGCGGTTTCATATGATTATAAGACAGCTGGCACACTGCTCAAGGCCAGCAAGACTGACTTGCACGTGGACGACGAGCAGAAACGGCTTTTGTATGGTGACGTCAAACCGAAACTTCCTCCTCCCCGAACACAAGGACCAAGGCCTGGTTGGGACAAGACCAACGTTTTGTCGGCGCGAGCCGCTTGGGCTCGGGTAAGACTCCCGGAACAGCCTGAGGCCGCACCTGGTGTTCCAATGACACGGCCATCGGCAGCTCGAGGACAAAATGACACCTCCTGGGCCCATGAGCAAAAGGCCGAACAGGACGAGGTATTGGCACTGCTTTCCGAAGCATCCCAGCACTATCTCAAAGACATTTTGAGGAAGGCCGTTCACTGTTCGCGTCAGCGACAAAACGTTGACGGGATCCGCCTGTGGCATCAGCAGCATGTGTCCGCGGTTCATGGCAAAGAAGCTCCATTATCCTTGCGCTTGGGTTGTGATGTTTCGAGACAGGTTGCGCAAGTGGCAGGAAATGCAGCCTTGACTTGCAAACGAATGGAAGAAGCTTTGGAACGGAAGAGCGGAGTCCCTGCTAGTGCTCGCATTCTCAAGGAGGCCACTTTGCAAGAGGCCACAAGTATGGGCGACTTAGCCTTGAAACCACAACTGGGCAGAGGTCCTGCCAATGCCGAGCTACAAGCGCGACGATCCTTCGAGGAGTATGGTGGAAAGCACGCATCGGAGCCTCCCTTGGGCCGAGTTCCCAAAAAGGCCAAGGTAGAAATCGTTGATTTGGTGCACGGACAAACACTATTGCAAACATTGGGTCATCGGGCAGTTACCTCCAAAGTGACTTCGTATTAAAGTTTTGAACTTCTGTTTTTAATCGATGCGTTTTGAGATAATCGCAATATATTATATTTTCTATATCATGTTCTTCGACTACTTATTCTGTTTTTCTGTTTTGAGCAAGTTCAGTTTATAGGGCACTTCAAATGAGAGCCACTGTCAAACACTCCTTCAGCTTATAGGGCGCTGATCATGGCAGCCAACATCATGCCACATACTCCGACCAAGCTAAATCCAAAGGCTCCAGATGGAGCATATCCGATTCCTGCTTCAGGATCCCAAAAGATCTCTTCTGCCATTTGAGCACCAGAGCCGACAAAGCTAAACGCCATACTATCGGAACCATCGGATGCCGATGTAGCGACAACTTGAATAGTAGCACTGGCCACAACAGATGTGTCATTGGTAGGAGCAATTACATCTCCTTGGGCAGCCTGAGCAGTGGAAATCATAGGGGTGTCGGTTGTCGAGTTGGTAGAATTTCCAGCGGTATAAACTACTGCATCACGAGCCCATGTGAATTCTCCAAAGGGGCGAAGCATCGAGGCGTCAATGGAACTCGTTCCAAAGTTGACAGCAACACTAGCAGGCTGTACAACTTGTTCGTCGTCTTCGTAGTCAATGTCAACCTCGGTACCACTTTCCACATTGGCCAAGACTGCCATGTTGGAGGTACTTTGCTGCCACTGATATCCCTTGATATCGACATCAATCTTCATCTTGTTGGCAGTTACTTCGGCTCCTTCTCCGCCTGGGGAAATAGTGAAGAAGAAGGTGGCAACTCCGTCAACAGTAGAAATTTGCCACTTGATGTCTCCATTGGGTTGGACAGCGACAGGTGTAAAGGCAGACATGTTGGTGAGGTCGATAGAGCTAACGGTAGTATCTTCGTCAAAGTTGTAAGCTTGGGACGTGGCTGATGCGGCAACCACACCATTAGGCTTGGCATACTCAATGAGGCGATCGAAGACAACCTCATACTCGGTTTCGGTGGTCTGAGTCTGTTCAGCTCGACGGCGGTCATCTCCCCCAGCAACAGTTGTAGATTCGTTTTCGTTATCTGTTTCGTTTTCGTTTTCGTTGTCTGTTTCGTTTTCGTTATCTGTTTCGTTTTCGTTGTCGGGTGTCTCGGTTTCAATTTCTTGTTCGTACGAGACCTTGACTTTGAGCCCCTTCTCATCGTACGAAACTTTGTATTTGATCTTATCTTCAGTTTCCATAAGTTCCGACTTTGTTTTGCTCTTGCATTGGAACTCGACTTCTTCTCCACTGTCAACCTCTGTAAAAGAAGGAAATTCAGTTAAGGGTGAGGACTATGTTTGGCAGAGCAATTGAAGCAATCCTGCTGTTCTTGTGCCTCACTTACCAAGTTCACATTCTCTTGTAGTGACAGCATCTTCGACATCATCGCTGCTTTCATCGAGCCGCCGAAGCTTTGGACGGAGCTGACTGTACTTGTATGCGTTTGCATTTGAAGTGCTGAGAGAAGCAGCAAATACAGCGAAGAGGGTGGCGGTTGAAAATTTCATGTTGGTTTCGAGTTGAGTGGGCTGATTTTTTGTGAGGAAATTTGAAATTGTGCGCGAGGTGGAATCATCGGAGGACGGCAATCGTGCCTTGATCGTGCAAACTCTTCGAATGATCGGAATCTTGTCAAATTGTATTGGAATGATGCCGATACATAGAGGCATGTGCTTTTTCATAATTTGTGAGAAATCTGAGATCAATTTCTTCTGTTGGTTCTCACGAATCGACTCGTCTGACTAGTAACGCCAACACGTGTGCGCGCGTCCATATTTCGCCATCATCTGTTCTTACGAACTCTCGGAACAACTTCGAAGCTGGTCCCTTGATCATTGCACGCACCAGTGGCGACCGCATTCTCAGCACTATCGACTCTTTCTTTTGTCATCTGCTCCAGGCGCCGGCGGGTACTTTTGGCTCATTGATTACGGGCTGGTCTGCATGATTTGGGCGGCATGACTGCCTTCACGCATGCTTAATCTTCTTCGCCATGATCGACTGCATGGTGCAAGATTCTGGCCGATGATTAAAATGTACCAAGTGGTGAAGTAGCATCGACATTTGGCTCTTCAGAAGGTGGCTGAATGCTCGGATAACTAGCGACACCCAGGTGTTCCGTCCGAAGGTGCTCGTATACAATCAACCATTTCGAATATCCTCGCGAAAACAGCCCTCTGGGTTGATGGGGCTGGAATCGGTGTTGATGCCGTCGCTACTGAGCTGACACTGCAGTTCAATGTCACTGCCATAATGTATACGTCATCTCGCCTTATCAGAATCCCGCATCAACTTGAGTACCCACCTCCGAAATAATGAATTGAAGAGGTCAAGCTTCTCTTGCCGTGCCTCTAGGCAAAAGTTCTTCGCTGGGTAGCGGATGCGACTGCTTTTGATCATGTCAATGATTTCCAATGTCGGGTTGACTTTAGGCATTGTAGGTGGCTAATCTATCGTGGAAGCGGCATAGAAATCAAACACGAGCTGTTTAAAAAATGGGCCGTATTTTGATAACACGGATTGATCACAACAGAGGTGAGAAGGCGAACCAACATTGAAGCTGAAACAGTTATAGCTGATGGATGTACGTACCCCTTTCATTTGATCCTCAGGAATCGAAACGAGAATATTGAAGTAGACATCGTAGGCCAATCGATAAAAGGTTCCCGGTTCTTGTGCTGTCTTCGTGCCTTTGATTTGGCTTGCTGATGACGGAGAAAGATCGGAATCTTGTTTGAATCGCCCCGAATACACAAGCATGATGCATTTATGTGCCCTTTCATATTTGTTGAGTCAATTATGTCCGAGATCTTTGCGCACCAAGATACAGTCCCCAGTACTGTACTGCTTCGATACATTACAATCAATATCCGATTCATTACTTTTTACGGAAATCTCTGAAAAACTGTGCAATCTTTGTTTTGGCCTCTTTGTCACTGCTCTTCACCCACGCACCAGTGTTGGTTTGCTTCAAAAAACGCCTTCCGTCGGTGCTAAGGACTCTACCCACCTCAGAAACGATCTCCTTTCTCCTCCGCGGAGGAGCCTTTTCATACTCATCCTTGTACTCTGTGGCCAGCTTTCGGAAATGGATATTGCCTGGAACGTTTTGGAGCACGCGGCCTCGTCCAAGAAAAATATCGCCAAAAGTAGGAGTGATGGGCGCATTCTCAATAATATTGCTTGATCTATGATGCTTTTCATCTGCTCCAGCCTGGGAAACTCTTGATTCACTGATTCCGTGAGCTTTACCATTGCGTCCAATCAAGCCTTTTGCGTCATGATCGACTGTATGGTGGAAGGTTTCTACATCGCCCGCTTTGGCCCGTGGCAGCCATAGCTCATCAGGCGCAATAACATCGACATTTGGCTCCTCGGAGGGTGGTGGCTGAATGCTCGGAGTATACGCGATGATAGTTCGTTCCCTCCGAAGGTGGTCGTATAACCAATCATTTCGAATATCCTCGCGAAGACCGCCCTTTGGGTTGATGGGACTGGAGTCGGTGTTGATGCCGTGACTGCGGAGCTGATACTGCAACTCGATGTCACTGCCGTAATGCATTCGCGACCTCACCTTACCATAAGACTGCTGGCATGATTTGAATAACGACTGCAATAATGAATTAAAGAGATCGAGCTTTTCTTGTCGTGCCTTGAGGCAATAGTGCCTCGCTGAGAAGCGGATGGGAAGGCTTGTGACCATATCCATGATTGTCAATGCCAAGTTCATGTTTGGTATTAAAGGAAGCTCGTCTACTTTCGAAACATCGTAGAAAATGTTTACGAGCTGTATTATTATCAGTGAGCCAGTGAGCCAGTATGTGTGTTGACTATGATGGTAGCTGCAGCCACTTACCCCTTTCATCTGAACCTCAGGAATCGGAATGAGAATATTGAAGTAGACATAGTACGCAACTCGACAAAAGGTTTCCGCTTTAGCGCTGCCAAGAAACTCTGAAAAGAAATACAGAATTACCCTGCCCTTTTGATCTTTATCCTTTTGAATATGATAGATTCCAGACAGTAATAATTCTCGATCCTCCTCATTTAAGTCATGAATAGTGATTTCACGGCCAATGCAGTCATTGCCAAAGTACTTTGCCTTGTTTCGAAGGAAGTGGAGCATTTGATTGACAGCTTTGCCAACATTGTGCGTATTTGATCTGATAAACTTTAAGCGAAAGGAAGGATCTTCGATGTATTCTCTATAGCGCTTTGCAATCATTTTATAGGTTGGATCATGTTGTTCTTGCTGTTGAGCTGTCCGATCGAATTCAGCAAGCAACTCTTCCACAAGTTCAGGGGTTTCCTCCAGGTCTTGTCCGACACAATGGATATCTTCCAGGGCTTTGGTTCTTTCTTGCAAGCTCAGTTTGTTCAGTTCTGATGCAAGCATGTCTTCAGTTTCTTTCATTTCATGCCTTGTGTGGCGGCTTGTTGTGAAAGGTAGTGTTGCGAAATTTGAAGTTTGATGCGGCGAACCAAAAAAGTAGCAACTCGATAGACATGATGATGATGATGATCTTTTCTGGTTCATGGTGCTTTATGGCGCAAAGATGATGCAATGAAAATGGTGGTATGAAATACTTTTTGTGGTAGTAAATTTGGTATGACTGACTCGGCGGATCGTCTACGTTGAAGTTCTTGCGTTGTCACCGGATTAATTAATTCTGAGCCGTGCGTGCGAAAAGATGTTCCTCATCTCGCTCATCGCATCGAACTATGGTTCGCAAACCGATTGGTTCGATCACATTCAACATTGTGCGCGTGCATGCATCTTTTCAAAAAAGAACAGAATGCAAGATACGAGTACCTACCGGTAATACGAGTAGTACCGTATCTGGTACCGGTGCAGAATTACCTTCACTTTCTTTTTCAACAAAATCCAAAATCAAGCAGGAGAAGCATCAAGTTATTCAAAACTTATTGCAGTCACACCAAGAGTATTCTTTTGGTCACACCCTGTCGAGGAATCATGCTGTATTCTGCGAATTACGTTCGATTGACATGTGATGATGATCATGACACTCATCATGACAGTGACCATCATTCGACGATGATGACTCTAGTGGACCAATCTACGGGTGACGCTTCCCATCCCATCATCAGTCCACACTCACTTTGGCCAGCATCATCATCACCACCACCGCCACTGGCAATTCAGGCGCACCACCCCTGTCATAACTACCAAGACCACTTGGCAGAAAATGAATCACGACGTCATTGCAATTTCTCGGATTCCAGCTCTTGGTGCGAAATGAGTGAATGGTTGTTTCAACCACAAGTGGGGCGGGAGAATCACTTGTACTTTGGTTGCTGTTGCGATGTACGTCGGGCAGTGGTGGCTCTCAATTTATTGACGATTTGTCTGCTCTTCGCTTTGTTGGTCAGCTACGAAGTTTTCGTTCGCATCATGCATGAGCCACTTGGAAATCTGACCATAGAAATCTTTCCAGAAGTAGGGCATGGTATCCGTGGTAACGCTGAAGACGAGAGCTCTGACCCTGACTATACGATTCAAGACTCTCCTTCCCATGGTCATTGGTTCTTGTATATGTTGCAACGATACATGGACGTGTGGATTCTCGTCGGTATTATTCTACATTCAGTCGGGGTCTACGGAGCCATCAAATTCAAATTATGGGCCGTCCAGGTCGCTGCCATTGCATATGCCTTGCCATTGGTTCTTTCCATTGTCTATCTTCATCCCATTGTATTCGTCGTCAGTGGGGGTCTATGCCTATATCCGCATATGGTACTCCTAAAGGAGATGAAGGAAGGCGTCATGATGCCCTACAAGTACGAGTATGTCAGTGCATGCTGTGTATGCGTACCGGTATGACCTGTGGACGAAGATAAATGGCGTCCTCACGAAAGACGATTTGAAATTCTGAAGGAAAAAATTTCGTCATGACAATCGAATGGCGATGAGGATAGCGGTCGTTCAAACTTGTTGATGATGGAGAAAGATCAGAATCTTGTAAACCTGTGTTGGAATCCTGTGTTGGAATCCTGTGTTGGAATCCTGTGTTGGAATTGCATTGATACAACCAATCTTATATCCTATCTTTCATGAATCGACTCCTTTCACGGACCAATTACAAATGATAATAGGTACGAGTGCAAATAATACGGGTATTTCTATTTCGTTTTACGAAACTCTCGGAACAACTGAGCTACCTTTGTTTTGATCTCTTTCTCACTGCCCTTCACCCACACATCAGTATCAACTTGCTTCAGAAATCGCCTCCCCTCGGAGCGGAGGATACTTTCCACCTCCACAACGACCTCTTTTCTCCTGCGCCCAGGAGCGGTGTCGTACGCATCCTTGTATTTTGCGGCCAGCTCACGGAAACGGATATTGCCTGGATTGTATTGGACCAAGCGGCCTCGTCCGAGCAGAATATCGGCGTCGGTAGGGGTGATGGGCGCTTTCTCTACACGTTTACCTGATCCATGCTGATTTTCAGCTGCCACAGCAGTTCCTGGTGCTACTGGTAAACTGGATCCATCATGGGCAACAATGCTAATCAACTCTTCCGCGTCATCATCGACTGCAATCGTCTCGGATCCTGATGCTAGTAAACCAACAGACGCAACAGCAGCTTGCACATTTGGTTCCACAGAAGAAGATTCTTGAACGCTCTGGTTCCTTTCGATAATGTCACTCCGTTCTTTCTCGAGGTGGTCGAACAACCAATCATTTCGATTTTCCTCGCGAAGAGTACCGTCGTTGGTGACGGGGGCAGAGTCGGTGTTGATGCCGTGACCCCGGAGCTGATACAGCAATTCGATGTCACTGCCATAATGCATCCGCGATCTCACCTTACTATAAGACTGCGTATCCCCAGACGTCTTGAATATTAGCTTGAATACTGAATTGAAAACGCCAAGCTTTTCTGTACGTGCCTTCAGGCAATAGTGCGTCGCTGAAAAGCGGATGGGAATGCTCATGATCATATCTATGGATGCCAAACTCAAGTCTATGCTTGGCATTGAAGGGAGCTGGTCATCTTTCGAAATGTCGTAGAAAACGAATACAAACTGTAAAAATGTGCCAGTACAAATATATTCGGATGCATTGAGAGCACAACAGAGTTGAGAATGTGTAATCAGGTGTAATCACAGTGAAATCGAAAACGACACATGTGAATGTCGCACTTACCCCTTTCATCTGCACTTCGGGAAACGAGACGAGAATGTTGAAGTAGACATAGTACGCAACCCGACAAAACGTTTCAGGACTAGCGCTCCCAGTCAGCTCTGGCAACACGTACATAACTACTCTGCCGCTTTGATCTCTATCTTTCCCTATGTTATAGAATCCTGATAGTAACAGTTCTTGATCCTCCTCATTCATGTCATCAAACGAGATTTCACGGCCAATGCAGTCATTGCCAAAGTACTTAGCCTTGTTTCGAAGAAAGTGGAGCATTTGATTGACAGCTTTGCCAACATCGTGCTTTTTTGACCTGATAAACTTTAAGCGAAGGGAACGATCTTGGACGTATGCTCTATGGCGCTTTGCCATTTCTTTATAGCTTGGATCATGTTGTTCTTGCTGCTGAGCTGTTCGATCGAATTCCGCAAGCAACTCTTCCACAAGTTCAGGGGTTTCCTCCAGGTCTTGTCCGACACAATGGATATCTTCCAGGGCTTTGGCTCTTTCTTGCAAGCTCAGTTTGTTCAGTTCTGATGTAAGGATGCCCTCTGTGTCTTCCATTTCCTGTCTCGAATTCGAATATTGCTTGGACGCGCCCAGCAAGTTGCACTTTGACATACAGGATGATGGTGATCTGGTCTGGTCCATGATGATGATGATGATGATGAAGAAGAAGTTATTGTGTTGCTTGTGGGAACAGTATGTTTTAGTGCAAGTTACAGCATGGTGCAAATAACAGATTGTGGTGGCATGACACTCGTCATTTTGATGTTGCCTATGTTGAAGTTTGGAATAAGAACAGCAGCTTGAAATTATTTTAAAACAGACGCCAAGCATGTGGGAGCCAATATGTAAAAATAGAGGCTCACAACAACTTCAACGTTCTTTGATCCGAAAAAGTTCGCATAGCTAGCACAACCAAAGCGCTTCGCCATATTCGACCTTAATACTGCGGTACCACCTTTATTCTGATACTGATACCTCATTCCCTCTCTTCAACATCGCCAATTGACGGAAAAAAGATGAGGTATGAACAATTATGACTTTATGGTTCCGGCGGTACACGTGTACCGTGTATCGTTCCCGGCGGCTGTCCAAAGACTACAGCACATACCGGCTGTTGAGGTAGATTTAGGACAGACAGATATCATCATCCGTTAAAAGGATCGCCTTTTGGCCGAGTGGCATTCTGTTTTAGTACTGTGGTAATACTACTGTACGGTAGTAGTTGGTATTAATACGTGTACTGTACGAATTATGAATAGAATAAACAGTGTGTACCATTATCGGCGCAAGGCAGATGCAGTGCGTAACATAGGCAGACTAGTAGGGAGCACGACTGTGCTGGTGCTGGTACATGGTACAGTTTGTGCCTCTCGCCAAGTTCCTCTCGACGTATCGCAGCGTAACACGACGACTCGCGACGCAGATGAGAGTCGACCTGATCGACAACCAATTCGATTGATTCGATTCGAATTTCAACACAGAGAAACAATAAACCAACACTTTTGTAGAATAGTCAGAATCGAGGATGGAAACCTTTGAAAAGATTAATGTCAGTGGAAATCGAAACAAAGGGAAAATCAATAGCATTAAAGATAATGCAAGAAGAAGGAGCAAGAGCTCTTTTCTGAGTGATTACTTTTTGGTGATTACGTTTACTTTTGCGGTATTTCTCTTGGTGTGGAGCCACCGCTTCCATCACCATGATGGTCTTAGTACAAACCATTTGGAAATGAAGAGGATAAAAGAATCATTTATATCAACTTCCTCTACTGGTAAGACTACCAACAAAACTAGAAAAATAGCAAGTACAGCAACGAACCAACACGACCATCGCTTGGCTGGATTGAAATGTGACCAGTGGGGAGGACCCTCCTTTGATGCGGCCCAAGAAATGGTCTACTGGGAAGACATTCCATCAGACCAAAACTACCTCTCTCCGTTTCACCTGAAAGCAGCTACTGATGGAGCTTCGGAACTCAGGATTGGCCAGTTTCTCACCTTTGAACCAGACGGCGGAGGTTGGAAGTAAGTCAAGATTTCAAGGGAGTCCTTGTTTGTTGGGCGAGGAATGATACGATTTGCCTTCAGTTGAGGTTGTTTTATCCGTAGTTCTAACTCGCTCTATCTCTCTGTCTTTCTTTATTTCCAGCAACATTCGAATGTCAATGGAAACACTTCTGGTGAGTTCCTTTACTTTTCGCCGTCCCTGTTGTCATTTGCAATTTGCTACGACACACAGCCAGTCTCCTTACCTCTGAAATGAAAACCCCAGGCCATTGCATTCAATATGGGTAGGACCTTGGTACTTCCTCCACATCAAAAGATGTATCTACTTTCCAAAGAAGAAAAGAAGCAACGGAGTGAATTTAGTTTTGAACATTTCTTCCACATGCAAAGCATCAGTCAGGAGCACATTGGATTTAACGTCATCAACATGGACGAATTTCTTCAGCTATTTTTGGACGGCCGCTTCAAACATCCCGGAACAGGAAAGCCAGTATTTCCGCCCAACAATCGGACAGACTGGAACAGTGTTGCCGGACCTGAAAAGAATATTCTAAAGGATTGGTTGCGAGAATCTTCAAAGGTATTACAATGGCTACCGGACGACTGCATGGCTTCCTTTCCTCGTTCCAACACTGCCGAGGCTATGGAAGAATTGGAGAATTTGGAAGAAGCAATTTTTAAAGAAGGGATTCCCAATTATGAAGATTATGTGGGCAAGCCTGTTCCTGTCGATTCCAGTGCCAAGGAACGTCTGAAGGAAAACTTGGCTGGTCGAAAAAAATTGTGCTTCTACGACACCGAACTGCAGCGGGAGCCTTGGATTCACTTTCCAGTTTCTCACCAAGGGCAGTACAAGGCTCGCATGCTGGTTCACTTTTACGCATTCTTGTTCTTTGCAGACTGGAAGGCTGACCTATGGACCAAACGGTTTGTCAGGGACCACGTCCGATATGTAGACGAGATCCAGTGTGCTGCCGCTCGGGTGGTCCACGCCATTCGCACCAAGCATGATAGCAACTTTGATACAATGCATGTCCGACGAGGCGACTTTCAATACAAGAATACTCGCGTGAGCATTGACAAGATCTATACGGCAATATCGAAGCATATACACAAGAATTCCACCATTTACATTGCCACAGATGAAAGAGACAAATCATTCTTCGCTCCTCTGAAGAAACACTACAATATATTATACTTGGACGACTTCTTGGAGGATCTAGGCGGCATCAACACCAACTTCTATGGAATGGTGGACCAACTCATCGCATCTAGAGGTCGCACCTTTTTTGGCTGCTGGTTTTCTACTTTCACAGGGTATATCAATCGGCTGCGGGGCTACCATGCAGATGATCACCAAACACCAGGATATGAGGATGGGATAATTCCAAGCTACTACTATACTCTGGAGGACCGGTACGATCATATGCGAGAGTTCTGGCCCGTCAAACGTGCATTCTATGCAAGAGAATTTCCAACGTCGTGGAGATTGATAGACACTGGAGTAGAAGAAGATATTGCTAGGCCTGCGACCTGAGTGCTTTCCCTAACCAGACATCTTCTTTGGCCTCGGTCCATATAAACATTGTACTGCACTCTTTGAACGATGTGGTAGGAAGCGCCCCACAAGCGGGTTCTAGTCTTTTTTTAAAAAGAACGGCTAGCAAGGAAGACGAGCGGGTGCGGCTGAAAGACAGACTACAAACCATATGAATGCCGCCGAAAAGAGAAAGTGATCTGTAGCGGATCCATGAAAAGGAAATGAAGAAAGGGTTGCAATATAAAGATCTGTCGATACAAACCTCTATGTTACAGCAGTAACGGAAGAGACTACTCCTTGGCATGTCATCAATATAGGGATTATGAAGCAAGCGCCACATTGACCACTGCAGCTCGTCCGATCTACTGCTTCCCTCGAGGAGAGAAATAAGTTTGCTTTTTTCTCACAAGAATTTGCATTTTCCACAGCCACACCTCGAGCAGTGACATTGACTCGTTTGCTTCGTATACCACCAGATCATCAATCGCACTCCAGACTGTGTAGTAACCACCGCCGAGTACCCATTGTCCCCTAGTAGCCATTGTGGAAGCCCACTGTTCAGTGCCCCGAGACACGGGCGGCCGCAGATCCACAGGTAGCGAATGCACTGCCACCAATTCTCACGGTTGTCTTGGGAGTTCTCAACGTTGGACAGTCCGCAAAAGCATAGTTTTTGATGATCTCAAGCGATGTAGGAATCTCAATCACAGTCAATGAAGTGCACATTTCGAACCAAGAGGACCCAATATATGTTAACTCCACATGAAATTTGATATCGCTTGAGTGAATAGCAACAGCGAAATGCCAACTTTTCAATTCTCTCGACGGTAGAGGGAATATCGATGGACTCCAGACTCCGACATTGGTTAAACACCTGGTACCCAATTACTTGTAATCCAACATGTAGCTTTACATGAAAGGGATTCCCAGCCGTAGAACACTGATTTTTGAACCACGGAGAGGTTGCGAGGATATTCGATGCTTTTACTACCCGTGCGTGCACCTACTGTAAAACAAGCTTTATCAGGCCTCGGTCGCTTCTTTCGCTTTCGTTCGAACGACATCTTTCATATGTACCGAATGATGATGCGGATGATGATCTACCGGTGTTGCGATGTATACTGTATGAATTTCTATACCGGTATTATATATCTGCAGGACTCGTTATACGATGCAACCTTTCAAAATCTTGTTTCCGCGGATGGAGCACAAACAGTACCTCATATTTGAGGGACCAAAAAATCGAAAAAATCCTACCTCCCCCGAATATATGAACAGAAACATCATTTCGCTCATCATCATCCACAACAAATGGATTGTACTAATGAGTTGGATGCGATAAGATTTCACCATGTCTGCTTCTCGACCGCTCATCACAGTATTCTCTTCCATTTCCAACATTGCTCCTGCACTGAGAGCTGCAGGATTGCCATTGGTAGAGATCGTGGATGAAGAAGCCTTGAGTGGATATGGAGGGACTGTGGAATTTGATGTGTCCAAGCTGCAGGAATCTACCAAGGCCAAATTGCGAGCGGCAGAGATTTTGATTACGGAGCCGTCCGCGTTGGCTGATATGTTGTCATTGGATGAAGCAGACCTCTTTTCCAACCTCAAATGGTGCCAGTCTACCTATGCTGGTGTCGATCCTCTATTCAAGGCGAAACTGGAATTTCCACTCCCATTCACCTTGACGCGTTTTGCTGGGGTCTTTGGTCCGCCAATAGCGGAATGGTGCTTGGCACGAATCATTGGTCATGAAAGAGGATTTTCTGCCTCTCGAAAAGACCAAGAAGAACATCAAGCCTGGGCCAAGTCGACCGAAATTTTGGAATATCGCTACCTCTCCGACTTGACCCTCAGTATCTTGGGATGTGGGGACATTGGACTTTGTATTGGAAAAGCTGCCAAGGCTTTTGGAATGACGGTGGTTGGCTTCTCAACTACACCCAGATCAAATGAACCTGCTTTGGACCGTTCCGTTACGGATCTCAAGGAGGCCTTGCAAACGGGAGACTATGTTGTCTCGGTGCTGCCTTCCACCAAGGTTACCCGAGGACTACTGACGCTGGATGCCTTGACTGCTGCCAACAAGGAGAACGGAGGAAAGTCTCCTGTCTTTCTCAATGTTGGTAGGGGTGATGTGACAAATACAGAAACAATCCTTCAGGCATTGCAAGACAATCACATCTCAGCGGCAATTCTAGATGTCTTCGAGGTCGAACCTTTGCCTCAGACCAATCCTCTTTGGAAGCATCCCAAGGTTACAATTTCACCGCACGTCAGTGGCTTGACGAGAGCACAGGATGTCCCAAAGCTTGTTGTGGAGCAATATGAACGATATTGTCAAGGAGAGGAGCTGGTGTACAAGGTCGATTGGGAAAAGTCATACTAACATGCTATATTCAGAAAAGTTGTTCCAAACCATATCCACACTCCTTCACTCCAGCAAAGGGTCTATTCGATCACAATGGATTTCGTTGTGAGCCCTAAACTGTTGCATAACGTGAGTGAATGGATTACAAGTGTTCGGCACAAGAAGAGTAGTGAATGTAACCATCACTTTGTACAACTACCACAACACAGGACTCGTCGTTACAACAAGTCGGCAGCTACCGGTACATTAAATATACAATATTAAAATACTTCCATAGCATGGCTGATGATATATTGCAACACTCATATTGCCTACTATCCTTTCCAGAATCAGCTGCGTTCATACAGTGGTTAAAAATCGTCATAATCGTAGTAATCATGATAATCATGGTAATTGTCATTATCATTGTCATCATCATAGCCATCGCTGTGAGAAGCGTGTGCGGGTATCGTGTCCCTTTTCTAAATCCCAAGGAAATCCATGACGACTGTCGGGATCACAAAGGAAGCTCCACAGAGGTTTTTGCACCTCGTCCGATTGACTCGTATCATCGCGAAAAAAGTTTGCTTTCTGACGACCAAAATTTGCATTCTCCACAGCCACAATTCCAGCAGTGACATGGACTTATGAGTCTCATATTTTTCAAAGACGGAAATTGCAGATGCCACCTCATCTTTATCGATGAGAGCCGACTGTACCCTATCTGCCATCTTCGAAATCCAACCTTCTCGTCCCCATGTGAAAAGCCGTTCGATCATCCATTTTGGAGAAGCATTTCATACCATCCATCCCATGACCTCTCATCCTCGTCATTATCGAGATACTCAATCGCATATTTTCCATAATCGTCTTTCCAGCCGAGTAGATGTGGATGAAACATGTCCAGTAACACCTCTCACAGGTCTATTTTATCGTTGGTTACAGAGGACACGATAATGTGGAATGGTGTCCTACCAAAGGAGTCAACAACACCCTCCCTGTATAAATCAATTTGCTCGCGCACTTCATCTACATCAGTTGAAGACGCATGATAACACAGCGAATGGACAGGAAGCTTTCGAAAAAGCATCTTCAAACCTTGAACAATGTTCTCCTCGCCATATGTAGTGTTCCTCCAGCAAATCATAGTCATTGAAACAGCAGTCAGATATATCAGACTCTCCCGTGAAGCAAATATTCGTGAGATTTTCGCATCTATTGAAAACCGTGCGCCCGAACCTTGCAGTCATTTCATAATGAAATTCGACAGTGACCAAATTGTCACAGTCCTCAAAGGCAGACCCCTCAATGGATTCAACAGAGGTTGGAATTTCAATTCTGGATAGGGAATTGCAGCCCGCGAACGCCCTACAGCCAATTTCTTTCAGGCCTTCTGAAACACATATATCACGAAGTAATAGACAACGTGGGAATGCAATAGATCCGATCTTCCTCATTGTATGAGGGATTGCAACACCAGCGAGCATTGTGCAATTGAGAAAAAAAATTCTTCCTATCTCTTTCAACCCAGCTTGCAGCTCGGCCTCGACGAGCGAGACACAATTCGAACGCCGATTCTTCAATGATAACCACAGTAGAAGGAACTTTGATCTTTCGCAAACTCTCACACTTGCGGAAGGCACTCCAGCCAATCTCCTTCAAACCTTCCGAAAGATTCACTTCGGTCAACTCATTGCAATCACAAAATGCACGATTCTCAATGACCTCCACCGTAAAGGGCACTGATATCTTTCTGAGCCGATGACAATGTCGAAACGCAGAACTCCCGATGGTTTTGAGTCCTATGGGCAGATAAACTTTCACTAGGAAGGTTCCATGGCACGATCTAGAAGGGCGATGGCGTATCAAACGATCGACAACGAGTTGCTTCACGTCGTCTGGAATGCAGCCTTACCCACCCCCAGAGTATTTATAAAAGTTGTGTCTATTTCTTCGATGTTTTCTTCCACGCATCATACCTCAACGAATATAGTAGCTACAAGGTACAATAAACTCCGCAGTATACTACGTATGAATGTGTCACACATTTTCAAATTTCTATTGTTTCATCCCTACCGGTATATACATACACGTACTGTACAGTATGGGGCATACAAAGGGAGAGGGGAAATATGTGCCCCCTATGTCGAAATCGTCAAATTGCAAATGATCCCGAACCGCATACAGTAGGTTCAAACCGCAATATAACACAACAGCCCCTGCTCTCTCCTAGCTTCCACTTTCTGTCTAGCATTCACAATGACACACTTTTTTGTCTCTTTCTGGAATGCTGTCTTGGCTGTAGTTGTGATTGCAAACCTATCAAGATCGAGCCAAGCATTCTCGATACCTTCGAATCATCGTCATTCCTCAAGATCCATTTCTTCATCGCCCTTCAACAGTCGACACAATCAATGTTTGGTGCTATATTCGGATCTTTCTCCCAGCGACGTGAGTGACAACGATGACGACGACGTTGATCCATTAGGGATTGCTGAGGATGTCACAGTGTTAGCTTCGTCTTCTTCTTCTTCTTCTGGTGTCGGATCAGAAACAACAGATGAGAAGGACTTGACGAAAGAACAACGAGAATCCCTGAAACAAGATCTCCTGCAGCTATGTGCTTCGTATGACCGAGGGTATGGGGCTTCTCCCTCGGCGCGTCGGCGAGTGGATGACTTGGTGTCTCGGTTAAAAGCGCTGAATCCTACCCCCAAAGATGCGGCACGAGGCATTGATGGAGGCAGTACTACCGAAGTGCCTCTCAAGGGAAATTGGAGAATGGTCTGGACGACAGCGTTGGACGTTTTGAATTTGGGAGCCAATCCAATCGCCGCGCCTGGGGCTATTTATCAAAAGATTGATCCACCATTGGCGACTAACATTATTGATTTCATCCCGCGGATTCAAACCTTGATTCCATCCAATCTCTTGCCATCCTCTTTGCTACGAGCCGAGGTGCAAACGAGGACCTCTTCCCGGGCCAATTCTTCCAACCGAGTGGGTCTAGTCTTTGAAAGTGTCAAGTTGGAGCCAGTGGAAGTACTGGGATTTGCCAAGCCTGACTTTTTGCCTCCGCTTTCCATTCAGTTCCCACAACTGGATCTTTCGGACTTGAACTTGCCAGGAGTCGATCCAGAGAATAGTCCAGGTTTCTTTGATGTCGTCTATCTCGATGAGAAAATGTTGATCATTCAACAGAATGAGCCGGGTGGTTATTTTGTATCCGTCAAAGTCCCAAATTGTGATCCTTAAAAGCATCTGTAACCATTGCCTCAACTAGACCATGCACCGTTCCAAATATTTATTGGTAATGATAGTATTTTACTTTTAGCAAACTCTCGTTGATGCCGCCGTTTGCGTTCTCAGGCAACAACCGAGGTATGTACATTTTTAATGATAAAGGACAGATTTATAGATCAGAGTCCCAAACTGTAGGACCTGCAGCAGGAACGACACGTACAATGTTGGCAGCTCCTGGGGTTCCAAATGGAAACCCAGCCGTTACGACCAACAAGTCACTTGGACTGTCAACAAGACCTTTCTTAATGGCCATCTTGCAGGCATCCGCAAGCATGGATCGGAAGTTGTCCGTATCAATCGAGGCAGCATCACTGAATTCAGGATAGACACCCCACGACAAAACCAACTGCCGGGCAGACTCCTTCAAGGGGCAAACAGCCATGATTGGAACATCGGGTCTCTTTTTGGAAGCCCGTTTGGCTGTGGATCCACCGACGGTAAAGGTCACAATGCACTTGGCATTGACGGTGCGGGCAATTTGTTTGGCGGCCAAGATAATGGCGGCTGCGGCAGTTCCGTCATTTTCTGGATCAAACGCTTGCAAGTATTTTTTGTAATGGGGATCGGATTCGACACGGTTGATAATTCGCTGTTGCATGAAGACAGACTCTTCCGGGAACTGAAAGAGTAAAGAATATAACGACGGGAATGACAGATCATCAACAAAGACAAATATAACCAAGCAACATAAAGGCGGTGAGGATCGGGATTCTTTCGGTACACATTTTGCAACAATGTGGTTCACGTACCGATCCAGCTGCACTCTCAGCACTCAACATAATCGCATCAGCACCATCGTAAATGGCAGTGGCGACATCACTGGCTTCGGCTCGGGTAGGAGTTGGAGATTCGATCATGGATTCCAACATCTGCGTGGCAACCACTACAGGCTTTCCCTGTGCACGACATTCATCGACAATCATCTTTTGCAGAATGGGGACATCCTCGGGTAGACATTCGACACCCAAATCTCCACGGGCCACCATGATTCCGTCGCACAAGTTCACAATTTGTTGAAGCGAGTCTCCTTCGAAACAACTGGGCTTTTCAATCTTGGCCATGACGTTAGGTCTAATGGTAGCATGAGGCATGTGTTCCAAGATGAGACGGTTGATCTCCATGATATCTTCGGGACGTTGAACGAATGACAAAGCTACCCAGTCAACCCCCATGTTCAACATGAATTCCAAATCGGCACGATCCTTGGGAGTCAAGGCCGAAATTTCTAGAACCGAGTCGGGTGTGTTAACCCCCTTTTGTAAGCAAAAGTGACGATTTGGAGTAAAATGAATAACAAACAAGTGAATTAGTCAGAGGAATGATTGCATGAAGCACTTTCAGAAATGGACAAGCAACATTTCCACACGCACCTTCTTGTCCTTGATCTTTCCAGGGACGTCGACGACGCATTCCAAATATCCTGGCCCGGTTCCAATGACGGTCACTTTGACTTTTCCGTCGTCAATCAGCAAGTTATGGCCAACTTTGGATGCCTCAATAATCTCGGGATGTGGCAACATGACACGTTGATTGTTTCCTGGTGTGGGATCCAAGTCAAATCGAAAGGTTTGTCCAGGTTGCAACATTTCTCCTTCAGGATTGGCAAAGGTTCCGACACGCAATTTGGGTCCTTGTAAATCACCCAAGACACCAATGGGATGGTCGTGCTTCGCTTCCACTGCTCGAATGATATCCAACAATTCTTGCTTTTGGGCATGTTCTCCGTGAGAAAAGTTGAGGCGAAAGACATCAGCACCTGCCAAAAACAACTTTTCAATCATTTCAAAGGACGACGAAGCAGGTCCAAGCGTGGCCAATTGTTTTGTCTTTTTGCGAAATCGAGCACTTTGCTTGTATCCGGTGTCGTAGCTCACGGCCGATTCAAAGCCTGAGCCATAACCGGGGGGACTTCCATTGACGGGTTGACGAGCATTGTAGACAGGCCAATAGGACTTTGTGGACATCTCTAACGAGGTGGTGGACTGAGATTGAATTTTGGCATTGCCAGGAGTGAAGGCCAATGCTGGAGCCAACGCAAAGGAAAGAAGGAAAGTAACAGCTACTTGAATTTTCATTGTTCAGTTTGTATTGGAATCCTGATAAGGAAGTGATTCTGGTACTCGTATCCCCGATGGAAGTTGACAACCAGACTTTGCAAAATACGTCGTGGATTGATTGCTGTCAAATGACGTTTGTGAAGGTCTTTGTTCTGATTCGCTGAATTTTTCATGAGATATCTTGTCCTCGAAAATTCCAAACACGTACGAGCAATAACGTATCTTTAAAATGAAGGGTCGAATGGGTCGTCACATTCGATCAACGTTGCATATCATCAGTAATAAAAGTTGGCGATGGTGGACTGTCCCCCGACTATCGCACATGTGTCCCAGATTTCTCAAACCAAACCTCATTCCACAGAGGTTCTTCATTCTTCATACTCCCAAGGAAGGCATTGAGAGACCTTCCTTTGCCCAACGATGAGAATCCATGGATTTTCAAATAGTATTGAACTATCAATTGTGGCTACAAGCGTCCTACAATTTGCCTTGACTGCAAAAGCCCAAGATTATTCCTGTGATTTGCAACAAGACAATTGTCCCACCAAAGAAGATGAGGTTTGTGATCAGAATAGCAGTTGTGGGGCTTTTTCAGACTGTTATGACTGTAATATAGAGACGTGTCATCAATTGTCGTTTGATTGCGAAGGCTGCCTTAATGCTGAGGGCTGCTATTGGTGTCCTGGTGATGCTCAATGTTACAATTCGGATTCTTACGGAACCTACCCTCCTGATTACATTTCTCTCGCGGGAAAGCAGCATCGCATGAAAAAAATGGATCGGGTTACAGAATGTCCATTGCCTGAAGACTTTTTTTCGGGACAGACTTCGGAAGTCTCCATGTGTCAGAAGAGTGTCAATGAACAATTCAGGTGAGTACGATGGAATTTGAGACGTCAACTTGCATTATTCTTTTCTAACTCGATCCCTGCTATCGCTCTCTCTCTTCTATCGTCGTTTTTCTACCAACCACCATTAGAGATCCATTGTATGACTCTGGACACTGGGCCTATAAAATGATTAATGTCTTGCCAGTCTGGGAACAGGGATATACTGGAAAGGGTGTCCGAGTACGAGTCAACGATGACGGCGTCGACGCAGATCATGTCGAAATTTCTGACAAATACGATGACGAAGGATCATGTACCATTGCAGGCGCTTCCAATCGATGGTACGATGCTTCTCATGGAACAAAGGTAGCATCTACTATTGCTGGATCTGCCAACAATGGAGCCTGTTCCATGGGAATCGCACATCAAGCGACAATTTCTTCTTGCAACCTGTTTGAGTACATTGAAGGTTCACCAGAGGTCCTGGTGGAGAAGCTGGATTATTTTGATATTTCCAACAACTCGTGGCAAAATACTGTGTGTCACCCCAACGATTTGTCGGGGCGAAAGCTTGCGCAACTTTTTCAAGGTCAATGTCCATTTCAATCAACAGCATCTTCGAACCCTTGTGAGATTTGCGATTTTGAATTCTCGTTGTCGGTTGATTGTGAGAATGCTATCTACAAACATTGTGGAGCTTCATACACTTATCAAGAGGATAGTCTGGCTTGCAATGAATACTCTCACATTCTGATCGACAGCTGTCAATATCAAATCTTTCGCGACTTTCAAGTTAATGAAGTGGAAAAGGGTGTTCAATTTGGTCGAGAAGGAAAGGGTGCCATTTATGTGGTGGCAGCGGGCAACTACTATAATTTGGGCGTTGACGTCAACATGGATCGCATCACCAATACCCGCTATACGATTGCAGTCGGCGCTGTAGACAAGAACGAAAATCACGCAAGCTACTCGAATCCTGGAGCGGCTTTGTTTGTAACAGCACCAGGAGGCGACGTAGAGTCGAGAATGAACCTTCCAGCGGCCAAGGTCGGAGGCGGATGTACGGATTCCAGTCACGGAACCTCCTTCGCAGCGCCCGTTGTTACCGGTGTGATTGCATTGATTTTGGAAGCCAATCCTACTTTGACATGGCGAGATGTCCAGCGGATCATTGCTTCCACCTCACGCATGGTGGAGGATGACAATGACGATACTCGAATGGTGAATGATGCAGGTTATCAGCATTCCAACTTGTATGGATTTGGAATCATTGATGCAGAGAAGGCTGTTAGCGCCGCTCTAATGTGGAAGAACTTGCCACCGGAAGGAACGTTCATATGGCAGTCGGGAAAGCTGAATTTGCCAATTATTGATGATCCAAACGATACCCTGGAACTCCAAGCTACGTTGTATCGAAGTGACGTTACCATTGAATCTATTACGGTTGAGCTTGATCTTGAACATATTTCGCGAGGGGATTTGGACGTCACATTGACATCTCCATCGGGAGTTGTTTCTAAGCTTCATCAAGGAGGGCAACAGGAACAATTGAGTATTGGGACTGGCAACGGTTGGCAACTGATGACCTTGAAGAATCTGGGAGAAACAGCTACTGGAACCTGGACGTTGTCAATACGCGACACAAAGGCGGGAAGTCTAGGAGAGTGCTCAGATATGCACTACCTGATTTCTGATTTTGCATTTGTGGGATGCCGAGCATTGGCCATTTCCGCATGTCGAAATGGGGAAATGAACCAAAATTATTGGAATCGCTTGTCCTTTGATCACCCTCTTCGTTTGGCCAGAGACCCCCAGACGGGATTGACCTTCGAGGAGTCTTGTTGTGCGTGTGGAGGAGGTAGACGGGCCGACAATGGCCCAAACGCGCTACGGAGTTGGAAGCTTGTTATAGCTGGCCATGGTGATGGTTCTTCTAGTGTTTCGTTGATGAGAGGGGGGATATGGTTGTTTGCGATTTCGATGGTTGTTCCTTTGATATTTGCTTTGGGTTGAGTGAGATCAAGAAACGACTATCCATTCTACCTGAAGTAAATTGTATGGGATCCGTTGCACACGGGTGACATTCCACCCGGCAATAATGGCGTAGACGATGCGCTGACAAAGTTGACTCCAAAGTCACCTTGAAGAAGGTATGCGAAAGGAACAGGAAAAAAAGATTCCTAGAAATATGTTTTGAGGCTCATAATAGCGCCTCGGAAACAAGAGAACGCGAAGATTTGGTCGTCGAAGAAGACGAGGCTCATTTCCAATATTTTTTCAGGAGATATATCTTGTCCTCGAAAATTGTCTCAAGCGGAGTATCGGAGTATCCTCCGCCGTTGGTTTCTGGTGGTGATGCACATCTTCTCATGGAAAGGCTTCTTTTCGTCCATGATAGTAAAGTCGTGGAAAGTGTCGTTTCTGCTGTAGTTTTGGCTTCGATGATGCGACTGCTTATTCTGTCTTTTGCTTTTTCGTTCCAATGATTGATGATTGCCGGGTGGACGAGATACCGGTACCTGGTGCCAGGGTACTGTAGAATTGAGAAGGACTGACTCCTCACTCCTCACTTCTCACACGACTCCTTCGAAGTAACATTTGGAGACTAAACAATTCCCGACAGTCACAATCTGTTTGACGAAAAAAAAGGAGACATCAATAAAAATATATAATCCGTCATGAAAAACCATGAAAAGGAACCAAACTGCAGCAGCATTACTGATCGTAGTAGGTCTTCTGATCATTCGAAACGCTAATTTCAGTGCTGAAATTTCTAATTTGTTGCGGAGCGGAAATGATGCTGATCGTAATAATTTCGGCGTTCGGTCAGAACCACCGACGAACGATGATACCTTGAATAAAAATTCACTGAATAATGCACACACAGAACAAACGATACAACTTCCAAGTGCGCAATCTGTAATACCTGACCAATCGTCAGGGAAGGGCTTCAAGGGGGAAAAGATTCGAGACTTCTCAAGTCCAAGGGCAGAGCTAAGAAAGGCAAGCGATTCCAACGAATCGTTGCCTTGGGAGAACGACTTCAAGGCCAAATGTATCAAGTGGGGTGTAGTGACTACCATCTTTGATCCCACGGAAGCTATATCGAGAGTCTCAAACTTGCCCGAATGGTGTTTAGTTGTGGTGGCAGATACCAAAACACCTACCAACTATATGGAAGCCTTTGAAACAATGGGTGGAGCGACGGAAGTCACCTTCTTTTTTTCATCGGAACTTCAAAATACATGGGAACACCTGGATGGGCCAATAGGTGACTTTGTGCGCACTATGCCCTTGGGGCACGTTGGACGAAAGAATTTGGGGTATCTGTTTGCGATTCTGCATGGCGCCGATTTCTTGTTTGATTTTGACGACGCCAAATTCATCAAAGTGGACGAGGTGACAGGCAAGCCTGTTGAAATTCTTCCATCAATAGAAACAATCGACAATGTGGCTATAGCGATATCTGGGCCATTAGCGTTCAACCCTTATCCAATGATGAATATGTCAGTTCCAGCTCCATCTTGGGCCCGTGGTTTTCCTTTGCAATATATAAATGACACTGCAACTCAAGGACGGGCATTCTTTCAGCAGTCGATGCCATTTGTTTCCAAATCGCACTCCATCGGTGTGATTCAGTTCTTAGTCGATGGTAATCCTGATGTCGACACCAACCATCGAATGATGCATCCATTACCAATGACATTCGACAACAGTGAAAATGCAACAAATGTCCTGGTTCCAAAGCATGCGTATTGCCCATACAATGCTCAAGCTACAATTCATACACAGCCTGCCCTTTGGGCTACCTTACTTCCTACAACAGTCCCACATCGTGTCTCAGATATTTGGCGGTCGTACTTTGCTCAGTGCATCTTTGCCGACTCGAACCTTCGGCTGGTGTTCGCGCCTCCAAAGATTGAACAACAAATACCAACCGAGCGTGACATTTTGGCTGACTCTTCTGCCGAAAATGACCTGAACATTAAAAGTGGAAAATTGATTCATTTTTTGTCCACTTGGGACTCTGAGCACCTCCATTTTCCCGAGCGAGTGGAGCAGCTATGGATTGATCTGTACGAACGATCATATATTGAGCTCGACGATGTTGTGGCAATGCAAAAGTGGCTCAAAGCGTTGGTTGCAATGGACTACCAGTTTCCCGACCTGAAGCCTAGATTCCGTAACGTTGCCATGATGGGTCAATTTAATGATGCACACTCTCATATTGCAACGACTCAAATAATGATTTGGAGTCAGAAGCAAAGAGAGCGGTTCCAAATTGCAATTGCAGCGGCTCCAGTCGAGAAAGCTCAACTAGCGTACTTAGAGGCCCAGCACATAGAGGTTCTACAATCTTACCAATTGAAACCTATTGGGATTGGTGCTTTGTGTTGCAAAAAGTTGAGTTTTGAGTGTTGTGACGACATGGGTTACTACAACCCGATGAGCAACTTGATGAGAACTTTGCTGCGCTTTGGAAACTCTTCGACGATTGAGGCAGTACTTTATGCCCACGATGATGCCCTGTTGAACCTAACCGAGCTATCGGAAGGTAGGTATCCTTTCCCAACCGACAAGATTATTGCCAATCGACAACTATCGGAGGTTGACAATGTCGAGTACGTTGATTTAAGGACCATACCTGACAGAGCGAAAGCACAGAGATTTTCCCATCGCGTTTTCCCGAATGGCACAGTATCTGATGTAGACAAGACTATTTTTGTGAATAATTCAAGCGAGTTAAGCAAGAAAATCCCAAAATTGCATGACAAATGGGAACGATGGGGGCATACATACTGTGCACCAGCGCAACAGCAAATGGCAATGGACCCTGAATTTGCAAAATATCTTGACCCAGATGGTTCGGCATGGTTTCCGTTTCACACACAATCTGACTTTCTCATGGTACCAACAAAATATGCCGAACCTTTCGCAGAGGCTGTAAACATACACCTAAAATACCTTGTTTGGTTAGAGTGTGCGATTGGTAAGATAGTGGATATTCTTCAGCAGCAGCTGCAAGCACCCACCCGGCTCGTGTATCTTTGCACAAAATTCAAGAGCAAATATCGAGGCTGGTTTTCACCAATTTATGACTGCAATAAGTCCAATGATACCATAGCTGTTTTCCATCCCCTCAAGTGGAGAAAGCGATTCGACGTTTTTTGGGAGAACTCCGACCTTATTAATTTTCCGCTGGAGGCACAATAGCATTGTCCTGCAAATAGATGCATGGGCCACTGAAACCAAGAGTTGTATATCAAATTTTATCAAATCAGCTGCATCCGTCTCACGAGTAGAAAACTAGTATCTAATTCTGTTATTGTACCGGTACCATACCGGTACTCACGGACATGAAGGAAACTGGAGGTCCGTACGTCAACCACAAAGATGGATAGCGAACAGAGACCTCAGATATACTCTTGCTCAGATGAAGTGTTTGACACGGCGTACCAGTACCAAGATATCATAATACGCAACAAACTACAGTCCCAATCAAAATCAGACCGGATATCGTGGAAAATCCGTAGCCGTGGTACAAAACGCGACGTTCGATTGACTCGGATTTTAAATTTGATTTATTCGACTGGCAAATGACCGAAATTCTGAAACAAGAGGCAAGAGCACCTTCTTGTACGATAAGACCTTGTTTTGATTACAAATCTTGTATTTGTACCAGTACCAAGATATCATAATACGCAACAAACTACAGTCCCAATCAAAATCAGACCGGATATCGTGGAAAATCCGTAGCCGTGGTACAAAACGCGACGTTCGATTGACTCGGATTTTAAATTTGATTTATTCGACTGGCAAATGACCGAAATTCTGAAACAAGAGGCAAGAGCACCTTCTTGTACGATAAGACCTTGTTTTGATTACAAATCTTGTATTTGAACATCTACTATTTGTTTAATATATATAGTCTATAGGTGTGCGCACTTTCAATTGCAAATTTCGGCTTATAATACATGGAATTTTGAAACATTCATCCAAGCCACCTGAAATGTTCGCAAGGAAACCAGAGAAGGGAATCTCATTTCTGCCTCAACATTGCAAAACAGCACCCAAAGTCGATGCGTGTATATGGTGATAGCTTTTGTCGGGATCCAACCGTGTCTGGATAGCGACACATTGACTGGGATAGATTCTTGGCCACTTCTGGATTGCATGCCAAATTGACCAGAAAGGTCAAATAGGTGCAGTTCAATCACTTTGACTTTGAAATATTCCATTCCAAACCGCCAAACCTTGTTTGATATACCCATGGACGACAAATATGTGTTAGAATAAAGAAGATTGAGGAAATCAGGCTAACAATTCGACAATTACAGAATTTTCAACAAACGTACCTCTTTTCTGGCCCCACTCTGGCCTCTGTCTGCTTGATCTAGACCAAATCTTTGAATAGGTCCCAGAATTTATCGACTGTAGGTATCTAAGAGAGGTCCTGGTGTATTGTCGAATGGATAGCTGTCTCCATGGCGGCCACAGGGACCTTCATCTGATTTTGACAAGTTTTGCCAAATGATGGACTTGGTTGATAATCTGCACAAAGACACCCTGATATCGAACACCACACGATTCCAAGGTCCTCAGTATAACAATAGAAGCAACCTCCGCGAAATTATGAAGCTCTTTGTGCCATGAGACTCTGTGGTGTCCCAAAACCCTTCAAAAACTTCTTTTTGGACGTTGAAGGTAGGCGCCAGCGGTCATTTTTGGGACCAAAGAAACAAATGAGACCAAATCATTTCATGGGAACAGGGTAGCTAATGTCAATATACAGGTGCTGTTAGCCACGCATCGACTTTGTTGCAGTGGGTGATGAATACAGGTGCCTCAGAACTTACCACCATGGTGAAATCAAATCCATCTGCCTTTTTGGTAGATTTTCACTATTTAGAACCATCGGGCATGTAGTTTTTATTTGACATTTTGCTTCTTTGATATCTTTAGAAGCGTATTCTGCAAAAAAAGCGGGATGCTCGATGTTTTCTTGATGTCAGCAAGGGGTTCGAAGGTTGATGATGGAAATGACGATTTAAAGGCGCGCAAAAAATGTGAAAGTACTTTGTTAGACCGATTGTGTGATGTGGCCTACTAGTTCTACGTATTCTACTTTGTCCAAAGTATAGTTCATTCTTGGACGTTTCATCACTAATCCATGTAAATTTTCAATGTATCCAACACCCTGTAGTGGATTCACAATTATCATGGATAAAGTACTGGAAAAGGTTTCTCAACAATGTTGTAGTGTTTGAGCTGAAAGCTCAACAATCTCATCTGATAACATGGAAAAGCGAGTGGTTCTCAGCTCATAGGCAATATAGAAGGGATTTGAAGCTTTCACAGTTTGATTGTTGCCTCATTCTGATCGTCGAATGCTGGCTTGAATTGTTGCTTCGAAGTTTGGCAGCAAGTTTTGGGTTTGCATGGGCATTTTGGAAATTTCTTGTGCATCCAATCTTCACACAACCACTCCATTTGGGCGACTTGTTTGGTTCCCTCTTGGGTTGTATTGGAGCTTGCAGAGGTTGTTGTTGACCGCGCGCACCGCGCTCGTTCAATAGTCACTTTGTTCTTCGCTCCGTCCACCTCCCCCACTACGAGACCAATGGTCATCGCTCGGACGTGCAGGATTTTTGGTGAGGCATGGAATTTTGGTCATTTTGGTCAAAAAGAAATTGTCACAGCTTCGGCCAGAGTCATCATGATTGCCAACAATATTCTAGGACAACCTAGCCGATAACTAAGAGAATATATATTCAAAGCTGCGTTGGTTAATTCTTCTTTTATCATAGTCATCTGATCACTTGAAGTTGCATTTTGGGGGGGATATCCCCATATGGGGATATCTGACCCCCGATCGGTTAATTTTAGAAGACATCAGATTTTCACTAAGGAATGCCAAAAACCACCATGATTTTCTGCAAGAGATGATTGGACGGACCCCATTGAAAGATGCAACTGACACGTATAAAAAAGCAAGGACCCCGAGGACGTTTCTTAGTTTTGCCGGCATCATGAACATTGGGACGACTTTCACTCCATCAGAAATGGGCTTAAAGTTTGGCTTCTGTGGTACTTGTACCGGTGCAGTACCAGGAGGTATTTTGGGTAGTTATTTTGTGGACGTTGGGCCTTTTAAAAAATTGCTGTTACAGTAGGGTGGGTATCTACCATTCGGCACTGTTGTTAAACACTTCATTTCCATCAAATTCATCATCCGACAGAGAAGGTTCGGGGAAAGTGCAACACGAACAGGTGTCAGAAGCTCCAATCGCGCCAATTTGAGACTTCAGAGCTGAGATGTCACCAAGATGGTGATCTTTTGACTTCACTGCGGATGATAAGATTTCGTTCAGAGTCATACATATCACATCAAAAGTTGGACGCGATTCAGCATCATCCGAAATACAATCTTCAATCAGCAATGCCGTATTGCGACATGGAATGATTTCCGTAGATGGCTTTGGCAGTGTATCACAAGCAGTCAACAGTTCTGCATGACTCGAAATAGACCGTTTTCTTGGTCTCCAGGAATGCTCGAGCGAAGCAATCTCGTGTAGCATGATTCCAAAGGAATACACATCAGTCTTCAATGAGTAGCCTTCCCCTATTAAAACTTCGGGGGCCATGTATCGGGGAGTCCCACAGATTTCTCCGTCACTGCAAAGGGAAAGTTCTCTTGCGAAACCAAAGTCAAGCAGACATACTTTGCCTGTTTCCGCATGGAAACCAACATTGGCGGGCTTCAGATCCCTCAAAACAATATCTTGCTCGTGCATGTACTTCATGGCTTCTGCAATACCGACAGCTGCGGTCTCAATGCGACCATACATGCTTTCCACGTTCAGCTTTTTTCGTTTCCCGCTTAGTCTGTTCTTGAGTCCTTTCTTTTTGTTGTCAAAGGAACTCTTAGCATTGTACCATTTGGGAATTCGGTCTCTTAGTGTGTCTTGCATGACGTCCATGGTGATAAAATAGCCGTCTCCATCCTCACCAAATGATACAGAGAAAGGAGTGGAAGAAACACCTCAGATCTTGATGATATTTGGATGGTTGAGCTTTGAGAGATAGTGAGCTTCCATGATGAGGTCTGTGGCCGCTCTATAGAACTGCTCGGTGGACTCGATATTGCCTTCGTTCAAGCGCTTCATTGCGAGCTGCATTTTTGTAGACTGAGCAACGACGAGGGAGATGTTGCAAAAGGCTCCGTTGCCGAGAGGCAATATTATTTTAATATCTGAGGCTGGGTGTTGCACAATCCTGTCTTGTCCTTGGATCAGGTGGTTGTACCGTTTGAGTCCTAGCACAACACTGGCAGTGATGATAGATGAATCCAAATCCATTTCAGATTGATTTGAGATACTGTGGACTTTTTTGGTCTTTTGCTTTTTTGCATTGATTCGTTTGGTCATAGGCAAATTGCATACATTTTTTAATTGGTATACCTGATACCAATTCCAGAAAGTTTTTCCATGGTAAATTTTTATACAAACGCGCCGTAGGAAATCTACCGACCGAATGTAAAACCCCATGGGCGCATCGTACTTTAAAGCGTGGGCCAGTTTGCGATTTTTTTCTATGAACGTGCTGTAGGAAATTTACAGAACGAATGTAAAACCATACAGGCGCATGGTACTTGAAAGCCGGAGATTCTGTACGTCGCCAATCTTGCAGCAACCAACCGGTCAAAAAACCAACATCACCAACAAACCAAACCACAATGATGGTATTGAATGAAATTGTGAAGCCTACCTCTCCATTTTCTTTTTGAAAAATCAACAATTTCTTATATTATTGGATGTCTGCACTATGCTTTTTTTATTTTGCAACCATTAGCAACCCTTGTGTTGCTTGCCATAATTCGACCTTTGTCGCAACAAAATTTTCCTTCCATTATTTCTTCCTCCTGTTGCTTCAAACAAACTCCGAAATTTATTCACGCAGTGTTTCTTTTCTGACTATCAAATCAGGATAATGTTATCATTGTCAACAAAGAAGGTACTGCAAGCAAGAAGAAGGCAACATCAGCCAAATCTTCTCCTGATTGATTCTTTTCACTGATGAATGCCAGACAAGGTTTAGCAAAATCCCTAAGACATATTACTAGACATCTTACCAGACATAATGCTTATAATTATAATAAGAAAGAACAACACCAGCGACAAATAAATTTGTGAGTTTCTACAAAGACAGCCATAGCAATTTTCAATGGGCCCCTGTCAGGGTTGAGAGATTGGGGTGGACCCAGGCTAAGCACGTACGTACAGTGAAATCTTCTATAGAAATTGAATCATTATGGTAGCATAGTTTGATGCTTTGGCTATGAACAACTATTTTAAAGAACACATAATAATGATAGCTACTATTTAGAGAAACTTATTGTACATAAAATTCACTTGAAAGGTCCAAGCGTCCCAAATTTCACATAATGGATCAGTTTCCCACAGTTGGAACCCACCTGGAACCCAGAACCATGACATCTTGCACCGTTGAACTGCACGTTCACTTCCAGATCGTATCCCAGCAACACAAGCCAAGTGCAACGTAGCACTTCAAGTAAAACTGCCCTTGCCTTTTGAGTACTTTGGTTGCATACAAGTTTGACACTCCATGCTCATCAAGTGTGTTTCAAAATCCTTTATCAAACACATTGGTTAATGATTTGTCAGACGATGTATCTGCCTCTGAAAACTTCCGCTGCTCCACCAGTACCTCTAAGTCTTTGATCATTTGAGAATCGGTGATTCTAACAGTCTTTAGAGGCATTTCTCTTATCCATCCGCAGAGTTGATTGCTGACTCCTGCCTTGGCGCATGTCACGCCAGCTGTATCATACATCACAATTCTCTCCCTGCTTCTCCGATCAAAGTAGAAATCCCATTTCTTTTCGTGCAACTTTGCATCTTCTTTGTAGGTAGCATACATTGGCCACCAATTGTGTGTTCCCTGTTCAAGCGATAATTTCTTCTTCAGTATTCTTCGAAGTGGGTTCAGGGAGCTCTTGTACATTTTCAAAAAATCTTGCCATACGTCCATACTTGAACTCAAAATAGAACAACCACTCCTCAAGCCAAGTAACTTTCAAAGTTGTCTCAAAAAGTTGTTTCAAATTACCATTACACACCACTGTTGCATATGATAGTAGATCTTGCAAATTGTCGAATCTTGTGCAAGCTGCCATCCTCTCGTCATCTGCTTTCTTATGAAACCATCATCTTCCTTTGATCACCAAGGAACAGGCCAATGACTTCCTTGGTGCTTCTTCTGGAGCTTGGTGTATAGGAGCTCGGCCTCTCCTTCACCGCCTGTTCAGTTTCCTTCACCTCTCTTAGTAGCACTGCTTCCATGGGATAATCAGGAGCCACTAATTTGGGAGGGGTCTTTTTACTGCCACACCCGTCATGACCTCCTAGTGCCCAGCAGTAAACATGCTTCTTACCTCTCAAGGTGAGGCATTTTGACCTCAAGCCTGATGGGGAGAAATCAGCATTGCTACAAGGCATTGCCTGGTTCTTGGAATGCTTCCTCCATTAACCCGCCACCATCGGAGATGATCTTTGATCATTCTTCGTTTGCATGCTGCTACGCCTGCTTCTGCTCTTCTTCTGGCTTCTCCTTTGGTTCCTTCCCTACATGCCTCCGCTCATACTGGTGCTCTTCTGGCGGTCACAACTGCATCCTCCAGGCACCCTCGCACTTCCCCCTGCCCCTCTGAAGCGGGAGGAATAACAAAGAAGCCACCCCTGGCATTGTTCACGCTCTTAAATCTTTGCTGGGTCTGCCTGCATATCGCATGTCCCCAAAGGCATCTGGTGGACCGGACGCAGCTGCTACTTGTAGGTATGAACACCTCTATTCCCATCTGGAATCCTTTACAGCACGCTGCTTTATCATCAAGGACGCTAGCTACTTTAGCTATGGCAAGCGCTGCTGTACGGGTGCACGATTGAATCCAGTCCAATTGTAATATGTTCCATCAACCGCATCGGTGATGTCCTGTACCAGTAGTACCATGATATATACACTGTCTGATCAAAAACTCTGCCCACAGGTCATCATTAAGTCTCATGATGTCTTTCATAATTTTTAAATTATAAGTACAACATCCTGGACCTGTTAGCTATCATACAGTACAGTGTAGCAATGCAAAAAAATACTTCAGGTACAGTACACTGCCTGGTACCTGATATGTGCACCTGATACGGGCTACCTGCCTGCTACCAGTTCGGTACTGGTACCTGCTACTACATACTCCAATCTCCATAGCAGATTTATACCAATTTCCCGGAACGCTGGTTTGACAATCAACTACCTTGGACAGCACCGTCTGTTTGCAGACTGAATTTTTGCCCCCAAAAAAAAGAAACATCTTATATATATGGCATCAAACACTGGTATCCCTCATGCAGGTATATTATTTGAAAGAAAAAAAGGCAAATAAACATTCATTGACAAAAGCTTCATCATACTGGGATATCTCCAGTTTTATACTTCTCATTTTCATAGATGGAACCAGCAAAGGCACAGTCTGACGTCACCGCAGTTCCATCCAAACCCCCCCCGTAAACTCCTTTGACAGCACAAAGGCCAAATCTCGCGCATTAGAGTGCTCTTGAGAACCTGAGGTAGGTTGGTCTCAAGGAATCACGCTTTGAATAATGGTCCACCGTCTTCAATGCGCCCTTGCATCTTTCCCCATTTGTCTCTCTGCCACACCATCTGTTGATGGCATTCAACAAATCCTTGTCCACCGTTGAGGCTATCAATCCTGTAGCCGTGTTCTGCACCTCCTGCTCTAGTACTCTGACAAAAATCGTCTTTGTACTCCAATAATCTTGGCACTCCAAAATTTCTCTGAAACAATCTTCCGCTTGTTCTTCATTCAAAATGTATTAACTCCACCAGTCAACGTATCCATCGCCCCAGTGTCCTCCTTGATTTGATGTCTATCATTTGTTGAAGCAACAGACAAAAATGTAAGCAATCGCGGAGGCAGCAAAATGCAGTCATAAAGGATGCATTGTTGTTCATGATTCGTGTGACAATTGGATTCAGTTGACCAATTGTTGTCCTCGTCTTGACCATTTTTTCACATAACAAGTGACACCTTGGTTTTAGTGGCACTTCTTCCCCCCACGTTAACCTGTAGACAAATGATATGGAGGAGACAGCACAAAGAGATCAATGCCCGGACCTGATGAAACAGAGAAGTTCATTTCCCCCAAATGAAGAAGAATAAGCAGAGCGTAGGACGTTGAAAAAATTGTGAACAAAGACAACAACCCAGACACAATTACTAAAGAGATGATCAATTTCTTTTTCCTTGGAAGTCGTTGTATTTCTCAGTTTCTTCACAAACAACTTCGTGCTGAAAATAAAGTGTGCTGTTGCAAATTCCTTTCGAATCGTACCATACACAGGCACTTTTAGTACCTTGTACCTGGTACCTTTGTTAGATGGTGAAAGGATCTTCTTTGTGTGTTGTCTGAACCTGCTTTGTTGAGATGGTCCCTGCGTTGTTCCCACTTGGCCAGGAGCACAAACGGGGCTGTTCTTTCCTCTACACACTTCAATATTGGACTACTTATGGGCGTCATTTCTACTCTTTTCTGTGATTCATTGTATCCAGATTTGATTTGTACCTCTCTAAATGTTTCTCAGTTTAAGCAAATAATATGGCCCACACAGAATTCAGACATGACATGAAGGCCCACACAAAGGCCCACACGGAATTCAGACATCGTACGACTGTCCACACAAATGTCCACACAGAATTCACAACAAGTGATAGTACCAGAAATGTGTAGACAGGCGCGTGTTTCCGTGTGTGCCTTTGTGTGATGTCTGAATTCCGTGTGTGCCTTTGTGTGTGCCTGTGTGTGTGCCTGTGTGTGGGCCTTTGTGTGGGCCTTTGTGTGGGCCTTCATATGATGTCTGAACTCCGTGTGGGCCTTTGCGTGGGTGATGTCTGAATTCCGTGTGGGCCTTCCATCTTTTAAACGGAGCTGATTAGAGCAAATATTTTCTTATTGAAAACTGAATTCGGTTTTGAACCCCCTAAGTAGCTTGTAAGTGGGTCAAAACCGTGCTACAAAGGGTGATTTTTCACTGCCATAACACAAAATTCTCAATCCACACATTTCTGCGGGGTATCCCAGCATCCCAAAACAAAAGCAGAGGAAGAGAGATGAGAGATGTCACAAGCGCCGCTGCCGCTTGTACCACCAGGAGATATCTCTCAATGATTAGGACGACTCCTTGCTGGAAGACGTCTCTCACAAGTTTACCAAAGTGACTGTCAAAGGGAAGACAAAGATCAATAAGCAACCTCCAAAGCCGGCTATGGCACCGACTCTGGAGCATGACGGCCCGGTTCTCACTCCCGCGCAGCAGCGCCATGCGAAGGAAGCAGAGAGGAAGAGAAAAATGGATTTGGAGAACAATGTTCCTAGTTCTTTGTTTATCATGGTGTTACCCGGTGAGATGGAAGGGACCTACTTGTTCATCAGTAGGTTGAAATATGCTGCCTTGGCAAGGAACGTACTGAATGGACTGTTTCCATTCTTTACACATCATTTGGGGGAGTTGACGACTACTCAAGCCAATAGGGTGATTGCGAAGTGGCGACCTACTGTTGCAAGGAAATTGCTATCTCTTGCATCAGCCTTCTGTCGACTGGCAGATGCATCAATTTGATTTCCCTTTATGGACGTTCAAATGTTGGCATCATTCCCACGGACAGCTAGGCACAACACCACTGATCTGCAGCCTCACCATGCCAAGATACAAACTGCTGGCTCTGACCCTCTTTGCTTCTCCTTAGACTACAACCAGCCGCCTTTTTGATGCTTGTACCAACCTCAATGTTCTGGAACACTGTGCCCATGGGACGCTCTCCATTCATTTGGATCGATATATTCAGGGTAGAAGGGAGCAAGAACATAAGGTTAAATCAAGCTTCAATACAGGCAAGCACAACAAAAGAAAAAACACAGAAAACAAAATAAAAATACGCCGCCTCGAGTGGCAAGATCGTCTCTCTACATGTGCAAGGGTGCAATGTAATATGCAATAGAGCAACTTCCTTGGGATTGGATGCCTCAAACTGGTTCAACAGTACTGGACTCACCTCCGTATGGTAAATGGCCATGACAGCCGCTAACAGCAATCTAGAAACTTGAGATAGTTTTAACACGATTAATGCATCAGATTTATAATAATAATAATAATAATAGCTGCTTGATTGCATGCTCTTATGTAGAGATATTGTAAACAGAAAGTTCACTAGTATTTTGTCTTCTTCGATTTTCCTCTTCAATGTTTCCAGTTTGTTTGGTTTGGGTGAGCATTTTGATTGGCTGGAAATGTGCAGGTGGCTGGAAAGGTGCGATGTGCGTACATAGTGTACCATGTTATACAAGTAACATAATGCGTACACATAGATCGACAGTATTACCACAGTACCGGTACAGCCTGTGTTAAATGGAGCAGCACATCTGCCTGTCATGCACGCATGCCTCACCTCTCAGATTCAAACTCAGCATTCAATACATCTACCGGTACCAGTACCGGTACTGTGGGAGATATCTCATAATCTTTCTAAAGTACAGTAAAGTACCAATTACAACATCTTGTCCCTATTAGGCACTGGTGCACGATCAATAGTATGATAGAGGGAACAATACTGGTAGTGAAAAGACAAAAGCGAGATGAATACAAGAGTATTCTTGATTGATAAATACTGTATGCTAGTATGCAGCCAGGAGCAAGCAGAATGCAGTCAGCATAGCAAGCCAACTGTCTGGTCCTGCAAGGTTTGGGTTGCCCAAGAATGTACTGTACAGTACCTGCTGGCATGATATGCAACCATTAAAAGGCCTCCTCCTGCTTCCTGCCTCCTAGTACCTGAGCTGAAGAACTCCTCCTGATCAGAGTATTTGTTTAAAACAAACCTGAAAACTCTCATCCAGGGGACTTTGGTGGAACTGTCAAAGTACTGTACCAGGAGATACTTTAACTGTCGCCAAGGGTTGGATTGTTGCAATAGGTTTGCTTGAGAGACCTTTCAAATTTGTCAGCATAATGCTGGAAAGGTTAATCCTCAACAGCATCTTGGAGGTCCATTGGAGAGGGTGCTCGGGCGCTGGAGACCTTTTGGATGGTCTTGTCTTCCTCATCATCGGAAACTGATTTGATGACACCGCCAGAATCATCAGGAATACCCCAAAAGGGTGCAAAGAATGGGCAAGATCTGACCATTTTTGCTTGTTCTTTTTGGACAAAATGACTTCTGAAATAATAGATATCCCAGTTTGCTTTCTGACCGTGAAGAATCTTGACCTTATCCTCCTCGCCATCAGCAATTTTGTCGCTGTCATTGTCGTCCAACAGGCCCAAAAAGGCAGAGGCATCAAATGGGCAGTTTTTGGCCACTTTTCCCTGTTCTTTTTGGACAAGGCTAACAGGAGCATAATATGAATCATTTTTTGATACTGTTTGTGCT